CTTCAAGTTCTTTGATATTAACATCAAATTTGACTGAAAGCAATTTGACCATATTTTACAGCGACAGTAACGGGTTAATTTTTCAAGCTATGAGAAACTGTGCCTTTGTGAGTAATTTTTGTTTGCTGATAAACATGGCGCTACCTTGCAGAAGGATAAACAATCCTTAGGATATTTTTTCCCATGCTTACATTGGAGCCTGGTTTCATTACTGCTGAAGTACAGAAACAACACAAAAATAGCGAAATAACCCAGATTTAATCGGTATGTCGTACACTAGTACACAATATAAAATACATATAGTATATCAAGAAATATGTAAATACTGTTTAAATTACGAGAAATTCTACTCAAAAACACATCAATAAAACACATTTATTCAAACAAAGAGTGCACAAATTACAGCATATTCATTTGGTCGGGTATATTATAAGTAATTACCATCTCAATGCAATTAAAATAGGTAAAATATTGGATAGTTAAGAACAGTTTTTGGAGTCCCATATTTCTTTTTATGCAAACACTTGTATTTTTATTTTTGCAGCAATCGATATGATCCTGAATGTTTTCAAAACTTCTCAAATGAAGAAAAGTGTTAATTGAACACCAAAAATGAAGATACGAGTCTATTTCATTGAATCCATATTTCAACCAAACTTGGAATCTGGGAAATCATTCTTAAAAAATGTAAATAACAATGGTCTGACTTTGCATTGATTTTGAAATACTAGAATCAAAACAATAAATGGGAAAATGTAATGATTCAATGTATTTATTTATCATTCTTCCAAATCGAATTACATCCATTAATACACTCGGTAAATTATTGTAGAGGAACTTTTCATACTTTATGCATACAATTGGTGCAAAATACTTCTCTATGCTTTGATGTGCCTATTTTAATGAGCCCGCCTCATCAATTTTAGTTTTTTTCTTCAAGTAACCGCAACTTTTTTTCTCATTCTCATTACTTTTGCCATAACCAACGTACCAACAAAAAGTGTCTTCAACTCAACAACCAACCTCGCGATTTTCCGTGTAAAACATAGACGTTTTGTAGTTTATCACCAAAACATATGACTTTCAGGTGCAAACCAATGTAAATTCAAAGTACGAAACAAATGTTTAACGTTCACTTTAGCATATGTATTAAATTTAGTTTTTGTTGAATAAAGTCTAATAAAAGTCTGAGCTCAGAGCCAAGACGGTAAAACTTATTTTATAGGTGTGTCATTGTCTCACATGATATCGTCTCGTAGATTTTCAGATTCGAATGACCGAGCGTTTGATTCATGAACTTGTTTCTATAGTTACAAAGATCTTTCTATATGGTTTGGGTTGTGACATCAACTTGAGACCTTTTCCCTAGAAACAAATCGTCGTAAAATATCAAATTCTTGCTTCGAAACTTTTCTAAGCCCCGCCTTCAAACATTTGATCGACTTTATAAATTCTTGATGTAACAACCTATTATAGCTTATAGTGTCTGCAAATTTGTTTTGTGTGCCTTTTGTTCTCGACAAAAATTTCATTTACTCGCACTCGCGAGGCGGAAATAAAACGACGTATTTGTTATTAAACTTTCATTACACGGAAAGAACTGGTGCGCGATCAATCTAGTGTCCCATTGAGGATATGAAAGACGGGAGACGGGTAGCGAGCACTTCAATACAAGAGAATACACACTTTCAAAATTTGTAAGGAGCTTAGTAACAGTGATCAAAGAGATGGAAGTGTTCGAAATGTCTGATCATTTTGTTGCATTAATTAGTGTGTATGTAGGCAAAATTCATCCGAGGAGTGAAAATGGACATTTGGCATGAGCAAACGTAATTTATCTGCACCTACCTCATTTATCTGATAGATGATTATGAACTGACGTAAAGATTTAATAACTTTTTCGAGAATATGTACATCCTTACATTTTGTTCATTTGTAATTTTTTTCAAATAATAAATCCAACCCACCAAAGCTTGTATCCGCGTTTGAACTGCGTCGGCCTTCTGATAACAGGTTCAAACTTAAGTCGAAACTTCCTGCTTTTGCGTTCACGCTTTTTCCGATTTTATTAAGCCAATAAGGATTAATGCTTAGATTATTTAGGCACTGCCGTAAAGATTTATTATTGAAAATCGTGAATAATGTCAATATTGAATTTAAAACAATTGAATTTTTACGAGCGAGTGGGTGTATTCTACAGTCGATAAACTACAGTAAATCGTAATTTTATTTGTCGAAAAGTAATATATCCATTTTGAAATTATCAACTATGGCATGACGATAATACACAAATAGACGCGCAGTATTTATAGACGTTTCAATTTTAATGACGTAAGCGAGTGTTCGTCTCCCGGTACCATTTACCGTGAAATAAAAGTTAACTTTTCGACTCTTGTAGAGTACATTTAGAATTAGTTGAATAAAATTAATTGTAATAGTACATGGATTTCGAATTCAGTGTCATAATGTAGAACTATTGTTACCCAAAGGTAAGAAATTTTAAAATCTGGTTTGGATAGGTTTAATACAATGAATATTTTGAGAAAAATATTCATAGATATTTCATTTAAAAGGTAATTTAATTAGTAGTTGGTCATAAGAGAATAACAATTCAATTGATTATTTCTCCTGGTGTAGATATCTAATACATCGCTCGAAAAGTTGTCTAAATATTTATCCTCAGAACTCCGGGATCCCAATAAAAACTTCCCATAAACCTGCATTTGTTAGGTTATTTGGTCATCTGTGTAAATTCTAAATGCAATTTTTATCTTTTATCGATGCTTTTATCGTTTATTTTATCATTTTTCAACATAGGGTTTTATTCATTTACAAATAATTCTCGTTTTAAAGTCGTTTAGACTTTTCTTAAATTAAGCGGTGTTTAATTTAGTTACAAATGACATGACAGAAAAGTATGTTGATAGGTTTTGGCTGGCGCTTTTAAATTCTGGCAGTCCAGACTGGAATTTTGTTGAAATTTGTATCCAATTACAACGATAATAGGTCAAAATTTGCACACGATTGGACATTCGATTGTTTTATTTAGGATCAAAACAAGACGTCCCACTTGCCTGTAAAACGAGATAATGTCGTTGATCATTTTATACTGGAAAGAAGATATTTATAATATAATTATAAAAACTGTCATTATTACTTCAATTTTGTTATATTTTATTTGAATATATCATTGCAGAGAAGTTTCAAAAAACTGTAAAAGTATAAATATTTATATTTGTTTTTCTTTTCACACAAAGAAACAGCGCTAATTGAAGCTCAATGAAAATCACAGTGAAATTTAACCAGAATTTTGCTGTATTTCTAACTCTCGATTTGACCAATTATATTGAAAAGCGCTGACCCAATTATATTAGCAACAAATGTCAAGGTATGATCTAGATTCAAGTTTTCGTGTTTATTCGAAAGTAATATTTGTAGATATTGAAATTGTACTTCTAGAGATCGATTTATACAAATCATGTTCTCCGTATGTATGGAGAGATTATGAATTTCTTAACCAATCATTAGCGTTACTATAACTACTGCTTATGAAGGTGAAACTGAAACAAAATGGTTGAAAAAAAAACACGATTTGTACATCTGACTGTCTGAATCTCTATCATTGTAGTGCGCGATCATCCAGGCGTCATTTCTTTTTTCCATTATAATAGGTTAGGCCAATTACCCATTCACGGAATTTATCATAGCTAGGGCAAGGGATAACTGCCTAATCCATTTGGTTTACGTCAGGCGGCGCACGCGAAAACATGGATAGATCTGATGCGTTGGAGAGTGCTGATGGTAGGTGACTAAGAACTAGAGCATTGTTGTAACCAGCAGGGGCAAAGCAGGGGGCTTAATGACAGTGGACAGGTGGATGTAGGCTTCCCGTGGGGATAAATGAGTCACCTTGATTGTAGTCGTGTTAAAAACTTAATGTCTCGGAAAAATGACAATATTTAATATTAATACTTCTTTTTATGTGAGTGCGTGGGAGACGGTAGCGATGGTAATGTAATAATAAATATATATTTGCGTAGTTTTGAAAAAAAAAGTAATTTAGGGATTTACGTAACAAATGGGATGACTGTACTTTGATTCTAACACAGAAAACACCATATGATAATTTTGATCACTGAGAAGATTTATATCCATAGATCGACATGTTTGTACAATAAAGTTACATTAGAAAAAATAATTCGGAATTAGTGCCAAGATTTCCCATCAATCCAGGTATTGTGTTGTAGAATACAGGGCCGTTTTGTACGTTTTGCGGTAATAGGTTCGTGTGTGAGGATGGTGTTGAGGAAGTAATCTGACAATATCAAGTGCATTATTATAAAATGATACATTGTCATAACACAAATCTTATTGAAGTGTCGTAGACTAGATGTGAAATTAAAATCGAAAAATTTGATAATTACGACTTTTTTGTATATCATTATTCTGCATGTGAATATAAATATTTCATAGTCTCTCCGAATATAAATTACGAAGTGAAATTTGTATTCTAAATTCTTTATTGTAATATATTCATCAAATAAAACAGACGTTGTTTAATAAAACATTTAACATGCAGCATACGTTTAAAATGTTGTAGAAACTTTATTAAATTGAGTGAATAAACGAAAATTAGAACAAGTTTTTTTTATACATTTTCAAAATTTGTAATTCTTGAGAAAATGTCATTTATACGCAGTGCCAAATATCAGGTCATTCGCACGATTGTACAGGAAAGGTCAACGTTGTTAATTAAGTGTTTAGGAAGTTATCAAATCTGTCTTTTCAACATTTTGTCCAGATTTCATCGGCTTTCACGTTTAAAAACGTACAATAAATTTAGTTTTCGTAGTAAATTGCTACGCATCATTTTACGATTGAATTTTAATTCATGCTGCTTTATTATATTTTCATTTCAACTCGGTTTGTCTGAGGTTCTAATAATTTTATAAGCTCAAATGTTAAGAGTAAGTTAAAATGATAACTTTCAAAAATTTGGTAATTTTACAGTTTGTTTATAAATACAGATATTTCGTCATAATTCCAAAAAAAGTTCCTATATTTAGGGCTAAACTGGATGATATCACACGTTGCAGGTGAATTTTTTCGCATCGTCGGAGACCAACCCGAAATCTTCCGCAAAGGGGAAGAGTATTTCAAAATTCGTCTCGCAACTTTGGAATAAATCTAGACTTCTTCAATCATTTGAACATTTGTCATTCAGCTTCTAGCACAGATTTGTTCAAGCTTTCCACTATTCGGATATTTCAAGAATTTTTAGGGAATAAAAACATGAGGTTTTTCGTATGGATTTATGCATTCGTAGCATCCTTGGTTTTACAAGATACTGTAGCTTATTTTGGGTAAGTATAGTTTTTGATATTTTCTAGAGACGTGGTTACTCTGCGATATCATAGTATTGAAATGAAGCTAGTAAAAGAAAGAACCACGCTGGGGAATAGCGATATTTTTCGGCAAAATGTAAAATAATAATTTTTCAAATTTAACTACTTGAAGTGAAAATAATTCTAAATAAACAGATTAAAAAAATATTTTTACTAATTCTTCAATATGATATAACTAAATTCAAAAGCTGTGCATGTATGCGCTGAATGTATAGTGCAATTATAATGCAATAAAATATAGCAGGAAGCAATTTCAACTCAACAAAGTCGGTGTCTTATCTTTGACAACCGCAGCGGTAAATTAGGTCAGCAATTAGGTTTTGTGTAAAACAATAGCAATGAGGAAATAGCAATGTTGTTCGTGATCGCCAGACGAGACAGTATGGACACAAATGCATTTAACCCTCGTTTTAAAAAAAGTTGAATATCCGTTAAAGGCGTCCGGATTATATCCGATTTTATTGTTTAGCATTATTTTGGAAATAGGAGAACCATTCTTTTGGTCGTGTGGGCGTTTCCTATGAGTTTCAATCGCATGCGGTAGTCGATATATTTTGTAAAAAAAAAATATGTTGTCACAATCTTTTGATCACCCGTTTGATCTGAATAGCCAAGGCTGATCAAACCGATGATAATTAAGTATATGTACTTTTCTATCCGCTGGTAATCAAAAATTACCTTTCTGAATCTACATTGACGCGAAATCTAGAAAATCTCTAAGTAGCGAATCGTCCCTATAGTGATATTACTTTTTAATTTAATTCTTGGGATGTCTTCATCCAAAAAAAAAGGATTTCGAATTATCCAATGATATAACTTTGAAAAATAACTTTTAGAACGAAATACGTGAAAATTGATAGGTTTTGAAGAATTTCTAAACCAAGAGATGTAAACGGATGACTGTTGTTGAAAACGCGACAGTTCGAGGGTATCCCGCTGAAATATGCTAATTGATAATACCATTGATTAATCTATATATTTGTCCGTATGGTGATAGGTTTTACCCCCTTAAGTTAACTTTTTGTTGTAACGTGATTAGATTATTATCCGTTAGTAATGGTGTTCATCTTATTTCATTGTATGCTATACGCAGTGATGATAAATTCAATGATTTACATTCTCGGAATAGCGTCTTTGGCATAACTAGAACTTGATATGAAAAATCGGCCTCTTCACCTCTCACTAGCTTTTATATATTATCGAGTTCATTGGGAATCCAACTTGGAAATTGAATATATTGATAAGTTTAACTAGACTCGAAATAATTTGAAGAACAGATCTTAAAGATATTACTACAATAAAAGTTTTTATGACAAAATCATAAAATATTCATTAACGTCATTTTACATTTTTATTTTCCGTTATTTTCTACTTTACAAGAAAACATGTTTGCTCTGAAATAGCACAATATCATGCATTTACATTTATATAGAGAATTGTCAAATAACACACGGTCAGTACACAGCATATCATTTAAGATTTAATGAGGCTATAAAAGGGTCGTAAATGCCCATTTAATATATTCGCATATGATACTTAACGACATCATTCCGATGATATTACCATCCATAGTTAATAATTCAAAGTTTATATCATCTAGTCCCACGCACATAACATCATATATATACACTGTTCGAAAAGTTGAACAAAAATTTTATAAAAGTATATTTTATAACATTAAATGAAACGGTTAGTGTATTTTTAATTACAACAAATTGTCAAAAAAATCTCAATTCAAAAACACACAATATTCAGGGTTTTAAAAATGTTCTTTCTGCAAATATAAAGTGTAAAGGTGGCCTGCTAGTTCCACAGTCTAGAACTAACCATTTGTATAGATAGACATTGGCGCTGCGGGAAGAAATTGTCTTGATGGAGCGCGATCTTTTTCACCAAATTATCGTAGCAAATTATGAATATGATTTTTGAAATTATTGCTCAATTAATCAAATCGAAATTTTCCAAAACAAAGCATGTTATTACAATGTTGAATTCAGTTATTTCTCAATTCCATAATTGAATGATGTCACCCCGATCAGCACCCGAATGTGGCAGATGACAACTCGACTGGAAAGACCTAATTGATCGAAATGATTGTATGCCTACCAGAACTAAATCGAAGTGTCTTTGTTCAACTTGTTTATATGGAGTCTCAACGAAAGAATTCCGTAACCCTATAAAGAATGGGGGTGTATGTTATTGCAACACCGACAACTTTCTATATGTAAGGTAACATCTGCCTTGTGAAAATTACGAGAGGGTGCGCGCGGGTACAAACGAAAGAGATCAAATTGTTTCGCTCAGTGAATCGAATAATTCTGCGAGGCATTAGAAAAATTTTGAAAATCTGTATAAAGTTTCATCAAAAAGGAACTCTCGTCATCAGTGTATGTACATCATCTTGTTACTCGCGTAAATTACTTATCTCTGTGACATCACAATCATAAATGATAAAACAATGATATGATGTAATATAAATAACTCCTGATCACGACATTTACAAGAAAAATAAACCACAAAAACTTCTTCGAATGAGCTAATGTCGGTTAGCTGCTGTCAATTTGCAGATAAATACGGCGGAGTTAATGTACGTAAAATCCATATAGGGATAATTTGGTTTACAATAAACAAAAGGCGATGATAGGTAACAACTTAGGAATGCCAATAGTCCTTGTCAAAAAAGAGAAATTACTTTTCTAGAGTGATGGCAACATCGGGAAAAATTGAATTGGAACATTCAAATTAATTGCGCTAAATTTAATAGAATACCAGCATATTGTTTGGTAACTGTGATATATGAAAAAGCCACGAATAAAATTTACTTTTTTGTATAAAAATTACTTTCATATGTTTATATTCGACGAAGTTCGTATATTTTTAGTTGGTTTATGTAAATTCTTATTATCAGTTCGGAATGGAGTCAGATGTGTCAGATAATCATGGTCTTAGGAATTTTCATACCTGGCCAAAGATATGTGAACAGAATTAAAATGATTAACATTGTATCAAGTTTGATATAGTGTAAATAAACGTTATATTGTTGTTTAGTAAAACTTAATTCGTTGTCTGCTCGAACTAATAGCATAAGCTTTTCTTGTCTAGAATTCCATTTTTTGAAGGAAGTTTGTCCTATTTTACCATGCAAATTGCCTGAGACTAGACTTTTTGTTCTATTTTTACAAGTCTTAAGATGGCTCTTAATCTAACATGAGCGAAATGTTATGCCAAGCATTAAAACCTATTTGCTTGCGTCATTAACATGTAAATATTATTTCGTTATTGCGGAAAGATCTTCAACTTGAGGGGCAATATTTCAAGGTTGGTGGCCTTTTAAATAACCACAGTAATTCCATATAACCCACCTTTTTTACTTACTGCTGTGTGCAAAATTTTGTTTCCTAAACTGTACTATGTACAAATCATTCAAACAATATTTAATTTTTTATCAATCAGACATCAAATCATGTGGTAACTAACAAATTGCCATTACTAAAGTCGTAAGCACGTTTCAAATGGTCACTAATATGCAAAAGTCAAAAACTACTCAGTATAATAAAAATAAGTAGTATTATAAGTAAAGTATGGGAAATGATCGCAATCAAAGACATTCTTCTATATTGCACAAACAATCATTTATTTATTAAAGGCGAAGATATTTTTTATGTTTCATTATTGATATTTCTATAAAATGATGAAATACTTCTGAAATCCATCTACATGCACGTTAGATTTAAATTTCACACAAATGTTCTGGAGCCGAATACTAAAAAAACTTTCAAACTTTCAAACTTTCATAATTTGAAAGGAAATCTATGTTCGCTTAAATGTTCCTAGAAATATTAAACGTTCGAAATTTTGAAGCCGAATTTTGGTGTTCATAAAGTGGTATAACTTTGGAATTTTATATTACATAAATTTACTTCTGTTAACATTCATTCAAGAAAATTCCACCACAAGTGTTCAACATGATAAGATGATAATACTTCATACAAAAGAGTTTTGATGAGTATTTTATTGAGCTTCGGCCTACGATTTTTGTGGTAAAAGCATCCTTACGTAAGGCTGTGCAAACATCTTGTGTATTTATTACCCTTGTTCGCGAGACCAATAACACTTCAAAACACAGTAAAGTTTATTGATTTTTATGGTATATACGCTTCACCCAGGATAACGTCTAATCTTATCCATAACATACACATTTTATGTATTTGAAAACCTTGATCGTTTTTGAAAATTGCCTTACAAACTATTTTTTCCGATATGTTGCACTTGATGACGTAGGATTGAAAGATGAAGCCCTATGCTTCCGATTTTAAAAGGTTTGAATATTTTCAGCTGTGAGGTGCAACTCATTGAAGAGTTAATATTGTCAAACAATTCTTCTTTTGATATAAGTATTTCCGTATTTCCGTTCAAACTACCAGAGTAGATTTAAATATTCTAGATTGATCGAATAATTCGTGCATCTTAAACGATATGACCATTGCCAATAACTTCAATATATGTGTAAGGATCAGATCAAAGTTACATCTAGAATTGATAAAAATGTGAGATTTTTTTTCTACCTCATTTAATAAAGCTATTCACAGAAACTTCTGATTTCATGATTGAAATATGTGAGATGCAGATACGTAAATGATTAGAGTACAAAGACTAATAATTAAATCCAATCTTGGAAATCATATTTTTATTTCGAACATATTTTGCACGATACGTAAAAATAAACATAACAGTATAAATAAACCCACACATATTTATTAATTTCGAATACTTGCGCAATTTTCGCACTTTTATGTGGCAACATTCATCTACCATTCCTATCATTTAGGTAAGACCTGAACTTAACTTTTCTTCATCGGAAGCTAATCTAAATTGCTATACATTTGTAGATATTAAATTCCAAAAATCAAATTCAAACTATTTCAGTTGGTATATTTTTCACGGGAAAGCGCTTTGATGTGTACTTATGGTAGCATAACTTCACATGAAATGGTATGTCTAATTTTAAAATCCGCTCAATGACTTTGACCGCTCGCGTTATCGCAATCATATCTTAAATGGTCAATTTCATTATTAGGTCGTATTATGTGAATACCAGAGCAAACGTACCCACGGACGTCAGCGAATTTGCCGCCACAACAAACGATTTATCGGTATAAAATCGGTACAAAAATACTTTGGCACTGCATCAAATAATGATAAATATTAACTAGATTTTTATTATATATCTGTTTCAAATTTTCAACTATACCATTACTGTGTTAATTGTTATGAATTTTGAGTAATCTAACCATGTATCTTTCTACGCAAGTGCATTTATCCGGTTTTAGTTGGAAATTTTAGTTGCATAAACATTAGATAAGGGAAATGTTTGGATGATCTTCTAAAACGATGGTACATTGTTTAACTATAAATATAACTAATACATTATATAATACTTTCGAAAATATGTTCAAAGTGTTATAAAATATTGGCTTTCGTCAAATATAGTAATGGAAAGATATAACTATCTGTTATTAATATCGGAAAGATATAAATAATATGACGGCAAATTGTAGTTTTATACTTCATAGTTACAGAATGTAAATAATTTTGTTTTACTAGTCTTTGGAAATTAGCCTCAATTACGTCACAGCGCATAGGGTGGCATAAATCAACCTCTAGCTGTGTTTACCCCATAAACGATGGTTTGTCTCGGGCGAGATCTTGTATCACTTGCAACATGGGAAAGGCCAAATGTTGTGGTACACCCAAGAACTTATCTATCTTGTCTTTTTGACCCTGAGCAAAATCAAATATGACCTTTATGCGTTCCTGGTTTCGTCCACTCTGGATTGTGTACTTAAGCATAATGCAATTGGTTGCATCAACTGACCGACGGACTGATTTATCGAAAATAAATCTAGGCCTTTATTAAATCAAAATATTCTGTATGATTTCGTTATTTACTTTCTGTCTGACACCATTATTCATTAATTTATATAGTCAATTAAAGTAGATGTCCCCAAACAAGGTATCACGAAGCGATCACACTATAAATTAAAAAAATCAAAAAATATTGGTATTTACCTAGGTCTGTGATTTCTCTGACTCATAGGATTATGTTAATTTAACCATTCTATCATATATTGTAGATTCAATATACCAGAGGAGGTTGTGAAAATAAATATCTTTCAAGCGTAAAGAACATCGAATTTTGATTTTGGCGTTTGTTTTTATCGAGACTCACGTAATTTTAGTCTATAATTTTAATGATTTTACCGTAAAAATGGCGTCAACTTCGATACAATTTGATGTATTTTATGATTCCTCATTTTGTGGTTAATTTAATTGTTATTCAGAGCTTCAATATATCTGACTTTAAAAGTATATTTTATATTTGTGTTGATTTAAATGCTTTTTAACAGTGACTTATCTTATGAGACCTGGATGTTTTTGGTTCAGGATCCCACAATCTGATCCTTTCATGTTTATTTTCTTTGCTGCTTGAATGAGCATAAGCACTTGTTCAAAATTATGTGCAAATCATGTATACATCCGTTCTACATTATGACTTGTTTGCGCAAAATTTATCGAAATATGGTTCACCACACACAGTTTTAAAGATTTGACAAAATATAGCCAGTATTTTGTAAATTCTTGTCAAAACGTGGTAAAATTTCTTCAAATAACGTAATTTTGTCAAAAAAAAATCGTAAGGTTAGTGATGCAGACCGGATCACTGTTCTTGGTGCAAATGTGGAAAAATAAATTTTTACTTTATTTGTGAACTGTGAATTTATGAGATTGTAAATGGACTTGTCACAAAATCCGTCATGTGAATATTATGCGCAGGTAATTTTTTCACTGAAGTGGATTACATTTACTAAATAAAAAACTTGTGGAAAAATCGAAAATGACATCTTTGTTAGCGTACAAAATAGGTTTAGTAGCAATATAGAATTATGGTAAAATATCAAGAAATTTTTGTATTGTTAATCACAATTCTGGATTAAATTGCAATTGCAAGTAAAATTTGATTAAACGACTTCTCGGATGCTAATCACATATATATCAGCACTATGGGCAAGTAAAAATGCCATAATATTGAAATTTTGTCTGTTTCTAGGCTGACATCAAAGGGACAACTGCGGGAAATCAAACCGGTTGACCCAGAAGCTATATTTCTGGCAGGAGACACTAAAGATGAAGTGTATATGTGGAGTGAAAATGGATACTATACAGCACCGTCTAACGGATACGAAAGAATAGATTTAAGCCCAAAGCCTGATACTGATTCAACGCAGTCTCGAGGTAGCTATTTAAAAAAACAGGAAGAATTTATATCTTTTACTAATACCAAATATATATCCTGCAATCAGTTTTGGAACTATTTTAATATTATAGGTCAAAGACTTAAAAAAGACGCGGAGTCGAGAAATACGAATTCAGAATCGCCTGAAACTGGAATATCAAGGGGTGATACTGGAAATCCAATACCTCATATACATCAAAACACAGATGGGACTGCTCAAGGCGTCTATGGGGTGAGTTGATCAATACGGGAAGGATGTAATCATTGCGTTGCACTTTCGATGATTTAAATAGAAGATAAGTATATATATAAAACGTTTTCTCGGTTCACCTTTGCGGGGGATATTATAAAAGTATGGCAAATTAATACAGTATTTGAAACATAGAAACTGAAACCCTTCAATAATTCACACGAAACTAGTCATAACTTATTTGAATAGGCTTTATTCATCAGATCATAAATAGTATTTTTTCCTAATTCAATTTTTTTTTGGCGAATAACTTGTTAGTTGTTTTGAGTGATGAAAATTTGAATGCCAAAGCAAACACCCTCCTGATATTCATTGCAGAATACAGATATGAAACCGACAACTGGACAAAGACCAGATCCACACACACGTCTCACTCCATCTTACACCAGAAGACATGCAGGACCACACCCCGGATATCGCAATTTAAGGGTATCTCAGTATCCAAGACGCCCTTATCAAGTTCCGCAGTTCAGGTACCCACCAGGAATGTACAGATACGGAAGAGACGGACTGAGAATGATAGCTTCGTCGCAAGGACCGCGTGTTACAAATGGAAACCGACAAGCTTATAGAATGTTTGATCAAGCGATATCCCCACCGGTACAATCCGTTAATATTGATGGCATAGTTTCAAGCAAAGATGGCTCGCAACCAGCTTACGAGCGTTATCGTCAAATATCTCAGCAGCAGCGACCAGCGACTGGAAATCCAGATCTCCACCAAAGATCTAGACAAGGACCAAACTATCGGACTTCATCGAGCAGTCGTAATACTGAAATATCGGATGTCAATATTTACCAACAAAAGAGAATGGAGTATGCGAGAAAACGAGACGTAAACGGCCGAATCAATCCGATTATGCATGCAGTCCATTCTGGAAAACACATACAAGAACGAGAGAGATCGCTTGCCCTGGAAGTCCCGGCAGAATCTAAAACAGAAAACAATGCCGAGTCAGGAGATATTGAAATCAAACCTTTGTTTAGGTCTGAAGACATCCCATCTACCATGACATTTATGGGCGTGGACGATAAAGGGCACGCCTATGTAAAAGTAAACGAAGAAATAGATGCCTCATCGTTTTCAGCGGCTCTTCGATCCGACGCAGGATCTCGCGCAACTGATTTACCCCCAATGGTGCCATCGGCAGATATAAACCGGAGGAAATCGAAAAAGAAGTGTGACGAGATTAAATTGACCAGGAAACAAAGAAAGTTATGCAAGAGAGATCCTGGCCTCCCTCAAGTTCTACACGAAGCTACGGCAACATCAGTGGCAGAATGTCAGCATCAGTTTCGATTTGAACGTTGGAATTGTACAACTGGGAATACGAGAATACATTTACTTTCTAAAGGTATTATATTCATGCTTAAGTTATGTCAAATATATCTTGAACAAATTGTGATTAAGTGTAGTTAATTACGAAATAATACTTTTGTCACGCTTCCATTTTGGAATAACCTAGCTGCAATAAAACACTTCATAGCATTTCAAATGATTTAATGTGACGTTATAGTGTAGCGTTAGTTACTAATACATCGCTCTCATTTATTTTAAATTCATATTCACGGACAAATAGATATAACATTGTAATGTCTGACGACTGTCGGCATTGATCCGTAATTGGTCAAATTATTTTTTTGATGCCCAAAGTTTCCTATTGTTTCGAACTCTAACTAGTTCATCGGTCTTTGGATCGCTGAGAAATGTTTGGGCAAAAGTTGTTCTCACGACGTGACTATCTTTTTTTTTCTTGAAATTTGTAAGGAGTGCTGTTACTTTTTATCTTTTCATCTTGCTTTTTCATCTGAAATCGGTTTTGTTTTAGTTGAAATTTTCCCTTATTCAAATTATGCCGATTGGTTGAAGATTCATATTTAAGGACCTTTGTTTAATCAGCTAGGATTATGTCTACATTATTAACACACTATTCAAAATCAAAATGCGAACACACCTAGAATAGTTTATTTCGCTTTCCACTTGGCGCGTTCAGAAGTAGTGCTTCGCATCTGGACATCTTTGCGATTATCATATTTCAAACGTTAACGTCACATATGTATCATGTATAAAAAAGTACTTTATTTTGAGGTAATTAACTATTATAGATGAGCTTCATCTCCAATATAAATCTATCATCCTTGTTTAAATAGTAAAATACTAGACCATATTATTAGCAAACACGCCACATGAGACGACATAATTGTGTGTTCAGTCAGCCGCTGGTCGATGAAGACGTCTGGCACGTCGGATACCCTGGGAACTAAGGATATATTCTCACGCAGTTTGTTCAAGTTTACGGTCCGTTACGTCGATTACGTAATTTGTTCCGGAAAATTTAAGCGTGTTGGGTGACTTCTCAAGTTTTTATTTTGTATGAAACAATTTGAAGTTAAAATTATCATTTACAAATTTACCAAAATTACTATATTGTCCGATTCTTTATTTTCTCTCCTTCATTTCTTTTATTCTCTTTATATATAAATAAAGCCTAAATTGCAATATAAATTTAACAGGAAATCAAATACAATTGTCTTTTTAGGAGGCTTAAAAACGCCTCAAAAATTGGTGTAACATATTTCACAGTCAGTTCCCACATAACAACATTAAAACCACATTTCAATTGTATTTCAGGTAACAAAGAAACTGCTTTCTTGTTTGCCATATCCTCAGCAGGACTTACACATTCAGTGGCTCGAGCTTGTGCTGAAGGATATTTAGAAAGATGTTCATGTGATGAAACTTATTCTGATCATGTAAATCAAGAAGCATGGATGTGGGGAGGGTAAATTATCTTATTTTATTCATCTACCTCGCTTTCTTGATTTCTTATGAATCACGGTAAAAATGTTTATTAGTACTGTATATATTCGGGTCGAATTAACATTATTGTTTTGTTAAATAGATTATTTTTACATATGTTTATTACATTTTTTACAGATGCGGTGATAATGTACACAGTGCATCAAAATTTGTCCGACAATTTCTTAAACCAAAATCAAGAAGCCGAGATATAAGGGCGGAAGTTGATAAACATAACAGCGACATGGGTATAAGGGTACGTTACTAATTCAATAAAATCACTTTTCGGATATCCAATGCGGTGCTTTACACAGTTATTTATACAAAATTCAAGGATTTCTGGTAGGATGTATTTCGAGTGTGGTGAGGTAGTATTTCTTTAAAAACTCTGCTATATGTAATGTCACACTCATTTAGATGTAAAGGAGACGACAACTAAAATTTCATGCGGTACTGAAAGCACACTAAATTATTACGGTGCATTACGCGTCAGTAAGTGCCAAATGACACGAGACTTGATGACTTCCAATCAATACAATCAGAAAACAATTTTGGGGTTATCAATTCCTCATACATGAGACTGTTAGAACAAAAAACTTTTGGCAATAAAAAATTCTTTGTCTATAAGTTACAACGAAAGTAAACGAATGAAGGCTCACATGTTGCATTACGTATGCTCCATTTCTAACCGGACTTGTTGTTTAAAACGAATGAGTCATGAACTATTACGCTAATGATACATAAGTTTCATTTTCCGATGATGTTTGTTTCCTGATCAACTTTCGACTGAAGATTTTGTTAAGACCGTGATTTTCTTGTGGCTATTGTGGATTCAGAAATTGCCCATAATTTCGGACCTCCCGTGCGTAAATGTATTTAGATGACTTTGATTTGAATCTGGCCTCGACCTTTTTTAATCCTGTAAAAACAGCTCGTTTTGTATTCGCATTAATCCACGTAAGTACCTTTGACAACAAAATAAGGTGTTGTGGAGCAAGAGTCGACCAAAAACTGTACTAAGTGCTGCTGTAGAAAGTCAACCCGATTTGAAGGGCTAGTGCTAAATCTTAAATCAGACAGTGTTTATATCACAAAAAGCAGATAATAAAATAATGATCGAATAAGAACGGATCTCTCTATTTTGCAAAGCTAACGGCGCGACGCCCCAAGAGGATCATAAAGCTATTTACGACCTATCTTCCAAAAAAGGACTTTCGAGCATCCTATCACGTCCTTTTGACTAGGTTAAAAAAAAGAATCAAGTCTCCCTATTAGGGGATTATCCCTCATTTTGTGTTAAACCTGAAAAATGTGTAAGATGTATACCTTGTGACCCAAAAATGTTCCATTTATTTTACCAAATATTTTTGATGCGTGAAAACAAAATGGCTTTAAGTGCGACATAAAGCCTATTTTCGAATCTAAATTACCAATATGACAACTCCACAAAATAGTATGCCTGTATTTTAATCTACTTTCCTACTGTGAGTAATTCTGAAAATAATTGGTAAGAATTATTTGGAATGATTATGTACTGTTTATTTTGTAGGTAGTGAGACAGAGTGTACAAAAAACGTGCAAATGTCATGGTGTTTCTGGATCTTGCACAACAAAAACTTGCTGGCGAAAGGTTGCTCCGTTTTATGAAATTGGACAAAAAATTAAGGAAGCTTATGATAGATCAGTGAAGGTAATATTAATCTTGTTTTTAACACCATTTTTAACACCATCTACAATTATACATATCTCTGCAAATTTGAGTTCAACTGTGTTTTTTAAACGGGTTACGCCAAGGAAATCGATTCAGAATTGTTCTGTTTATTATGTACACTCTGCAATGCTCGGATTGACGCAAAACCATCTGGCTCTTATGTGTCATTAAATTTATTTTTTTGAAAAAAATATTTATGAGATCACGACCCTACTTGATCGTTTACTTTGTTTTCGAATCGATGCGGCCCGATGTTGTATTCCGCGTCGCCATTTGTAAGATTGATTAGGTCGTTTGAACGAACTATGTGCAAGAAAACTTTTATTGGTTTTTCAGGAGTGCATTTTTTTACTTTGTATGCATTAAATGCACAAGGCAATGTTTTCTTTAGCCAAGATATCTTTGTTTAAATATTCCTAATGTTAACCTCAGATGGGCTACCACATGTATCATGTAACCAATTATTACCAATAAAATTAACTAGTTCAATTAGATGCAGCAGATAGGGAGAAATAACGGATATAATAAGATAAAATGGACGTATGCTTTGATCGTTGTCAAACACGTATGGAATAGTCAAATTTGAAACATACGACATATTTATGAGTGACTTATTTCGTTGATGATGTACCCTTGTACCTATTAATGATCTAAGAAAGCTTTTCTACGTGTCATCGAATATCGAGATGCATTTTAATAGGGGGTGGGTGAATGTACAATCGTCCGCAAGCTGTGAAAATTTGTTTTGCTGAAAGTTTTTTCCACAAAACTGCAGAAAATGCATTGTGTTAATCGTTGTGCAAATTCTCGCTCGAGAGAGCGTGATGTGTATAGAAAGCCACCCCTCTTGAAAGAACAATCACTTTAATTGACAACACAAACAAGAAAAGCTTGCATCAGATTTGCCTCTTATGCGCCACCATCAAATAAACATTGATTCTGCAAATATGGGTGGTTCTGTGCTGTTTACAAAAACTAGATTGATGTTGTTTACTTGCATCTTTGCATCGTTCTTTGCAGCAAAGGTGCAACCACGCAAATATACAGTTTAAGGGGCAACTGTAGCGGGTATTAAATGGTATAAAATTATTTCCCAAAGTGTGATGTCATATTACTGTTAACATGCCATGCACATGTTCATCTTCCACGGGTAACAAAACATTGTACATTTAACGAAAATACAATAACATAATTGAGGATCTTGTCATTCAAAACACTAAAACTGTTATACTATGCCAATACTAAAAATTGCAAAATTGTTATCATGCGTGAATTTGGATAAGCTGGCGCGCAAAAATAACCAAAATTGAATAAGCATAGTGTCTGTACAATACACTACAAATATTTAAACTCGTGAGGTTTACGCTATTTATACCAACTAAATATATTCATGTGAATTATATCGATGTGATTTATATATTTACAGGTTGGTAGTATAAACAGTGCAGATGGAAAACCAAAGCTAATTAGACTACGTCGCAGCAGAAGAAACAGGCCAGAACTACGGCCAAGCGTTTCAAACTCCACCAACGTCAGTGCAATGTTTGACACTACGTCTACCAGTGACATTTCTGGCGACTCAGGCAACATATCGAGAGTTGGTAGGCCACGCCTGAGGGTTGAACGGAGACGGATCGATATAGGCGGAGTGAGAGAAAATCCGCGAAGTAATGAACTAGTATATCTCGAGAAATCACCACAGTATTGTAGGCGTACGCGATTTTCTCTCGGCACAAAGGGAAGATTATGTGATAAGAATACGAACTGCGATAAAATTTGTTGTGGACGTGGTTACACAACACATATTAGGATAGTTCGGAGATCATGCCAATGTGAAGTTCGATGGTGCTGCTACGTTGAGTGCAAAACATGCACGGAGAAGAGAGAGATCCACACTTGCAAATGATGATCGAAACGAGAGGACACCAGTCATTCTTTTAGTTTTGGCTGAGCGTTCGCATTAGGCGGAAACACGTGCAAGGTGTGTCATATGTGCGACACTTCGAGAACGTCGTCACTGTGGTATGGGTTGGTCGAAACGACCTGAATGGTACGCTCCTTGGACTGACTCCACAATTCGTCAGAATGTTACACTAAGTTTTCACTAGACCCAAAAATGTCCATTCTTTGAAATTTTGCACTAGATATTGAACATTTTGCACATTGCGTTGTGGTGTAGATGGTGGTGTTCATTCCCGATTTCTTATTACGCTACTACTGTTCTGTACGAAACGCTCATTCATACTTGAATGAGAAGAAGTTGAGAGTGCGCAAAAAGAATATATATGAGCAAAATATTTTAATAACAATAATTGCTTTCTCCGGAAAGTTTCCGTAAAATATTGAAAAAAAAGCACGACCATTTACGTCTAGCAGCTTGTGATGCAGTATTTCGTATGCAGTATTATATTCCAACAAAACAGAAGTTATGATAATCTCTATATTAAAACAATCGATAACACCAAAATTAATAATTAATAATTAGCAAAGTACTAGTGAGATTGCTATCACATTACAACACAATCGAATAGGAGTTTTTTTTTGCTTGTAATTTAAAAACTAACCTTGTTGTTGGTTAGTGGGTAATAATTCAGGAATACCCAAATTTGATTTAATGAATTTTATCGATAAAGTTGTTTTCTGCTCGACTGAATATTATTCTATTGAATTATTCTGATCAAACAAAACACTTTTGATGTTTTATTAAATGACTATAGTTTTTGGAATATGTTCCTTTTGCAAAATTTTCTGTATTTTAACATTTTTTGTGCTTTGCGTATATTTTATTTATTTATTTATCATATTTTTTCATAAACATTTCCATTGTCACAATAAAGGATAAATCACAAACTTTGTTCCGAAAGCATTTTTAATGAGTACTTCGGTATAAAGTGTGTTAGCCACAAATTCAGTTTTTTTAAAAATTAATGAACTTGAATATTCAACAACATCAGCGAATATATACATATATATATAAGATGTTTGCGCACACACTCTTTCGGGCGCTCCAGAAGTGTGTGTACCATCATGGAGGTAACTAATTTTGTTTGCTTATTTTACATCAATTTGTGTAAAATGATTGAAACCCATGGGCAGGGGGTAAATTCACTTGGCTAACACAGACAGTCCCGAACTCGTAATAGAACTAAAATGAGGAAAATCAGAATAAAATTATGGCCTAACCTTAACCTACGGGAGAACACACTATTACGGGGGTGCCCTGCTATGTATAATATTTCAGGGACTAGTTTTTGCTAGTTTTAATTAGTTTACCACTAATTATAGTAAATACTTTTACATATTTGAGCCATGATTTTAGAATTCGGTTTTGAGAAATTGTGCTATGTAGCCAGGGGCGTGCCAAACTTTTCTGCTGCCTGGGGCGAGTTTCTGATAATTAGGGTTTTGGTTTTCATCGATTCTAAAAAAAACAGTCTGTTTTAAAACAAGGTCTTGTTTAAAATCGATTTTTTTCCTGTATCTTTCGTGTTTTTCATTGAATTACCCCTCTAATCGACGTAAAACTACACCAAAATGTTGAGTTCTGGCTCTTCACAAGCTGCCGGAATAATAATTTCAAAAATGTAGGAAAAAATCCCTGCTTTGACTTCCGCTTTCATCTATAACTTTATCGCCAAGATAGTACATATACCAAAATCATAAGCTTTTAGTTAACAAGAATGTTTATCCGAGATGTCAGGGAGACGTTCCGAATGATAAAAGGCAAGAAAATCATGAAACATAGCTCGTGGGCTTACTATAGGCTTCATTAGGGTAAGGACTGTTCAGTTAATTTCAATAACCATATATACTTTGTTTTTAAAATTGAAGAGATAGAGTTCAAAGTTATAGAAAATATTTCATTCGGTCATCTTTCAATATTTTTCATCTTTTAAAGTAAACGATAAATATTTGGAGTTATTAACCTGAACAAAAAATACGAGATCTATAAAGTTTTAAACTGAAAATATTCTGGAACGAACCTTCACAGTTTAAGAGCAATTTGAAATTGATTGTCAAGGCTCTCGAGGTTTGAGGTTCACGGTTTTAGTCTACCTTGTCTAATGGAATACCCGAACCTGGTTTGAATCCCTTGAGTGATGTGCAAGATGATTACTGGACCCCTCGCCCTCGCAGGGTGGTTCACGTAATGGCTTATCGTTTGCGCCAACCGCCAATGCGGGCCCATTGCGCTAAAGCTTAGAAAGCGAATATACACAAGCCATCAATATTTGTGGTGTTTGGAAGAGTATATTGCAAATAAGAAGCAATTGGCAAGTTACACCCATTTTTAAATCCATTGTTCCTTGTTTTAGTTTGACCTATTTAATACAAAAAAAATCAAATAATACAGCAATTTAAAAAAAAAAAACGGGCAATAAAAAAATCGATTTGAAACAATTTCTTTTGAACAAATCCCTACTGATAATGATGCTCCTTATCCCCAATGGACATAAATACATCCCTGACTTAAAATATAATTCCGATAATAGACAGACAACAGATTATAGATGTCGTTATGCATGAGAATAAATAAATTAAAGGTCAAGTAAGGTAGAAACATTTGTTTAATGAAATAAATTATCAAACTAAGCAACAAACTCACATGTATAATATCGAACTCATTTATTAACAAAAAGCAAGTCACTTATTTTTATGTCTAATTGCTACTTAGCTGCCAACACTTAACAAATGTCTGAACGACAGCCTCCTCCACCTTGCTCGTCATGAAATTCTTTTCAATCAAAAGGTAAATTTGACAGGCGCTGATTTAACATCGAAGATATCAAATATGTTTTTATCTTTTTCAACTTTGAGAAAGATCATTTGCTACAAGTAATTGAGGATATAATTTTGAGTAATAAACGATATCTAATCAGGGTTGTCTAAAACGAATCGAATATTCGAATACCTTTTCGGTTGGTTTACGAATAATTCCTAATAATAGCCACTTTTCGTCGGCAGCAAGGTGTTTTTGAGGGAAATCTTTAAACGATTCTACGCGTTTTGTCACGTATTGTAATGACGATGAAATAGTATCGGTACTTTGATTGTTTGTTATTATATTCAATTTTTGATTTGCATTTTTGTATTTACGAAAAAATTTCATTTTTACGACTATTCGAAATAACGTTTATTCGGTATTGGCCATCCTAGGTTGAAGCGTATGGCTGAAAATATGGAAATAAGAGTTAAGTTTAATTAGTAGAAAACATTCGTCTTTTTGTCACGCGCCTCGCATAGATCCAACCATAGTCTGATATTAAATAAGTTAAATAAAGTCGTGCGCTTTTTTACAAATTGCGATACCCAATAAATTGTCGCAAGTCAAAAAAACAAGTTGATTTTTTAGGAAAAATATTTTATACATTTCTCGCTTTTGGGCAAATAATTTTGATTATGATAGTTATATGTATCGATATTTTACTTAGATGTTGCGCAAAATATTCAAATCAATAAACGATACCAGCCTTTGAAATGCTTTACCGTATTAATTTAATTTTGTTTAACCCATGGTTGCGATGGCTTACGAAAAAATAAAAGCATTACTAGAAAATGCTGTGATAGACTACTAGGCTAAACTTTTCTATCGGTACTGAATTAAAATGATTGTTTGAGACATATAAACCAGTTTAATATGAGTAATAAAATAACGCATACTCTACATCTTAGTTCTGCTGCCCCCTAAAACGTGCTGCGCAGTGCGGCCGCCCCTTTCGCCCTCTAGGCACGCCGCTGTAATGTAGCTATTTTAACACTAAAAATTACAAGATTTTTTTTATCTGATATTCTAGAACAGTGGTCAGCAAACTGTGGCCCACGGGCGGAATGTGGCGCACCAACAAAATTTTTGTGGCCACCTAATTTTTAATTCATAAAGGAAAAAGGATCTTCTGTATTAAGCCCCCACAATTGTTTAAAATAGGGAAATAGTGATTATCTGGTTAGGGTTAGGGTTATGAATGCACATTGGGCTTAAAATTCGAATTTGCATATCATTCCAGCCCTAACTGGATAATTACTAATTCTTTTTTCAAAACGTGGCGAGGCTGTTCTTCTCAAATCTCACATTTTTGCATTAGTGGTAAGGGCTGTACAAAACATCCATACAAAAATAACCGGTACTCATTAATTTATTATTATCTGCACACGGAGATGTGTCGTAACAATGGCTGCTGTACTGAGTTTGTTTTGTAGTAGTAATTAGTTGTATTCATGTAGTTCACTTGTCAAACATGCCTACCGCTAGTTGTAATTAGGGTTAGGCAGGTAATTAAAGCAATATATTTATATTAGAACAAATATGGGGACACGGAGGACAAAACTAAACATTTTATCATCAATTCAGGAAAACGATATGCGATAACTTACCAGTAGCCGTATCGAGAGGCGGACAACTGACAACTTACCTGAGGCAACTCGACCACCGAGGTGGGGTACTGGTAACGGTGCTTGGACTGTCATAGCGTTTCCAGGTCCTGTGACGATGAACCATTATTCATGATTCAGTTTCAACGTAAATTGAAATACCAATTGATCCGAGTCACTTCTGTGTTACCAGATCAGGTACCGCTGTCTGCCGTTCCCCATAAAAAACTAGATGTAAGTACTGATAGTGTCGCGGACTAAAGTGTCCGTGTTTATATTGTGTGTATATATATATTTATGTTTATAAACAGTTGTGTTGACCCTTGTTTGATGCTGTTTTGTTAGATCTGGACTCCGAACACTCACTGCACGTGAGAGAAAAACTGTGTCTTTTGTTCTGGCGGCCGGCCGAGTCCTCAGTTGTCTAATGATGTTTTGTTTGATCTGTTCAAGTTTGATATTGGAGTTCCCGTACAATAAACAACCAATCCGGAATCCTTGAGTCTTCTGATTCTTCTACAATCACAGTAGCAACACCTTTTTAATCTGTGACAATGGCGAGCACGCTAGGATTTCATCTTTCTACCGTGACAATAGTGATACATGGCTATCATCGCATTCCAGGCTGAAAGGAGACGCCGAAAACCAATACTGGTTATCGAGCGGCGGCATTCGCAAATTACCAGTTTTTTTGACTGCTACCATATTGCTAATTCAGTCTGTAGATGTGATAACTCTAGCAATTACCTCTCTATTCTCTAATTCCGTAAGTTTATTCAGAAGATCATTACGCATTGCAAACACAATCTACGAGGTTGATGCTTTACCGGAGGAACTTGGGTATGTATTTCTATATGATATTCTCCCGGAAAACAACCTAGACCTTCAATAAAATCAGCGTACTTTTCTAAAATATCATCAACAACGATGTGACTGTTTGTGCAGGAAGTGTAAGTCAGAGCCACTCGAGCACAAAGGAGGTGTAATTAAAATTGATTGTTTATCAATTATTCCGTCGTCGCGGCGCGATTATTGTGATTGGGAAAATGCGACTGATGGGTCCACGACTAACGAGAAGTTTGGTGATAAAATTGAACGCTTGTATATTACTACTCAATGATGATCGTAAGGTATGGAAAGAGTAACAATGGTACTTACTTTTGATGCAAGGTTTTAAAACATAGCTCAAAACAACAAGATCGAACATCTTTCACCATTCCACTCAATTTTCCATGAGTTAGCACGAGATAGATAGTACTTCCAATTTGCTTCGCGTATATGCATACAAGTGGCGTCTTATTGGACACGAAATGAACCTATTGATTGTGTTTGGACATGGAATGGACCTTGAATAGATTGCTTTGGTATCATGTTTTTGTTGTGGTTAGAGTTCTTTTCCTTGTTGTTGTTATGAAAAGAATGTCCTTCTCTTTAAGTATTGTCCAAGTGCTTCAAACTTTTCAGTGGTTAAACGTTGTTGTTGTCACTAGAGGGGTATTACTTTATTCATACCTAAACCTTCTTTGCATTCTATGAGATCTGATATTTTATCCCAAATTTTGCTGTTTATTTTTTATTCATGGCAACACGATTTATATTCCACTTGCGATAACGGTTTCATTGTTCCAGCTTCGTTTACGATGTGGTTTCGGGGAAATTGTGGGTAAAATATTTTGTTTGGCTTTTATGTTGATATATTCGAGCATTGCTTCCTAGTTTATTATTATGTTGTTGTTGGTATTCTTTTTCTTGTTGTTGTGGAAAATTTGATTTTCTTTTTAAATATATACTGGACTAATTGCTTTGAAATGTTCATTAGTTAAAGATTATTGTTGTCGCTTGAGGGATGTATTACTTTTATTTATCTTGAACATTTCGTTGAGCTCTATGAGATTTCACTTTAAAGTTTTATGTGGTGACGTCTTCAAAATGTGAAATTTGACATCTTATGGCGTTTCCCACGTCGCGTTCGCAATTGTAGCGATCTGGTAGTCAGTCGAAGACAGGAAGACAACAACTATCCAGTGTTATCAAATCCAACACCGGTGTACGCAGCTATAAAGCCCTCATATGTCTATATCTGGTCACCCCTGGAACATCAACTGAGGACGTTTCGCCGGTGCCGTGGTGTTTTTATCGCAGGTGACAGATTTCAGGCATTAGCATGATTTTTTGCAATAGGACATAAAACTTCTAACCTGTAACAAGTATTGTAAATTCCACCATTTATCACTCCTTGTATCAATTATAACTTTTATAATTTATTAAAATATAAAATTACAAAAATAATATTATATATACACTGGCAAATGCCTTTGACATTATCACAATAAGAAATAATATATAAATAGTAAAAAAGTCAGATAAATGCAACCGGGATATTGATATTTCTGAAATTCTTCAATCATGACTTTTAAACTTTTCAGAACGTCATAATCTCAAACATATTTAATGACTTCGGGAAATAAATTATCAGGATAATTGAGCTACGCAAATCAAATCTTCAATGCTGTAATCTTTCACATGGATTTCCACACACTTTTTCACTAATTTCTTCGGCAAATTCTGGTGTGAGTGTGTCGAACCCATCTTCCGCTAAGAATAACCTTGATTCTGCTCCTGCTATGTCACGAAGTTGTCCCATATCAAGTTTGCCGTTAGTGGGCGTGATACCAAGAGCAAATGTCTAGAACAGAATTAGTTTTGTTAAACAAGAAAGATATATTTAATTTGTTGCTACGGAGAGGTTAAAAAACCAAGAAAGCAAAATTATAAAACTTCTATGTTTCAATATATTTTTGATTATTTTTTTTTTTAAATAAAAAAAAAGTTTTAAGATGCAATAGATTTTTTTTTACTCTAGAGGGGTTAACTTTTCTGATTTGATGACAAACATCATGGCAATCTCAGCATCAAGATTTGTTACTTAGATCAGATCACTACTTGAACTTTTAAGTCTGATTTTGTTAAACTACGTACCAACACTCCATCTTTTCTCATGGCTTCCGACGGAAGTTTGACATCATCTTGGGCTCTTCCATCAGTAATAACGAGAACAACATCCGGTATGTTGTCTCTGTTTCCATATTCTTTCTTCAACATGTGTTCATGAACGTAAGAGATTGCCTGACCAGTCCAGGTACCTGAAGTTATCAAATAATGATTATCGTATGGTATCGTGAAGAGAAAATGTCAAATGCAGTATGATGATAACTTTATGAAGATAGTTGCTTAAAATTTACTGTTGAATATCATTCAGTTAGTGCGATGGAAATACCATGTTTTTCTGTATTTACAATCACACGAATACGTCAATGTACAAGATATATAGCTAACCCGGTACCCATCCCTCTCTTACTACTATTTCTTTTATGATATATTAATGAAATGAAGTGATCTATGTTGAATCAAAAGCACTCTGAAGAATACAAACGGTACTTACCAGTTCCGTCATAAGGCATTTTTGACACCAGTTCTTTCAACATTTCCAAGTCATCAGGACATTCATTCAAATTAATTCTAGTTTCTGTATCGATTTTCTTGTTGTATCGAACCACACCAAAATTCATCGCATCTCGTTGCACAACGAATAGACTAAAAAGCGTAAATTATAAAGGAAAATCAATCCTCATAATGAATGATAACTTTTGATATATTTACAATGAAATATTTTTCATATATTGTTTTTTTTTTGTTTTTTACTTCGATTTGTTTTTAAGATGAATTTCCCAAAATTGATTTGATGTTGTAGTCAATAATTGATTAACTTACTTGAAAATTTCGTTAACAAATTTCAACATGATTTTCCAACTTTTTCTCCCAATTGACGACGATGAGTCCAGTATTACGATCATATCCATTACGGCGTAAGGAGGGCATGATCCTATGTAATAAATTAAATATATCTTTTACTTATCTGTTTGATGTTTGAAACTGAGACAAACTTACGCTATCAATGACGATTTCAAAGTATCAAATTGTACAGTGGTTTCAAATCCTATTTATGACCACAACCTTCTCAGGATTTTGTACAAGCAAGAGCTAAATCGAATAAAAAGAAATCTTACGTGCACAACACGGTGGCATCTCAGACCAGTTTGTGTCGTTTTGGCATGTGATTGAATTAATTGCTTTGGGGTAGAGGATATAATCTTCTTCCGTGCATCTGAATTTGCATTCTGAATTAACGTATTTGTCATCTGAACATTCCATTTCCCCAAACTTGGGATCTTTTAATGCCGAGCATGTGATTCCTGTTAAAAATATTTAATTGTTACCAAATATGCAATAAATTACTTCTCAGTTTTGTCTATAAGCCCAAATTCTCACTTTCGCACGAAGGAGCTTTCTCCTCAGACCACCTCATGTAACCATAATGATCTTCAATACATGTTGTGTATAAATGTCCAACCCGTCTGTAGAAATCATCGCATCCATATTCGCATTGCGATCCAATGAAGTTCCCTTCAGTACAAACCATGAAGCCATAGTCATGAGCGTTTGGAGGAAGACTGCATTTCTTTTCTGCAAAATAGAGAATATTTAAATTGAGAATACACAATAAAGTGAGGTAAAAGACATGATAGACTTGAAATTTTAATAGAATAAAGAAAAAACGATTTTAAGTTTATGAATTTTTTTTACAATAATTCACTTCATATGAAATCTACCATTGTCCATAAGTTTTTTTTTTCTTGAGGGTGTTTTGTTAAAATATATGTAAATTGATAGCTGAAAAGGACCTCGGCAGATATTTATTTATAATTTTTTTTTTGCATTTCGATGCGTCAAATAGTCAAATGAAAACAAATGATTTACTTTTGCAAATTGGTTCAGAACGATCCCACTGAGGTTTTCCTTTTCCCATTTGTTTTTTGATAGACGATTTACACATAGAGTATGATGTCCCGACTCTTTCGTATTCTTTGTTGCACGAGAAAGCACAGACGGATCCGTAATATCTTTCATCAGAGCAAACCATTTTTCCGTTTCGAGGTGTTTGTGGCATGTAATCGCATTGTTTTCCTGTTAATAATTCAATGAATTACATGAGAACGATAGAGTGCCGGGAAATGCTTATGTGGCAGGAAGTATACAAAGAATACAAACTTCCATATAACAATGGTAACGAGAAAACTTCCCTTTACCATTTTCGCAAAGCACTTACTTTGGCATTTTGGTTCTCTGCTTGTCCACTTCATCAATCCTGTTGTTTTATGTTCCGCACATGTTGAAATGACGTCACCAACTACGTCATAATAATCACCACAGCTGAATTCACATACTGAACCGTAGAACTTCTTTGTAGTACATTTCATAAATCCATTTGTAGGAGTACGAAGATATGTTGAACATTCTTTTCCTAAAAAATATCAACGTGATAGGGTTAAGGAAAATTTATTTTTTTGAAAGTTATAAATGTCAATCATTCTCAAAAGATTCAAATTAGAATTTGTTGTATTATCATAACTGCAGTCACAATTTCGGAGCCTGCTTTTGAAGAATTTTTGTACTTTCAATGTTTATAAGAAATAACACGCTTTATCATTTATTAATAAATCTTACTTTTGCAAACTGGTGTTTCTCTGTTCCACACAGCCTCGCCTTCAGTTTTTCTGTCGGAACATATTGCTGCCATAGCTCCGATTCTTGAATAACCTTTGTTGCACGAAAACGTGCACTTTGATCCAAGATATTTGTCGTCGCTGCATTCTATATTTCCATTGACAGGAGCCACAAGTTTTTCACAGTTGATGCCTAAAATAAGATCGATGATGAAAATTCAAGATTTTCAAATATTTAAAAAAAAAGTCCGAACAAAATGCCGTCGGATGATTAGACTTTCCGTGACGTGTGAAGATTTTTTGTAGTATTTAGAGAGAAGGATAATAAAATAGTAACTGAAACGAAACATCACCTATGCACGCTGTACAAAAATAATGAAATTAGTAGGAGAAAGAAAAGTTGGTGATGTAAACAATACATACGTTTACAAGTGGGCGTTTCTTTATTCCAATATGCTTTGCCTTTTCCTTTGGCGCACATTGTGTAAAGCATTCCGACTCGTTGATAACCGTAATCGCAGGCAAATTCACAAGTTGATTCGATGTTTGTTCCATCACTGCATGTCATGTATCCGTTTTCGGGAGTGTTTGGTAACGAATCACATTCCATACCTATGTTTTTTTGTGAAATAAGGATGAAAATTTAAAGTAAAGCTTCCAGTCGTTGTTACGGATTGTCATGAAATAACTTCCAAAAGATAGTTTTAATCCGATCACTAGGTAGTCTACTAAATTTAGTATAAAATTGGTAAATTGTATCTGAAGACAATGGTTCAGCAAGTGAGAATGATACTTACGTTTGCAGAATTGACCTTTCGTACTCCATTGACCAACACCGGAATTTCTTTGATTCTCTTGACAAATTGATGTTCGTGCCCCCATCAAATCGTATCCGTTTTCGCAAGTAAAACTAGACATAAAAGTAAAGCAGTTTTATATGACTATCAAGTCTTAATATAATTTCTAGTAAAAGAAAGTCTAAACGAAAGAATAGGATTTTTTGTCCAAATTCAATTTCGACTTTTTAAGAATTACCTGCATATACTTCCAAAAAGAGAATTTTTGTCGCATTTGAAGAAACCGTTGTTGATCCTTGAAATCACGGGACAAACAATCGGTTGACATGATGGTGCCTGGTTACTCCAAGTCTTTGATTTCACTGTTCAAAATCATCAAGTATCGTTGTTATAGGCAAGGAATGTATTTATGTACGATATAGATGTCAGAGCTAATTCATTATATTCTGTCAAAACTCACTTTCATGTTACTGTCATATTTCAGGATAGTTTCGAAAAAATTTATTTTGATCTAGGCGTGAACGGATATGACGGAAAAGATGCGGGTTAACTTCAATTTATTGCAGAAACGTTAAGATACATGATTGCAATTGCCAGATTATTATTTTGAACTTTATTTGTAGTGAATAAAATAATAATAAATTCCATAGTTTTATACTTAAAAATGGTATTTCATGTGATAAAAATTCAATTCTTTTTTAAAAATTTTTGCACTATTTACCGTTACAGCCATTTGCTCTTTTTTATTTGCATAAAATTTTTTAATGCACAAAATTGGGCGCTCCCGAAGTATAAGCACCAAGATGGCGCACAACCTGAACCCTAACCTGGTACACATGCTAATATCGGTCTGTGCGCCATCTTAGCGCACATACTTCTGGATATCCCAAAATTGTAATGTTTTATGGTTTTTTTCTTCGAGTTGGAGCATTAAATTGAAACATTTTTAGGTTCTGAAGAATTATTTCTGTGTTTCTGTAAAACTAATCAACTCAATAAAATGTTATTGAAGATAAGAGCATTTATATATAGTTAACAGTAAGAAAATACTTGATTAGAACTTGATCGTTATATTAACGAACGGAATAGTAAAATACAATAATTTCCGTATCATCAACAACGGCATGAGTTATAAGTGATAAGGAAAATACTTACGACAGGTGGAGGACAAATGACCGCTGACATAATATCCGGGGTCACATCGAAATGTGCAAATGCTTCCAATTCTATTTTGGCTGCTGCAGCTAATTTGACCATGGGTAAGATGTGTGAAAGCCGGAGAACAAATACCGTCTTTTGAAACTATGGAGTGAAAAAAATATTATACTGAAAACTGAAATGAAACACGAAATTTTTTCAAGATTAACATATAGTTCTAACTGTGTCTTAATTACATTCCATGGCTTGCCATACCTTGTCAAAAATTGAAGAAACATATAACAAAAAATTATAAACAAAAACTATGTGCAATACAATATATAATTTTGGCAATATAAATTACGAGCGTAACGCAAGCCCAATATGCTATGAGTAAAAAAATATATATTTTTGTCACCTTCATTATTGCCAAGACATTCCAACTCTCCAACATTACAATTGTCTGTCTGGCAACAACAGCGACAAACGGAGTTAGGAAACCTTGGATTACACTGAGTTAGATTCCAGGCGTTCTGCATGTTCTAAAGATAATAAATATATGAGTAAACCAACGAGACACTAAAACAGAATGTAATTGATGCTTATGCATTTGATTTGTCAAATTCATAAAGAATCTTTACTTTATGTCGTTAAAACAAATTTGTTTTGACTAACATATATAACGAGAATATCGGTCAGAGACCGAAGACTTATCGATCGAAAGTTAGGGGATTCCCCAAAACAGCGCCTTTACTCCATAGTGACACTTTGTGTCCCATCACTAATTAATTATTAACTCGCTAATTATACAACATAAATCGCCCAAAATCATTAGGCTTCTGGTCCGAGATATGACGAATGCACATGCAAAATCTGGAGCAGATTCAATCTCGTTTTCGTGAGATATCGCGTGCATCTAAAAGACAGACAGACATAGAGACAGACAAATACCTATCAACATACTTACCGATTAAAATCGATAAGTAATAAGTCTCTTTTTGTAATTTCACGCATTTGTCCAACACTTTTATGGAATTAGAGTATGTTATTTATACCTATAATTTGGCATACGCATAGTCACTAATTTGAAAAAGTACTTCAATCGTTCATAAAAAGCACAATCGTGTATACACGCAACAAATTAGGCTCGAGAAAAAAATTTTTTTTTCTTATGGTATAAATAAATAAGTATTAATATAATGTGCATGAAATTTCAAATTTACATAACTTAACTAATTGTTCTTGTAATGATATTGTAAACATTACTCACCTGATTTTGAACGTTTCTACATGCTGTATCTTGTTTACAAAACTTGAAAATTTTGACGTTAGTTTTTAAATTCCATCCCCCGTTTCCTCTTATCTCAATCCCACATGTGTTCTGAAATATTATATGAAATTTACAATATTTTGATTTAGAAATCATCACAAATGTAATATTATCTTCATCATTGCAACGAAATTACTTGAATTGATTCAAGTTATATTATTGAGTAGTTCAGCTATAAACATGCGAAGACACGGTTCAGTTTGCATCAAAATCAAATTTGTTTCATTGAACATTTGTAACTAAATCTAAAAGTCGATGAGATATGTACTTTTTGCGTTTTTCAATACGAAAAATCTTTCATACGACCAAACCAAACCGAATTTCCAGCAGAATCAAAACTACGTGCTTACTTGCGCTCCGTTACACTGTTTCAATTTCCCCCGTGCATTGCAATCTTCTATGTTTCTTGCATTTTCGCAAGTCCAGCATTTTATTCCTGGAAAAACAAGTTAGAACGATGAAAACAAATGTTCCTATTTGAGATAAAGCGTGTACGTTGTTCATATATTTGCGTAGAATATTACCTAATCAGGGTACATCTGAGAACTATTGTTGGAAACCATAAAGCTTATGTAATTGAAAGTAGACATGCTAGAATAAAGATAACTCGTTCAAAATCAGGAGCTGTTATATCTAAACAAATATCCAATCATTTGCCTATGACACTAACCTTTCGATAAAGATGCCAACGACATCAACACAAATAGTATGCATCCAATATGTTGCCGCATTTCAATTCTTTCTTGTATTTCCCTTATTGAATGCAATACAGAATCTTTTCAGTTCGCCTTAAACCGTTCTACTGTTAAACTAATTGATGTGAATGATGACTCCATGGTGGTTTTTTCAAGTATTTATACAAGAAGGATAAATTCTAATCGGAAATCCGGATCACGTGCATAGTGAGTTGATATAAAATAATAAAATTATTATTCGATTTCTAACAGATGAATTTAATGGCTTAATATATAATTGATACACGCTCTATTGTTTTGATACTTTACTATCGAACATTATCCACACGATCTAACCCTATTCATGACATGGCTTGTGTTAGTGATTGCACTTTATGCAATGCCCATACGTGAAACCTTTTTATGAAGGGGGTAATAAGCCTGTCAAGTTGTGCATTCCATGATTGTTTATGGCCGTCGTTTATTCCTGGCGTTCCTTATTTAATTGAACGCCGTTTGAAATGTTCACTTCTAATTATACAAGTCATTACACGTTTAATAGCTCCGCGAAGGCTAAACTCACGGTTGCTATTTTTTTTATAATTGTCAATGATTATTATTGGTGCTTCTGCAGTTTTATTGACTTATTTTATTATTTTTTTTTGTTTTAGAGTCTAAGAACTGAAACTGTTCATGTCTGTAATTGCTGCGTTGAGAGAAAACTTTTAGAGACTGATCTCAACTCAACTCAAATAAAAAAATAAGCTGATTATTCAAATTAATAATCTTCTCGTTATTTTGAGTCGTATGTAACTTGTTCTTAAAATGATAACATTCCTGAAATTTGTGCGGCAATTTCCAAATCTAGAACATGTACACCTGTTTCTGGCACTGCTTCAACCCGTCCGCGAAAAATTTTTGACCCACTTTCACCCTTAGCTTGCAAATATTAGTGCGTATCAAATGGCAGTTTTAGACTTTAGAGCATTGTCCATTTGACCCTTACATCAATTGATGCAATATTACATATTTCTGCGAAATTATTTAAGGTGAATTAGAATAATAAACTAACATCTGTTTTAACACTCCATATTATACATAAATTTTCTCCAAAACAAAAAAGACCAAAATAATTAAAATCAGTGGAGTACTTAGTTCGATTCAAAAAATTTATTTTCGAATAACAGAGACCTATGCTCCAAAAGGAATCCATTGTTGGAAACGATGTTGCCATGGATTGCTTGACTTAATTTTTGTTGTTAATGGGAGACTACTTTTTGTTTCGAAACAATATTTTTTTTTTAATCTGATGAGCTAATCGATTTCAAAATTTTAAAGTAGTCATCAGAACTCTATAACTCTTAATAATTTTTCAATTTCCATCAAAATCCCGTGAGATCGATATTTTACCCAAATTTAACTGTTTCTTTGGTTCACTGTTTATTCCGTAAGACTCTGCCGCCTAGGTAATAGCGTCCTCTGTTTTGATTCGCTTAGGCTATCGCTACTGTGGGTAGTTTTTGACATTTCATGTCCATATATGTCACTATTGCTCTCATTTTCCGGATCTCTCATGGGTCATGAATAAAACATATTCGTATTGAAATGCCAAAAAAATTTATCTCGATTGTTCAACCACTAGATGCGCTATAATATCTGCATGAATCAAAACACTGTACTACTATTTTCTTTTCATTATTGAATGCTATTTTTTTGTTTTTATTCATCAAACTCAAAAAAATTTCTATAAAGTCACGTATTGCGATTAACTCTTATTTTAAATAATAATAAAATACATGAGACATTTTGATACTAAATAGTTATAATGTGGATAGAAAGATATGTTCTGTAGTTGTTAGTACCATCCGCTAATGGATATGGCATTGAATATATATTTCTTGTGACACGAAACTTCGCAACATTTATATACATTAGCGTTTCTTCATTTAGATTCTCTAAGATTAAGACTAAGTGTTTTGTGAAAATTATTTTGATTTATTATCAAAGTTAATTGAAGGATTTGCTATATTTTGTTTGAATCACATAGTACAACGAAATCTACTCCATAGCATAATATGTTTCCGTAAACACAGCATCTACTCCATTCTTTACACAAGGTTTTGGATACTTTTTGATGAAGACATTTTATTTATTCTAAGTTTATTTGCAATCATCGGAGATTAAACATGAATATTAGTTATTGGACACCAAGTTTACTCATGGATCTTTTTCCTGAATTGTTGTTGTTTTGGTCGTTGGGTCTGTAAACAATCGCTTTCCTTATGAAAACGTGATCTAGTCGATTTTAAATTTTTTGGTTCTTGAAAATTAGATTAATTGTTAGAAGGCTATTGATTTTATAATTTTTTATTTTTATGAATTTTACATGCCCGATATTTATATTCTACACCTTCATTTGGAATTCATTGATATTCCTTTAACATTTCTTATTATATTTGGTACATTTTAACAAGTAAGCAGGAAGTACGCTGACACAGTTGTTGCAATATGAATTCCTTGATTTCTGTGTCAAATGTTTGATCCTTGATATCTTGTTTATACACAATGCTCGGAACGGTTAAGGTCAGTAAAACATCCATCAAATCATTTTATTGCTTCACCTGGTCGGCAAGCAATTCTTTAAAAACCGTGACAGACTAAAGACCATTTGAGAACCGTGAAGTTCAAATTTCCATTCTCTCTATCAAATAAATAGGCGACGGTTTATTGCCTGACATAAACCTGGTGATTAGAACACGGTAGTTAGTCACTCGATCAAATCGTCGACAATTTTTAAAGCCCCCCTCAATTTACTCTCTCCATAAATAATCGACTCATAACAATATAACTGTTCAAAATGAAAAATAAGGTTTAGAGAGACAGTATATCATATAGGAAAAAGGCAGAATTTTATTTCTTGAAAAGAAACGTTGTTTCTTTTATATATTTTCTGGAGTAAGATTCGGATATATAAGGCTGTTTGTCCATCAGTTATCATTCAAACGGAGATCTTTCTTCCGACAACAGTAAACAGGACAAGCAAAAGCAAAGATGAAGGCAATTTTGGCATTGATATGCATAAGCATTGCACTATTTCGTTCTGCGGAAGGTAAGTTGACTTCGATTTTCTATGTTTGTATTGCATCAGACTTATTCGTCGATTTTCGCACTGCCTTCACTGGGTATCTGGTCAGCGTGGCGTCTAGTCAGTCCCTGTTTCAGATCAGAATTCACAATCTGAGTTTGAAATATAGTCTATACGCTTATTCGAAATCATACAACCTAAATGAGTGTAACCCCATTCTGTGAATATAATGAGATTATATCAATCATCTTTCTTGTGGCCATAATGCATCGTTGCACTGATTTACAATTGAAAACCCCATAAGAAACTTTACTTATCTTCTCATAAACATATGTATATATGCATAACAATGATATATTTTATTATATTTTTCAGGTATAACTTGTTGGACTTGTGAAAATGCCGAAAGCATTGAACAATGCGATCTTGAAGGAAAACTCATAGAATGCAACGACCCTTTGGTACGTAAAGTATATTTTTTTATTCTTTGAATAAAATAAGGTTCAGCACTTTTACTTACGAGTGTATGTGCATCTAATAGAAGTTTAGAGTTAAGCCTTGTTTCATTTAAATAGGATGTGTGCGGAATGGAAGTACGTCATGGCGGTCAACGACCAACTGTGCATAAGTTCTGCAAACAGAAGAATGCCTGCAATAATATTCAAAACCAGGTAAGATTTCCATTAATGTAACTTGATTGAAACGACTTCAGGTTTCTGTCAGAAATTTCACCGGCGATGAAAGTATTTAAATATTCTGATCAATGTCACTTGCATGGAGTCACGAATCGCTGCCTAATTCGCTTAGGTTCAAAATTTAAAGTCTTGGACTAATAAAGGAATAAATTAAATTTATTTAGAATGCCAAACAAGCTTGGGATATTTCACAATGCAATCCGAAAATCCCCAGTTCCGTATGCAGATGTTGTTGTGAGCACAATAATTGCAACAGAGGTGGACTAAGATGCCTTGACGCCGCTGCAGGTTTGTAATGGTTTCTGTTTTAAGACGATTCAATGGTCATTTATATGACTATACGTTGTATGGGGGACAATTCTCAGTGAGAATTTCTCACATCATATTCAAGTAAATACATTTCATGTATTGCTCATGCTTAAGTTTGATTTCATACAGATACTCGTATATCATTTGAACTATATAGAATTACAATATCACAAATTTATTAATCATGAAGTTCTTTTAATAAATATGAATTCAACAAAATGTAGTAATTCAGATTACTGCAAAAGTAATTGAAATATTTGTTTCTATGATACAATAATTACCTGATTCAAATCCTTCTTTAATTTTATTCTGACAAGATTCTCATAAAATTATATGCGCTGTCATAATTTTTGTTCCTAAAAAATATTCTTAGAGCCAGAAATTTGCACCCCAACTCATGTTTCACCTGCACATGGAGGAGTTGACTGCAGTGACGGATCTAAAGTCGGAAGTGTTTGCACTTTTCGTTGTGATGACGGATATTACATTGACGGATATCACTTCTCTGTTTGTGGTAAGTTAACACTGCTACATGAGCAAGAAAGAAATGTGATTTTATTAGAATTGAAATCCTTAATTTGCACGAATTTTTTGTTTGCTTTATTTCTTTATAACTGTGACGTTGAAAACCAATTTTGAGGATATTTTTTATGAATATGTTCGAAACTTACCCAAGCAAGGAAATTATTTTTAGAATTAAAAGGGGAAGTTAGAATGTGGTCTGAACCTGCTCCAACTTGTCAACCAATCACTTGTCCAAAGATTCCCGAGTTCAAATTCGGTTCAATCGAATGCTCCAATAACGACCGCGTTGGAAGCGAATGCAGGTTGGTAAACGCCCTACTCTGACATCATTATGAACTTGATAATGCTTTATGAAACTAATATACATAACCATAGATTGCGTCATTACAGCTATGTTTTGGCTGTTTTTAGTAGATATATTATTAATAATTGATAGATGCTTTCAACGCTTTTTTTGTGATGAAAAATTCGATTGAGAATGTAATGTTCAATGTGAAATCTCATACGAAAACAGAGATTCTAAGTAATTTTCAATAACACCATTTTGGAGGGAATAAAAGCTGTTGCTGTTGTTATAGGCTATATTATCTTTCTGTACTGTTCTTTATATCTTTGTCACAATTGTAACAAAACGCTTTAATTGTTTTAAGATTCTCTTGCAATTCTGGATACCGTCTCGTAGGAGCTGAAATTTCAGTATGCGAAGAAAAAATCAAAGGATATGAACATGGAGAATGGAGTACAAGCGAACAATTCTGTGAACGTAAGTTCCAAACGAAAATGCATCAATGATACGCCTACCCGTTAATTCATTTAGTAATTTATTTCCTTTTCTAAATTTTACAGGAAAGCGATGTCAGGAAAAATTGTCTTCTCCTGCAAATGGTGATATGGTTTGTACCGACGGTGATTTCACAGCATCTTTATGCCATTTTTCGTGTCACGACGATTTTGACATGTTTGGAGCGTATTACGTCAAATGTGAAGAGGGAGACATGTACGGAAAACCATACTGGAACGACATTGCGCCTATCTGCAAACGTTAGTATATATATTTTTAAATAGAAGAATTATCTAATTCTAATCGAATCAGTGTGTAATGAATAAATTTAATTGTATGTCACACTCAATTTTTTTTATTATTATTGAATTCTAACTTGACAAAATCATATAATTTGAAATTAAAATTCAATTTTCAGTGAAAGAGTGCGTACACAAACCAATGGCTCCCAGAAACGGGCGTATGGAATGCACAGATGGAAAGATCATCCACTCGGTTTGCAAATTTTACTGCGATTCAGAATATTACTTGACTGGTAGCATGGACACTATTTGTGTATCTGGCGCTTATTACGGATACCAGGAAAACAAACTTGAAGACTACAACACTCCTCACTGGACTAACAAAGAACCAATTTGCGAAAGTAAATATTTGAAATTTCAAACCTCTTTATTTTACTAATCTTCAATTTTTCAAATTTTTTATGAAGAAGAACAAAAACTAAGTCGAAAAATTAACTTTTTCAGAAAAATACTGCGATGCTGATCTGGCAGCTCCAACGCACGGAAGCATGTACTGTACCGACGGAGAATACATTGGGTCAACTTGCTCGTTTGAATGTGACAAAACTCACTTCTTAGTCGGTTCGATGTCGTCTTCCTGCTTAGAATACTACGACGCTTACATGCCAAAATGGAACAATGAAGCTCCAGTTTGCAAACGTGAGTATGAGAAAAAGCCGAGTTGTAGTAAACTGTTTGTTTTTTTTGCAAAATATATCGACCTCGCGGTATTGTCTTATCTGAGTGTTTCCCTCAATCTGCACTGCACTTTTTCTCTGTAATTAATCAGCGAAAAAAAAATGTTTTGCGCAGTAACTAAGTGTAAATAACAAAATAATTGAAAGGGACAGTTTACTGATTTACAATAATTTGAACCTAAAATTCTTTATTTTAAAGCAAAAAGATGCGGCTCTCCACCATCAGCACCAAAACACGGTTCAATTAAATGTTCTAACAATGACTTCTTGGGATCTGCTTGCCAATTTATTTGCGATAAAGCATTCTACAGTAAAGGAAGCGAAGTTGCTGTCTGCGTTGAAGACTACAAATACGGAAAATTGTCTTGGGACAACAAAACCCCAGAATGCATTAGTAAGGCAGTTTTTCGTGAAAAATATATTAATTATATAAATAAAAATATATTAAAAGTATTACTTGAGTTTATATTACATTTTAGCAACATATGGAATCTCTGATCTTTTTACTTTTCTTTTTTTTATTAGAGGGAGAAATAAAAAGCACTTCGCAAATTAGCATTTCGTGCTGAACAATAAAAAATATGTCACTCAAATGTGGCGAAAAAAAAAACACACACTTCACACTATTCTATTGCAGTAAAATTGCACACACTACACCTCGTTATTTTACCAATTCGCTACAACCATTTTTTGTCGTCTTTGATCTAAACGTATAAACAAAATGCTGATACGAGCATAAAAATACCATAAATATCAAAATAATAATTGAGAAATCAATTGTATGCATTTTGTAAAAAAAAATACTAGTAATCCGTATATCTTTAATTTGTTACTTTTTCTGAGGAAACAGTAGCTCATCACGTTAAAATAAAACTTTGTTTTCTATCATGTAAAAAGCTCTAAATCTCTTTTGATTTACAGGAAAAGAATGTGATGTATCTCCAATTTCCCCGGCAAACGGATATGTTGAATGCAGCGATTCAAACTACTTGGGTTCAATCTGCTATTACACTTGCGACCTCGCTTACGGTCTTGTTGGATCTGAACAAACTACTTGCTTGGAAGATTATAAATACATGACACTTGGATGGAACAATGAACAACCTCAATGCATCAGTAAGTATCTCGGCATGGATGTACACTTGTTTTATATTTTCAGTTATTGTAATCATCTTCGAAACGCGATCTGATTTCTGCCTCCAAAATATCTTTAAACCATTGAGAAAAAGTTGAAAATAGCTACGATATATGACAGGGAAAAACCTCCAACAGTCTCAAAGTATTATATTTGTAAATTACAGAAAAAGAATGTGCCTACTTGCCATCAGTACCCTACCACGGATACATGTATTGCAATGATGGTATGTACTATGGATCTCTTTGCACTTTCAAATGTGACGATGATTACAACTTAGTTGGTGCTACCACCACAAAATGTGCATACCCATTGAAGAAAGCATACGGAAAACAACCCGAGTGGGATTACGAATCTCCAGTTTGTGAACGTAAGTAAACCTCCAATCAAATAATATATTAGTAATATTAATATCTTGATGTTACTCAAATTTCAATCACTTGCACATTTAATATTTGTACATCGAATTTCAGGTAAAATGTGTTACGAAGCTGTTGTCCCCGAAAATGGCGCAATCGTATGTTCTGATAAAAACTTCATCCACTCCGAATGCGAATATGTATGTGACTCTTACCATCGCAGAGTTGGTGCTTTATACACAACTTGTAAAGAAGATTATTCCGGATACATGAAATGGTCTGCAGAAGCTCCAGTGTGCGAACGTAAGTATTAGATTTTATAGAACTTTAGATCAAACTTATACGCTCAGAAGTATAAGCTTTTTAGCTGATAGGACTTTTAGGAAATCTAATGATAATGTCAGTAAACATCCTCCAAAATCGATTGTCATTGCATCGTACGACAACATAGGAAACAAAATCGGAAGTTTATGTTATTCTTTTTGATTTTTGTTCTTTGATTACTCCAACCAGGATTTATTTGCAATAAACAAAACGTATTATAAACAAAAGGTCGAGACAGTTAAATAAACATTTACCACAACCGTGGGAATACAAGCGAGCTTTTACTCTGAAATATTATTTGGACTGAGTTAACAAATTTAAAGGATTCCGCTTACCGTGAGATTGTATGCGAATATTGAAAAAAACTTTCTATTGCTACAGGTATTGAGTGCCGAAAACTCACAAACATAAAGAATGGAATGATTGATTGCACCGATGATGAATACGTGAACTCTGAATGTAAATTCAAGTGTACAGTTGATGATTACAGACTCTCACCAAACACTCGTCACTCCATCACTTGCCAGAACGACACCATGTGGTCTGCTGACCCACCATGTTGTGCAAGTAAGTGCATTTGTTTGTTTTTTAATTTAAATATGATAATACTTTTGACATTAACCTTTCCCACTACAACTCCCTGTTTTGTTACTCAATATTAATCATCCCTCATTGATTTCAGGATCCTGTCCTCCTTTTGCCGTCATGGATCTCGTTGTTGTTCTTGATTCTTCCTCATCAATTGGTGCACCGAGTTGGAAAATTATGCTCAATTTCGTGAACAATATCTTCGAGTAAGTAGCAAAGCGTAAGCAATTTTATAGGCCTTCGTAAATTCGTTATATATATAACTATATATACTTACATCATATAAAATAATACTCAAAATTACTGAAAACACCGCATGATCGTTACTAATTTTTAGATGCAAATTGTGTAAATAAAATTACAAACTGTTTTCAACTTTCCGCCATACAAACAACTTATTTATTCATGATTGTTTTACTTTACAGTCTCTTCGTGGTTCAGAAAGATGCAATGAACTTTGCTGTTGTGCGATACAACAAAGAGATTGATACAGACACTCAAATTAATTTGGATGAATGCCCTGACAGTATTGAAATGCTTAAAGAACTTGTATCAAAGATTCCATACAATGGTTCAGGTAAACATATTTTAAATTGGTTTTCCAAACTTCTTCTTACATTCAGCGCAGAAGATATATAAATAGAACCTGAAGTACTATTAAAAAACTTAACTAAATTTATAAATTTTATTACTTCAGGAACCTGGACAGGACAAGCCATCGATTACGCTAGAACCAACATGCTCCTCCCGGAAGTCGGTAACAGAGAAGTCGCTCCAGATGTTGTTCTAGTAATTACTGACGGAAGATCTCAAGATGATGTTAAGATTCCTTCCGAAGCACTGAGATCCCAAGGAGTTCTTGTATGTATTCAATTTTAAACTCCATTTTTCCCAAGTCAATAATTAATGGCTGTTTATTGGTATTTTAATTAACGGTTAATCCTAATGTTGAATAATCTCGATCCCGGTCTATTTGTTATGCTATAACAACGAATTTTTTTTTTTCAATGAATTCAACCTATGAATGTTAAATAATTTACTAGAATACCTCATCAAAATTGTCATTCTTATAATGTATAATTTACGAACTTCTTCTACTTTTTAGACATTCGCTCTAGGAATCACACCAACTAATGGTAAGTTGGACATGGAACAACTCAAGGATATTGCTGGTGCTCCTGAGCGTCTGTTCCTTGCAAAAGAAGGTTTCGGTACTTTGACTCCAGAGTTCGCTAAAGAAATTTCAGAAAATATTTGTGGCGATCCTTGCGACAGACCAATTTATTAATAATAAAATCAACGTGTCTTTTATATTATTTTTATATACCAAATGGTGTGAACAAATTTATAATTTTAAACGAACTTTTGAGAATTAGGAAACTATTTTCGAAATACTTTCACTGGGTTTTATTAATTATGACAGAAAACTCGGTCTCGTACTAGTTGACAGTCAAATCTTTATGAAATTATATTCAATCGATTGTTTGTATTATTTTTATGGAACTATTCATTCATATTATGGCAGCTTTTTCATTTTTATACAGCAGTGTATTTTTTTATATGTGTATATGACGGTGTATGTTTTGTAACCAGTTTTTCGAATAAAATTGATACGAAATAATAATAACATTTTGTGTAAATTTTTTTTGTGTGTTGTGCGAATGATTTTTCAAACTTTGCTTAGCTTGGTTCATTGACGATAGAAAATTGTCACCAAATAGGAGGCATCGTTGATTTCCCTAAGACAACAGCTAGACCAAAGTTTTCGATTTCAACATAGTAATATTTAAAACAACGGTGTCCAACCCCAGGCCCATCGAACAGATTTGTTTCCGCTTATCCCTCCCTGATCAGCTGATTATAATAAAACCTAAGTAAGCCTGAGTGTTTCTCATATAAAAGTCAACCTTGTGTATCATACAATTACGACGTTTTATTGCCACATTCAGGCGGCCGAAATATATTGCTAGATCGAGGCTGTTGGATTGTATGTCTGAAATGACAATTTAATATGAAGCAAATTGTCGACATATTATTCAACATTTTCATGTGTCCATTCTACATTCCGGATTAAAAGCTTTCAGAATATATATCACTTGACTCGTTGATGTCCTGGCAACTAAGGATTTGAGCAACTCATTCCACATAGAAAATTTCTGCAAAAAATAGTTTGGGGGTAAATTTCCCAAATTACCAAATGGCAATGCATATTGCGGCGGAAATAGATACAATCTATTTGTGTGAATCTTTCTCCTAAAATGTGAAAATTGCCAAACTGAACAAGCTCAAGAACCAAAATATTACTAACCAATTACCATGCGCAGTATCAAAGACGCCAGTCGATAGTAAATAGTCGGGAAATGACATTCATAAAAAGTTACACAAACATTCATAAAAGGTTACACATAAAAAGTTGGAAAGATAAACCTCTATGAAATCTATACCCTATTACTGCTCAAAACCACACAATATCTTTTTTCACATTGGTTATATTTCACACAAAAAAATATGTATTTTGTGATGCGTAACATGTTATTTATTATGCGGCGCACGGCAAAACTGAAATATAATTTGCGATCCCATAAGGCTTTTGAGTTGGACATGGCTGATTTAAAACATATGCAAAATATACATTACGACGAATAGCTTACAAGATTTTCTTCAACTTTATTCTTGTTCTGATATTATAGCTTACTTCTGCTACACCTACTTATCATACGAGGTTTCTTTAAAACATATTCATTCTTTTTGTAACTACGGTTCAGTCAACACATGAGTGTTTGTTGCCCTGGGCCTCTGCCTAAAGGACTCATCTTTTGAAAATTATCCCGTATATATGCAACTACATTATCTCCAAATGTCTTTGTATCAGTCAGTCCGACTGTTGACATACACAAATTTACACAGATACTATTTATTTTAGTTCCAATTTATACACAATATAAGCAACGAAGACAAATTTATTAAAAATTCACAATTTATTTCAATTTGTGGACTCCATATATTCATAAAATTCAAAGTTCTTTTTATCATGCATGAAACGTAGCTAGATTGTAGCATTCAAAGATAAAACTTGTCGAATTAGTACAAAATTATCAAAATTGACAAAGTATGGAAATCACTTTTGGTCTTGTTCTTTTTATTTTGCGAATGCATTTTTTTTTAAAAAGGATGGAATAATTTTTGTTTTAGTCTTGGATTTTATACGCATAAATGATTCGTGACTCGTTGTTCAAGATTAAAATTATAGGACCTCCAGAAGTATGCGCACCAAGATGGCGCACAACCTAAACATAGTAGGTGTGTACCGGTTAGGATTCAGGTTGTGCAACATCTTGGTGCGCATACTTCTGGAGCACCAAATTAACTTTCTCGATTGATGCCTATTCGAGGATAGCATAAAACTAGCATCATCAACGCATAGAAGCGGTTCAATGGTTAGTAATTGGATACAAACTTAGCAATAAAAATTGGCTGGGTAGGGGGGAGGTATTGGTTTTTGAATCGCCGATAATACAACAGATATATGAACCGCATTGATTTATTCCAAAAAACTTTTTCGTTATTTCAAGAGTTATGCCAATTATTGTTTACTACCTGTCATAAAAAATATTGTAATTCATGTTAGATATGTACAATTCATCCAAATCGTTGGTTTTTGAAATAATTTGATTTCTTACAATTTTATTCATGATGAAGTAATCAATATATTGACAGATTTCTTTCATGGGAAAATTTGATGTGAAAACCTTCAAGATGTTCAAATAAGTATATGAGTGTAGATTGAGCTGAAAATTCGACCTGAAAATGCAAATTTCAATATTTATATCATAAAGTATGAAATAGATGTACAATTAGCCACATGGTTAAATTGGTGCCAGAACACAGGTACGAAATTGATGTCCGGTATCTTACTGAGGTAAAATGACACGAATACACTATTTGCTGAACTTTCAAAACGTAGTTGCCCATAATCTATTAGAGGCTGATTGTTCTGATCATAGAATTCTTTTAATAAGCAAGGAATTACTTCATGATAGAATAAATTCATCATCTATTTCCCACATAAAATTGCTTCAGGCAACGCTTGAAACTCAGGTGACTCGGATCTTATTTTTTCTCTGAGGCATTTTTTACACGATACCTATAGGTCATCATTAATTACATTAGATCATGTTAATTCTTCTAATTCTAATACCTTACATATATTTTGTGAATTATCAATTTTACCGAAAATACGATACAATTACAAATATTTTAACATTTTCTTTTTAGATTCACAAAACCTTTTTTCCGGATTATCAATTTAAATAAATCACATAATATGAGCAAATATAAACCTACTAATGTTCAAAACTCCATCATATCAATCTGTATTTTTATATAGTGACAGAAATCAGGATATTTTTCCATCATGTATTATTCTACTAATAGGCGATAGATAATTAACTTTGATTTTCGTTCACTATATTGATAAAGCGCTTAATATCCTGATTAGAACAATTTGCACAGAATTTTATTTTACACTATAAAGAGTACAAAACGAATCTTACTTCGTTTATTCTTCTGCTGTTGGATCTTCAAGTCCACCAAGACATATTCTGCATTTTCTGATAGCTCTCACAGATTGCCGTGGACAGCTGCATGATGATGCTCTAAGCTTCTTCAAGCAACCCTCTTTATGAAATTGAAAATATAAATTTAAAAATTATAGTTGTTCTAATAATAAAAACATCCCATATTATGCTATTTATTTATCCATTCAAATCTTATAAAATAAAAAGCCTCAATAAAACTTTTCATCGTGCATTTCTTTAAAAATTATTTTTTATTTAACTGTCTTTATTTTTACTCAAATTGAGTTTTACCCTATTGCTGTATTGATGAAAAGTTTCCAAAAGCCCAAAACAAGCTTCCTTGATATAGCGCAGTGTTTTGGAAAACGATAATACCTTCAGAGGCGCCATTTCGTGTTGTTCAATTCTTTGTGATTAAAAATCGTGATTTTATTGCAATTTTATAAGTTCTACAGTTCTAAAAGAACACAAAGTGTAGCTGATTAAAATAACCGCAGAATCGGGTAAAATAATTCCGCATTAATGTGCGCTGCATGAAACTGATTCAAGAAAATTTTTGGAGTATGTTATTAAATTTACTCAACATCTGACGCGATCGACGTGTTGGACACCCCTGCTATACATGATATTCATCTTTTATGGTATCTATGAAAAGGCTTTTGTCTCATGTTACTCTTTGAGCAATTTTATATTCAAAAATATTGGAAATATTTAGAATAACTTTTTTAAAACCTAATGCTAGGAAACTCACTTTGACACGGGTTCATACATTCGGCCGTAATGCAGTTGTTACATGCTTGTAATCCAGGCGTTGACTTCATCAAAGCTTCCGATGCAGCGACTTCTTTTGCACTTGGGCATTTCTCCAGTGCTCGACATTCTTTCAGTCGTTCTATAACAAGAAAAACGCAAGGGATATAACAACCAAATTTTCAGTTTTCCAAATTAAATAATAGCATTAAGGCCCATCGACTCTTTTTTGTTTATTTTATTGTGACGACATATCACGATAATATCAATATATTTAAATAAAAAAAAGGTAACACAGTCGCTAATGATCAAGCGAGAAATGTTTCCTACCTAGTTTGAAAACAAAACAAGCTACAAAAAATAGTTACTTAATTTAGTACCATGGGCGATTAAAAATTAAATTACTTTGTTGATTTAGAGCATTTTTTCACACTTATCTTTTTACTGTACATGGGTGATACTACACAACATGAATGATCTACAACGTGGTTAAGTCACCTTCATATTTCGCTAGTAGTTCTTTTGTAGGTACTCCGTCTTTGGAACATTTTCTCTTTGCAGCGCAGACGATGGTAAAACATGCGCAAAACAAAAATAATTTCCAAAACAAATGCATGTTTATTGTATTTTTGTGTTAGTTTTACTAAAAACAAAATACCTGTTTATTTTGATTGAAACTTCTGAAGGAATTGCATAATTGATTACCCATAGTCCTACTTATCTGGAATACCACACTATTTTTAATACAATTCATAATCTATAAACAAAAAACTTTCAACTCATATGTTTTCCGTAATAAGCTACACGCCATCAATCTATCGTGCAGTTTGATTACGAGATATATTATCCAATAACAAGCGCAAAAAAAAATTCATCCAATTTAAATTCTCGTCAACTTTCGTCATCTGTACGAAGAACCGCTCTACTTAGAAACTTGTTGTTTAATGATTTGAATGGTATATATACTTTTGAAAATTTCGAGAAAAAAAACTTCTTATAATCAGCGCTATCGCGTAACTGATATCTACCTTCTCCTATAACGACAAGGACAACAGACCAACAGATCTTTAATCAAGCTTAGAAAAGTCAATCGCGCTGCAACACCGACAAACACAGTAAACGACAGTTCGCGTGCGTAAGATCATTGAAGGCGGATGTAGAATATGTCCCACTTTCTCAGTAATCAATTTAATTACTAGAAGTATTGCTCATAAAAGTGGGAGAGTCGCCTCAAAAATTTGAGGCATAGCTGATACGTTTCAATCCTGAGAGATGCATAATATAAGCAGTATGCATTATCCATACATGAAAAGAATACTACAATATTTTATCCGTTTTGTATACAAAACAATAAAATTGGGTTAAAAGGGTCGGTCGAAACACATTCTTATTTATTGCAGACGGTTTCCGGGACTCGGTAAACAGGGATTTAGTGTTTTGTGCCTTTGCTTTTTTACTGGCTCATATTTTTGAACATTCGTTCGCTGACTCGGTATACACAGAATGAATTTGACCTCTAGAGCGGTTAAAAGATTTTGATGAATTGACTTTATGTTGTATATAGATCGAATGAGCAATTCACGAATATCGTAGAATCAGGTTCCATTATATTTGAATCACGTAGATTTGAACCCACGTACATTTGAACCCACGACAATTGCACCTGCATACTATTGCACCTATGGATTTTTTTTGTTTTTCGGATACTAACTCATGGGTTTTAGCACCCGCATATAGATTGAACCCGCGGATATACACATGGGTTCAAATGTACGTGGGTTCAAATGTACGGTCACCTATAATCACTATGAATCTGCTATTACACATATTTGATTTTTAAACATTCTATATGTCAGGGGTGGGCAAGATTTTTGGATCAGGGGCCAAAAAATTGCCCCCCTAAACTGGCGGCCATATAAGTTTGACGTAAAAAGTTACATTTTATGAACAATATTCACAGTGTGACAAAATGGAAAACAATAAGCCTCGTACTAAAACTAAAATTAATCGCAATCTCACCAAAATTTTTGTGCTGTTTTTAGCTGAAACATCAACATTTGCTTTGAGTTTGGTTTTGGCAGCATCAGGCGGGCCAGATTGAATTACCCAATGAGTCGGATTCGGGCCGTAGTTTGCTCATGTCAGTTCTACGTAGTGGTTTGTGGAAAGCATATGACACGTAGTCTTTGTGTAAGATAGACTACAAGATAGACATCTATTTATTGGTGAATTGGAATTTCATTCATAAAATATAATGCGAATAAAACCCACGAAAGATCAAACACATTGACATGAATTTCACGTATCGACATTACCGAAGGTGATATTATTTTTGTGAAAATGTGAAGTTCGATTATCGATCTGAAGTTGTTAAACACAAAAATAACAGAATAGATTTACATAAGTAGTGTTAAAAAATATTAGCACTAATTTTATTACTATATACTAACATTTACATCAATTATGCATCTGTTTCACATATTGTGTATGTTTTTCGTGTTTTTCAAATTATTGAATACTTGGTTGATTTTAGCTGTTTGCCAGAATATTGTTGAATCTTGGATGAAGTAGAATCCAAAAAATGGGGTTTCGTTTCAGTAATTTAAACTCTTAAATAAAAACGTTACCCTCCAGAGTTTTTATTCGAAAGATTTGCTAATGTCTACCCCCGTACTATATTTTGCCAGCGCCGATGATTGAGAGAGATCATGCTCAACTTGACGATAAATTCTAATGCGTCACATGACTTCGTTTCGTTATTCCAGGAATTAAACGTAGATTTATCTAACAACTTGACATTTTCGTTTCGCATATGCAAGTTCAAATATGAAATAAAAACGCAATGGAAACACACCCAAGTCTTCTGACTAGAAAACCATGTCAAACTACTCGGGATGAAGACTTGCAAAACGTAGTAATCTGAGTCACAAATTTTTTTTTCCGCGAGTCCTCTATACATTTAAGCTAGGAAAGTTTAGAGAATGAAACCGAAATAAAATTTACTCGTGTTGCGTATGAATTCGAGGTACAGATAGACATGCATTGAAAATGAAAGTTGCCGCTGTGTCAGTCAGAATTTGTCACATATGATACATGTATGATAAGTTGATTGTCAAATATAAACATCAGATAAATTCGAATGACAATAATATTAGATTTCGATTCCTGCCACAAAATGCTAAGAGAATTAAAGTGCTATATGCACGATATGTCACAAATGCCTGGTTTACTCACTCTGTGATCACAAAGTTTGATACTTCTAAGAGATGAATTTCCCAAAACGCCTTGAGCAAACGTCTTAAGAATAAAATGGTGACAGCGGTAAGCGGGATTATTACAATATGGATAGGATTCGAGAACTTTTTTTTTATTTAACTCGCATTCAAACAAACAAAAAACATTAGATGGAATAACGTTTGATACATTTATACCACATATATATATACCACTCGATAACGGTTGAGCAAGTTCCGTTTAACCTGAACTCGTGATGATTGACAATATATAAAAGAACAGACATTTGAGTTGTATTCTCGTTGTTCTACTTGTAGCTCGTTTTTATAATCTGCGTGTAGCTGCATAACCAGTAAATCAACATAACCCGTATGACTCAATAGAAGATTTTGTGGTCGTTTTATCCATGTGGTAGTAAGATTGAAAATATTGAGATAATATACACTGTATTTATGAACTAACTACTTACACATCAGGCCTTGTTCTGATTCAAATAGCGCTAAGATTATTCATATTGATGTAGCTTGTAGATCAATCGATCAATGATTGATAAATAAGAATCGAAAGAAAATATTAAATTTACAAAATCTGACCAAATAGGCAACGAACGATTCATTCTCGCAAGCACGTAATTTCTCTTCGTCATTGTTGGGCAAATAAAATTACGTTAAATATAATAAGTATTTATCACAGCATGGAAGATTTTTTGCCTTAGGCGTATTTTCATTGCTGTAAAGTGTTTTCAAATCATGACTTGAGGCATGTATGTCATGCAACAAACCTGATTGGTACCACCGTACTTAAAATGCCCATCTTCAGCAAGCAACTACTTATTTCTTTAAAAGGTGGACTCAGGAAGAACAGGATTAGTTATAGAACAGGTTGGAAACAAAGGAGAGAAATATGAATGGAAAATATATATGCACAGTGCTACTCGTGATATGTGTCTTTTTGACCCATTGCACAAATTGTTTAAAACAAGGTACGTTATTGCAGTTGTTGGCATATTAGCACCAACCCCAACCTGGTTGATTTTGAAAATTACCACACTGTTTGCCTTTAAAAAATTATTTAGTCATTTCTCAAAGTTGGAAATATACTTTTGCTGAAAATTGGGTTGTAATAATTCGAACTACCATATAATTGATCAACATAATTATAATGTCGTGCTGCCTTTTCATGTATATTTGGTGAATATTGAGAGCATCAGTACAATAATCGTTTGTGTATGGTATCGGTACTGTCAAAGCTTTCCTGTATGTGAGAATTCAGTTACTGAAGATATCGGCAAACAAACATAACAAAATAAAGTTTTTTCATAATTATAAAACAAAAACAACGAAACGTTGGGTGAAATCAGGGAAATTCGATAAAAAAACTTTTTTTTTATCCTCAAGTACAGAAAATTGAATAATTACTAAGCTGTGGTCGATGCTTTGCATGTTTGTATCAATATTCTTGTCCACGTTTAAAGTAACTCGATAGGCTAGATTAGACTTGGAGGCATTTCTATTTGTTTCTCACCAAAATTGCACGATACCTAACTTAAATGCATTAAAGTCGCGAGAACTGCTCATGGCTAAGGTCAGCGGAACCAGAGTTACTCAAACTTCTGTTTGTGAATCTTAATTTTTACGTTCCCCCATTCTTTGCCGTATCAATTTCTGTGCCTAACCAACGAGTAAGGATAATGTTTCATTTACAACACAAACGACAATAATCAAGGATCGTTCTAGAACAACTTTTTCACGGTGGATATACGTGTTTCAGGCTTTTTCAATATCATTGCTGACCCCCTGTGTAGTCATCACCAACCCCTAGCGGACCCCAGTTTAGGAAACCCTGAGCTAAACAATTAAAACTCCTATTGAAGTAATATGAAATTAATTTAAATATTTAGTTGACCAGGAAATTCGAAAAAAGAGATCAACCTTCGGACGATGCAGATACAGTTCACCTTCTGGAATACCAGTGAAAAATCCATCACAAACAAGAATCAAATTTTTACCGAACAGAGGTATTGCAGATAATTTATGTGGGATAGCATATATTTCAATTCAAATGCATTACATACTTATAGTTAAACCTTTGCTGATCTGTTTTATATGCACAAATATCCCAGATCTAGTATGTCAAAACTGATGTAGTCATTCGTTCAATCCTATCACCATTTTATTCAAAATCTGTAAATTAGTCTTGTATTTTATATTTGAAAACCCCACAGAAATAAAAATTGTTTCTCTTTCAAGATGGAACAAAATACAATTACAACGAAGTACTTCACAAATCTATACTTTTCTACGAAGCGCAACGATCGGGTTATTTACCCAAAAATAATCGAATTCTTTGGCGAGGTGATTCGGGTCTGAAAGACGGATGCGATATAAAAGTAGACTTGACCGGTGGTTGGTACAATGGTAAGTTTATCATTCGATTAGCCCAGAAGAGTTCGAATAGAGTCGGAATTTTTAAGTTTGATTGTATTTGATTATGCATATGTAAACTAGCTTACAGATGTCTTCCCAAAATTAAAAACCCTTATTGTTTAGAAAACTTAAAACCTTTTATCTGTAATTTAGACATTCAAGGAAGATTACAAAATTGTTTTATACCAAAAAACTGTAATTTTAGAAATATTGTTTGTTGTTTGTATTTTGAGTTGTATGTTGAGCGCAAACTTCATTTATGTAGCAATTGATAAAAAAGTTGTGCCTGTTTTGTTTTTCAGCCGGCGACTTGATGAAATTCAATTTTCCGATGGCATTTACATTAACAATGTTATCATGGGGAGGAATACAGTTTCGAGATGCATACGAAGATGCTGGGGAAATTCAAAATCTGATTCAAACAATCAAATGGGGAACAAATTACTTTATAAAATGTCACATATCAAAGTATGAGTTAGTTGGACAGGTTGGTAATATATTGTGATGCACCATCGATACTGTTTACTTAGATAGTGGCTGACTTAGATATAAATGAAGTTTACCTATATGCGGAAATACCTTTGTGTGATTCGATGTATTTAGTTATTGATATGAGAATTGAGTTGAAGTGCGCGCAGCGGTTGATAATGTGTATATAGACTGACTAAAATGCGTGCCATAACTAGAGCTTAAAGTTTTTCTTTTTCTTCCATTGTGATTCTTAATTACTTTACATATCTTAAACAATAACTTTTTGTTTTAAATTTAAAGTGACTACGCAATACAAAGAACAACTGTACATTTTATTCATGGCTGTACTAAAGATTAAACCAGAAATTGTTTTGGTCTTCATGCTATATTTGTATTTTTAAGTCCACTTTCATCTTGCATGCATGTAGATAGGACATGGAAAAACCGATCATGAAAATTGGGGAAGACCGGAAGAACTCAGCATATCAAGACCAACCCGTACAATCACTGCTAGAAAACCAGGCTCAGAACTTGCCGGTGAAACTGCTGCGGCATTGGCCGCATCCTCGATGTTGCTCGAGAAAGTAGACAAGAAACTGTCTGCCTCTGCACTTGATCACGCGAAGGAATTGTTTGAATTTGCCGATAAGTACAGGTATTTAGAGTTCAACGTCTTTTTTCGATTTACGACTAAGTTTTAGTTTCCTCAATCCATAGTCCACGAGGTTATTAGGTTATTAATTTTATAGAACATAATCCGCTAAATGCCGAAGGTGAAAACAGATCTTGGTAGGGTTGATCCTGGGCGCCTACCGGCTTGTCGATCTGTTTAGAACTAGTACCTCGGTAATCCTTTCCCAGATAAATTTAGGTCAATCTGTTGTCTTTCATTAAGCAGCTTTCACCGCACCCTGAAAATTAAACTATACTAATTGTTCAACCCTTTATTTAGAGGGGCTTATCACAATGCAATACCTGATGCAGCTTCATATTACCAATCATTTTCTGGTTACGAAGATGAGCTAGCGTGGGCGGCTGCCTGGTTATTCAAAGCAACAAAGAACGAAACGTATTTGGAAATTTCTAAAACCATTTACAATAAAATAAGAAAGCAATTTTCCACAGAAGAATACTTTTCGTGGGATTCCAAATTTATTGGAGTTCAAGTGAGTTCTTCAAGATCTGATAAACACATTCGAATTTTGCATTTTTTTTGATAAAAATAATATTTTCTGCTGACCAGGTAAAGTACTTTATATTTTCAGGCATTATTGGCTGACATAACGGGAGATTCTTTGTACAGAAATGCATTATCTGTTTATCTCGATGGATTAGAAAATACACCAACAACCCCTGAAGGGCTGTATTACTTGGATGAATCAGGGCCAAACAGATATGCAGGTAGCATAATCAAAAGACAATGTTTTAATTGCAGAACGAAAGTTGTGTTTTTTTATTTGTGCGAAAGAAAAAATAGTTTCGTGGACTCTAAAATATTACGTTTTGTTTTGAACAAATGTTATAAATTTTAAAACAACCTGACATCAGCCATTTGCAAATAATTTAAATCATTGTGTCATTATCGTTGTTATAAATTTAGCATAAATTAAAGTCAAAAGTTGGTTTCAATTTTTAAAACTAAAAAAATTGCATGTAGTCGGGATGAATTCCAATACGTTGGACATATTATTAAGAAATGTCCTGAGGCATGTTTTCAGGGAAATTTCGAAAAATATTTGGATAAAAACCAATCTTATTTTATAATACAAAAATGAAATTGAATATAGTTGTGAATTTTTGAAACATTTGATATTTCATTTTTATTCAATACTGCGTAGGAAAAATTAATAAATTTCTCTGAATAGATAATAAATGAATTATGATTTTTCAGGAAACGCAGCGCTCCTATGCGTATTCGGAGCATCTATTTCTCCAGCACTTCCAAGAAAAGAATCCTACATCACGTGGGCAGAAAAGCAGATTGGTCTTTTAATTGGAAGTTCAGGACAAAGTTTTCTAATTGGGTTCGGAAAAAATTATCCAAAAAGAGCTCATCACAGATCAAGGTATAAATTTTGTTTTTAGCAATTGAAACAAAGATCTATTTTGACTGCGCATTTATGTTGCTAGATTAAAATTTTTGGTACAGTGATTGTAAAAAAAAACACACAAAGAGGCATTCCTCAATAACTTTATTCTAGTTTTCAATATGTTGGATTTTTTACAAATATAATGCATTTCAGTTATTTTTTAATAACTGAAAAGACTACTGAGATATAGCATTTCAAATTTATAGTGGGGTGCAAAATTCATTTCTTTTTTATTACTATAAACTAACTAATCTTCTAAATCTAGATCGTCCCTGTGACACATGTCACATACGGATCCAGCTAATACAGGAAAAGTGGAACGAACGAAATAAAATGTATCAAGCGAACCTGTGTTCTTTGAATATGATACACTGAGTTATCTATCTTGAGTACTCTCATGTATTACATACCATTCGTTTTTTATTCTAACGAAAGTTTTTTTTCTCTTCACAATCTCACAGCTCGTGTCCCCCTTACCCAGAAAAATGCGATTGGTCAACGTATCATTCAACCAAAGCCAATCCTTTCCTATTATATGGGGGATTAGTAGGAGGACCTGATAAAAACGGTTTATTTAACGACAAAAGAGACGAACATCAACAAAATCAAGTTGCGTGCAATTATAACGCTGGATTTCAATCAGCTGTAGCAGGTAATATTCGACAATATGTATAAGTTTGATAAAAACCAGTTGTTCGACTCTGTACATATAAAATCTATCATACCATAAATGTTTTGTTTCGTAAATATAGCTAAAATCCAATTTTTTTTTTTTGAAATAGAATGAATTGTGTTATCACGAATAAAGTAAAGTTTTATCAAAAATATATATTAATTGAATGTAAAATAAACCCTTTTTCGAATTGAAGATCTCTCTTGTAAATGAATATTTTTAACTTGATAATAACTAAAAATCAATCATTTAAATTACAGGACTAAAACATTTTGCAATGAAAAAACGAATCAAATCGGGAAAGCCTGCAAAACCGAATGTTTTAACAACTGCTGGTAAGTTTTTTAAAATTTTATATGCAATTTATAAATGATAACTTACATCTTTATCAGTTTGCACGTCGTAAAGGCAAACAATGTATTTATTATACAGTAAGGCTCGAAAAATCATTATAAGAAACTTGAATTAACGACAAAATGAATCATTCGACCGATTAACTCGGTAATAAAAATATTCGTGTAAATATCTACATGACAGAACCGTTATAAATTATAGATTGTGAATACATATAAAGGATTCCAATGTTTATTGAATATTTGAATACGCCTGGTAATAAATACCTATATGCAAGCAGTTTAAAATAAGTATTTTATAGATGCTATTTGTAATTACACCGACAATATATATATCACAGCTACAACAGTACCGACAACAAGACCAATTACGCCAAGTAGGGCAGAAAGATTCAGGTGTTCAACTAACGCTGACGATGGAATTCTTCCCTCAAACCCAATGCAAACTAGTCCAAAATTCAAAGCTAACGAAGGTAATTTAAAAATTATATAACCCTTTCTTTGCCTATTTTTATTTTGAATCTCAAACCAATTTCCACAGACGGAACAAAGTACAACCTCAATGAAGTTTTGCACAAGTCGATTTTATTTTATGAGGCACAAAGAGCAGGAAAGCTTCCACGAAACAACAGAATTCCATGGAGAGGAGATTCAGCTTTAAAAGATGGCTGTGATGTCAAGACTGATCTGTCTGGTGGATGGTATGACGGTAGTATGCTTTTATTTTTTTGTAAATATTTAATCTATGATTACCTGCTGGTGGTACAGTTGTAAGCAATTCACGTTTTGGGGATTGAATCTAGTCAAAGCTGGTAATGACAAGACTTCACTTTATGTTTTGAACAAGGTGTTTCCAAGTCGAATACCAACTTCGAAACTGATCAAAACGTTTCGATAAATAATTTATTTTTATCTAGGATAAAAATAGGCGTCGATCGAGAATACATTTTTCATAGTCTATTTTACTTTGTGGACAATTCATTAACGAGTAAAAATAAACGAAATGTCCAACGCTGGAAGGCCCGTAATTTCCATCTTTTCATTGTTAAAAGATTAAAATTATATATATTTTTGCTTATAATGAGATCATTTACAGAAACCGAAATTTCAAATTATCAAATTATATCATAAACACAATATTTTTCAATTAGATTATCTAAATTAATTTTTTATTTATGTTGACGATTTCTGCAGCTAATTTAATTAACGATTTATCAATTCGAATTGCAGGTGGCGACTATGTAAAATTTGGATTACCAATGGCATTTACCGTGACCACTTTGTCCTGGGGAGGAATTCTTTTTCGTGACTCATATGACGATGCAGGAGAACTAGAAAATTTAATAGAATCTATCAAATGGGCAACAGAATATTTAATTAAAGCTCACATATCAAAATATGAATTTATTGGTCAGGTAAGCATGTGGCATGTGTTTATCTTTAAGACTAGATCTATCTGTATTTATTTTTATAGATAATTAATATATAACAAAGCTATTTGTCATAAAATTCTTTAAATTTATTTGGTCAAATTTTATTCGTTTTCAACTTTGCGAACGGTTTTTATCTATATTTGGAAGTTTAGTCATTTCTTGCAGTGATTGAAATTTTTTTATGTAGAACCGAAGAAACAAAAATTGCGAGTTTATCATAAAATAATAAAATTATATTCAATACAAATGGCCCGTATAGAATAACAGCTTCATGTCTCAACCATAATTTTGAAATAACATTTTCATTTAAAACGTTCCAACCTAAATACTTCAAGATCGGAAGCCCAAAAACGATACACTCATTCTGGGGTCGAGCAGAAGCCATGAATATGGATCGTCCGTCTTACAAAATAACTGCTGAAAATCCTGGTACAGAAGTGGTCGCGGAATCAGCAGCGGCGTTAGCGGCATCTTCGATATTCTTAAGCAAAACAGATCCAGCTCTATCGAAAGAGGCATTGAAGCACGCAAAAGAACTTTATGAATTTGCTGATAAGTATAGGTAAGTATCAAAAGTACTGTTATATAAATGAATAAATAGTTAAATATAATATTGAACGAAATGCTCAGTGTGACTGATATTTCGAAAATTACAAAAAGTAATGCTTAAACGAATACACAAGTACGGGTATTTATTAACAATAATCAATCAACAATAATATTTTAAAACTTAAAATTTCAAAGCAATTGGCCTAGTAGTTAAAGAGAAAACAATTTTTTCACAACAACAATAACAGGAAAAGAAAGAAAACCAACAACTACAACAAAAATAATAACAAAACGATCCATAGGTCTATTTTGTGTACAATACCTCACCGTGATTGTTCCCAGTAACAGTGTTCGAGAAATGAAAAAAAATTCTACCATATATATAATAAATAGATCCTATATATGTATGTAATAAAACCTTTCATTTGTTTGGCAATTTCTAGAGGGACTTATATATACGCCATTCCTCAAGTTTCGGAATATTACGATTCTCATTCGGGATACAACGATGAATTGATATGGGGAGCACTATGGTTATACAAAGCAACAAATCAAAAAAAATATTTGAACAAAGCTATTAAGACATACAACAAATCAATGAGCGAATTTGAAACTGAAGTCAGTTTCACCTGGGATGCAAAATTCATCAGTAGCCAGGTAAAGAATAAAATAATTATTTATACCGCAATAAACTTAAATGCTTCACAGGCTTCAATAATTAATAATTTGTATAAATTTCACGAGTCAAAAAAGTTCCAACTATTTTATTCTTAAAAATGAGAATTAGAATAGAGTGCACAATCTTGGCAAATGTTTTGCCATACACAGATCTGGTTTGACACTAAAGCTGATATAATATATTTTTTATTCTATCTTTGAATGAATTTACAATCACATGCATTGATAATCATATATTTTGTGTGTATACTATTTTTAGAATTTATTTTTAGGCTCTTTTAGCAGAAATTACAGGAGATGATATTTATCGCACGCCGTTTTCACAATATTTGGATACTTTAGAAGCGGCTACAACTACACCACAAGGACTGTATTACTTTGGTGATTGGGCTCCAAATCGGTATACTGGTGCGCATTCTTTTTGATACATTTTCTTACAATCCTCAATTGTGAAAATAAAGATTCTAAGTGAAGTAATTAAAATTATATATAATTTGAACAGGTGGTGCAGCGTTCATGGCTGTTTTTGGTGCATTATTGGAACCGCCGCTTCCAGGAAGAAGCAGTTACTATGAGTGGGCTAAAAATCAAATCAACTTGCTATTGGGGGATGCAGGGCAGAGCTACATGGTCGGATTTGGAGATACTTATCCGCAAAGGGTTCATCATAGATCAAGGTACAAAATACAATATCTCTTAAATCGAGGTAATTATAATGTTATATAATGAGTGATTTAGCAACGTTTGCAAATCGATAGACTTGTACACAAAATTATATTAATTCATATCAAAGAGGTGCGTTACAGTCATAGCCGTGTTGTTGTACGAACTTTCTTGTTTTCAAATTAACGCATATTATCATGGCTTGACATACAGTAAATAAGATCCTCATGATTTCATATCATGACTAAATTCTGAGTAATGCCAACGCATAATTTTGGTTTTATTTCACCAAATATTTATCATTCATCAATACAATAAAAAAATGTGAAATTTCAAATAAGGAAAGACAGAGAAATACTTTTCAGTAATGTTGAAAGCGTATAATGGAAGCTTAGAAGTTGCTCCGACCCTTCGTTGTTTGGATTGGGAAATAAAGCATTTTTTCAACATTTTAATTTGTTGGATGTATATTTCTATTCTTGGGCCTATTTCATGACTTCCAGTTGAATAGGTTTTTAGTTTCAAGTTGTGTTCAATCTACGTTAGACGAGACATTTGTGACAAACTGCCAATTTTGATTCTGGCAACATTTCACGCTATAAGCATAGGGATTCTTCAACCTCAATTATTGTCTTTGATGTATAGTTTGTATACTAGTAAATTTTTTAGCTCCTGTCCACCACGCCCGGAAAACTGCGATTGGTCAACATATCATTCTCCGAGTGCAAATCACTTTATATTGTACGGTGCATTGGTTGGAGGACCAAAAAGTGATGGATATTTTCGAGACGAAAGACATGTGTTTGAGGGAAGTCAAGTGGGAATTGACTACAACGCTGGATTTCAATCAAGTGTTGCCGGATTAAAGCATATAGCGATCTTAATAAAACAAGGTATTTAACTATAGTAAATTGCAAAATATAATTTAATTTATATAGTTAACAGTACAACTAATAATATTGACTACTCTTTAATAGTTAATCAATGTAATCCATACTTAATAATATGACAGATGGATAAAAACAAAGACTGTAAAGAAGTTATGCTATTTCAATTTTAGTTTTAACCGAAATGGTTATATCACTTCCAATTTGTATCGCTTCTATATAATAGGCATATGGAAAGTGTCTAGTGTACCTCAACAACGACAGGATATGATATCAGAAAAAGTGAGATGCGCGCCTACGTCAAGGGAGGGGGTTCCAGTATATGGAGCCATTCAAACTGCAATCAACTTTAAACCAAATACAGGTTAAATTAGGAACAATACTTTTTAAAAAGTCTGATTTCTTCCAATATTATCACATTCACACATCAAATGACACAAATATGCTGCATATTTTGCACTATAAACTTCTAGTACACCAACATAGCCGTATTAGGGCCTCACTCAATCGATTGCTCCACAGATGCTGCTCTAACATGAGTCCATGCAACGTCCACTTTTTCCTTAATAAATCGCGTATGATCGAATCTGTCAATACACATAATTTACCCACAAATATGTACAATATATTTCCATAGCATTATATTTAAATTATATATTGTTGTACATTGTCAGAAAACTAAGCATTGTCTATTCAGGGCGATTCACATAACTGAAAAATACAAACTATTGAGCGCATGAGTTACTCACAAAACTCATGTATTACGCATAAAGACTTAGAAACTGCAAATTTCAATTTCACAATTTTTTTTTTCAATTCTAGACGATACTAAATACAACTACAATGAAGTTCTCCACAAGTCAATTCTTTTCTATGAAGCGCAGCGATCCGGACCTCTACCATCTAATAACAGAATACCCTGGCGTGGGGACTCTGGTTTGAAAGACGGGTGTGACAAAAATGTTGATGCTACTGGTGGATGGTATGCCGGTGGGTTTAAAAGTCAATACTTCGATTGTACAAAATGTTACACACCAGATAGAATACGTATATAAATACAGGTTTAATGTTTTTACTATGTAATGAGATGTGTAGGTAACTACTATTTTTTCAAGAACCGAAATATTTCTGGTAGGGCAGCGTTCCCCAAACTGTGTTCCGCGGAACACTAGTGAATTTTTATTAAACGTCGGCCTGTCTTGTTGGCTGTTCATTATCAAGTTTACAACAATCCTTTTGATTTTGCTATAGGCAAACATGAAGGTCTAAATCTAAAGAGTGAGAGCAAAAGGCTAACTTTTTTTCTTTATATCTGCTGAATTTTACTTTGAAATGCTGGAAAAATTAGTTATTTTTGCTAAGCTCTATTCAGTAGAAAATAAACTGCAGGTATGCAGCTCGCGAAATTGCGGCAAGAACTTCTATCTCAATTAGACGTAATATTGCCGGCTAACAATACGTAATGGAAAGTGAACGACATAAAATAGTAAAATGAATGAATTGATTTATGTACACAGTATTTAAATTAAGAAACAATAAAACATTTATAATAAAAGCAATATGTCAAATATTCAATCATATTTTAGGTATGTTTAACACAATTCTGTTAGTTTTCGCGGCGCATTTGGCAACTCGCCACGAGAACGCATTGGGAACCGCTACATTACACCGTTTTTCTTTATCAATTTTACCGTTTCATTTTTTTGGTGTTCCGCGAGGCGAGATTGAAAATTAGTTTTTTATCCTTTTTTTCTTCTTGCAATATCCTGACACGTTCATGTCGTAGATACGTAGATAAAATCATTGTCTCCATAAGTGATCCTTTCTGAAGACATCTCATGATTTAAAATTGGCAGAATACATGCGATGGATTACCATGACCTTTTCAAGCGCAGTGACTTCCGACTCGCCTGTTTGCACCTATCTGTTGTCCTTGCTTAGATCGTTAGTTGACTATTGAACTATTGATCCATTAGAGATCCATTCGCATCCACCGCTAGCAAACGTCAATGTCTTCCTGTGCCTATTTAAAGAGATAGTTCTCTGAACATTTTCAGGCACCAGAGCGTAGTCCAGTCCATACGCCGGTGTGTCAGACTTTAATGGATGCTCATCCTCGAACACGTGACGTCATTGCTCATTTTCGCCTCTAATCAATATTTATTCAGGTCTAATTACGAGTAGATTTCTGTGACTTTGAATACAGCAAACATAGAAATAGCTAACACACGGGCTAGGTTTTGTACAAAGAATCTTAATATGAATACACTCATTTAGTAAAAATGTTGTATCTTTTGCTTTCAACAGGTGGAGATCACGTAAAATTCAATTTTCCAATGGCATTTTCCTTAACGACACTGGCTTGGGGAGGAATCCAGTTTCGAGATGCTTATAAAGATGCAGGAGAATATCATAACATGATCGATTGTATGAAATGGACAGTAGAATATTTTATCAAATGCCATGTCTCCAAATATGAACTAATAGCACAGGTTCTTTTTGTCTTTTTTACTAGAATTATTGTTGGAACCTGTTATTTGACTTTTATTTGTATGTCTGTTTTATTCTTTTTTATAATTCCTGTGCATTCTCCTTTAATTTAGGTTGGCAGCGTACAAGATGATCATAATTATTGGGGCAGAGCCGAAGAATTAAAAATGGCGCGTCCTACGTATATGATCACCAAAGAAAATCCAGGAACAGAATTAGCTGCTGAAGTGGCTGCTGCTTTGGCAGCATCCTCAATATTTTTCAACGAATCCTACAAAAGTATTGCTGGAGAAGCTTTGGAACATGCAAAAGAACTTTTTGAGTTTGCTGATTTATATAGGTGAATGAATTTACTAATCTGAAAACTAGTATTCTCAATGTTAATGAAAGTTTTAAGTTGGCTTATCATGTGGCGAAATGCCCCCAAGTTAAAATATTTCACTTTAAAATCTCTTAGTTAAATTTAAAATTGAAATAATGCAATCGAAATTGCCAATCACCCGGATTTGATAGTGTTTGATGACATGTGTTGACTTTGACAAACCTGACCAATATTTCATTTTTAAGTTTGGCTAAGATGAAATCGAATTTGCCAATCACCCGGATTTGATAGTGTTTAATTAACATGTGTTGACTCGACTATACGTTTGTACGTCTCAAACCTGACCTAATAAGGCAGGCCCAATTTATTGATTTAGTAGGCCTACTAATATTCATTTATGTATATCAATGATGTCTCATTTGATGGCAAACTAATCAATAGTACAATAATGCGCATAATACACCTTTATAACCTTACCACACATTCATGCTTGCTCTCACATTCCAGAGGTTCATACGGCAATAGCATTCCAGCTGCGTCATACAGTTCATATTATGGATTTGAGGATGAACTAATATGGGCTGCAAGTTGGTTGTACAAAGCTACTGGGAACAAAGAATATTTATACAAAGCTATACGAATGTATGATGCCGTCACCGATGAAATGAAACAAGAATTTTCGTGGGATTATAAACTCGTTGGGGCAGTTGTAAGTTTCACTTTTATCTATGCAAAACTAAGTTTGAAATAGCCTTCTATAAGTAAAAATATCTTAATGCGTGGCAAATAAATATTTAAAGCCAAAGTGTTTAAAATATATCACAACAAAAACTAATAGAAACGAGTAATAAAACGTTCATAACACAAATTCAAATGTTTTATTCGTCGTATTCGATGCAACGATGTTTTCATATTTGAAGCAACACTGGATGTTATACACACCTTGCGTTAGATCAAACATTGTTATTACAATCTTTTACCTGATCAATGTTTCACTTTTTTGTGATTCGTGAAAATCATTACTGGAAGCGGCAATGTTCCCTTTTAAATAATCGAATAATATGTTATTTATTTAATATTAATAATTAATAATTTCACTTGAATAATATGATAATACGCGCCTAAGGCGAGTATGGTATTGGTTTAAAAGGCGCCGAAAGCAAATATTTTCTAGAACAGCTTCGAGATCAAATTAATTTGTAAATTGATCTACAATCATCTGAAAATGTCCTTGAGTATATTCGAAAGCAAAAAAGGGGTTTCGGGGATTCTGTATTATAGTTTCCAATGTAATTCAAAAATGCACTATAAAATTTATAATGCGGACCAAATAATGACCATGTAATTACAAATACCAATTGGTTATTCAAGCAATAACAGAAACTGCTTCTAGCTTTATTCATTTATTATATCGGTTCTGACATTTCAAAAAAATTAAAAATTAAGTGATTGTTAACTCAAGATAATGGGGACGGATAAGATAACACATGAAACATTACCTATACTTTTATTTCAGACATATCGATTGATTATATATATATATTTACAAATATTTTTATATATGTTCAGGCATTACTTGCTGATATTACCAAAGAGGATAAATATAGGACCAGATTTTCAGAATACCTAAACAATCTGCAAAATTCTACAACAACACCTAAAGGACTTTACCACTTTGACAATGGGCCTCCAAATCGATACACAGGTCAGATACAGCTTCACAACAATTCAAAATGTTCCCAATCATTTCATAATCTGTAACTACGATCTGCATATTTTGAAAGGAAGTGCTGCATTTATGTCTATTATCGGTGCCAACTTGAAACCGACATTGCCTCGAGCTTATTCTTATATGGAATGGGCAGAAAAGCAAGTTGGAATGCTGCTTGGAGATAATGGAATGAGTTATGTGATTGGTTTCGGAGAAAATTATCCGCTCATGCCGCATCATAGATCAAGGTAACTCACAAATGCAACAATTAATTTTTAATTAATTCTTGATTTAATCCCAGTGTGGCACTTTTTTAAACACCAGTTAAGCCAGGCTTTTGAAATACTATTACTTTATAGTTTATTCATTAATTTTTAAGTTTAAAATCAGACATATATGAATTGTAATACATTTCATGGAATACAACTAACGCCATGAGGTGACGTATGGTGATTGCGTGCGATAGTGTCGGCCCTACTATCATTCCTTATATTTAAAAGAATCGTATTTATAATCTGTTCAAGCAATCGTCTGATTGTTTTGAGTGTGCTATATCTTATTTACTTTACCTAATTATTAATTTATTCGCTCCTTTTATAAATGGAAATTGATTAATTTAATATTACTGATAAAAAGCTTTCCAATTTTTATCAATTTAACTTGTCTAATTTCAGCTCATGTCCTCCATATCCTCAAAGATGCGATTGGCAAACAACATATCATTCTTACGATTTCAATTATTATATTTTGTTTGGTGCTTTGGTTGGTGGACCAGACAAAACTGATTACTATAGAGATAGCAGAGAGGCTTTTGAAAACAGTCAAGTCGCATGCGATTACAATGCCGGATTCCAGTCCGCTGTAGCAGGTTATAATCATATCAGAATTACAGAAAAATAACTAATTGGAACTGTTATAGTTGTATTGATATGAAAAAGTTGGTTTTTATAGATATGCCTACAAATTTATTATAGCAAAACCCACATTTTAGAATTAGTTAAAATCAATATAATATGAATTACCTGTATCGATCGGCTATACAAGTTTTATTATATGAAAGCTTCGACCCTTGAACCAAAAGAAGTTGAAAGTGTTCATCATTGCACAGAAATATCTCTAGATAGCGGTTGGTATGACACACTGACAAGAAATTAGTCAGAGAATTTAACTTACTTATCCACATATACATGGTGACCGAAATAACAGAATCCATAAATTTCTAAATTACTCCTACGAAAATATAGAAAATTTATTTGGGCATCTGTCTGTGTATGATTGAGCCCACAAGTAACAATAGACCAAGTCTAGGACGCTTTACACATAATTTATGTTTTTTTAGAAGCCAGAGTTTGTTAGTTTTGGTCAACCTACAATCCTTTAATGTAATTAGATCTATTTTTGAACATTTCATCATTCAGGGCTAAAAGCGGAAGCGATGCGTACTAGAAGCAAGCGCGAGCCTGAACCTTCGACGTCTCCTCGTCCAGTTGCTATGGTGGGAAGATTCTTTTTCAGAATTATAAATATCAAAAGTATGTGCTCTTTTAGTTTTAGTGAGAGATTTTAGATAAATAATATAATCAAGAATGTATGTTTTTGCAGCTACACCGGTACCACCCCCAACAAGAAATCCAAATTTTGTAACAGAAAGCAGAAGATGTGCAGGAAGTGCTCCAGCGGGAACACCAGTGTTTAGAGGAACTCAAACACCATTACATTTCAAACCAAATAACGGTAATCAAAACACATTTTATTTCTGTGTTTTTATTATTATTCAAACTAAAAGCAGTGATTTAGACCCGTAAATTTAATATATTTTTATATAAATATTCTATCTGTATTTTGTCTAAAATTTCAGATAGATCGGCGCATAATTACAATGAAGTTTTGCACAAATCAATTCTCTTCTTTGAAGCTCAGAGATCAGGTAAGTTGCCGTCCAGCAATAGAATACCATGGAGAGGAAATTCTGGACTGAAAGATGGCTGCGATATTGGAGTTGATCTATCTGGTGGATGGTATGATGGTGAGTTGACAATGACAATGAGTTTTTTGGACACAAAAGTAACATATGAATTTAGCATTCTTCTCGTGTTGTTGTGAATAAATCGATTTTCCCTTCAACCACTGGACCAATTGCTTTAAAATTATTATAGGTAAATATTGTTGTTGTCGCTAGAAAGCATTTACATTCAAGTCGGGAGATTTTTTGATAAGGAAGACTATCAGTACTGTAAAAGATATGATACTAATTCGTTTTGGCTTTCGTGTTCACATAGGCTAGTTGAGCATTGCTCCATTGTTGTATACTTTTTTCCAAATCCTACAAGCTTCGAAATCCCCAATTTCAATTTTGCTATTCAACAAATATGAAATATGCCCATTGCTAAACTGCGGTCCCATCGATCCCTGTGTGAAATACAACGGAGGGGGGATTGGATTTTCTCTTTTTATCTAAAACTTTCGAACGATCTGATAACAAATTTCAGTGTACTTTAGCCATTGAATCCAGTGTCTAAGCTACCGCTACCACGTTTAGTCACCTTTCGTCTATATATTTTAGTGACCCTCACCCTTTTCTATTATATCATAGGGCGCCTTGTTTTTAGAATCGGATCCAAACATATTCGTTTTTTGTTGCTTTTAGAAATTTTACAATATATATATATATATATTGCGCTAACCCAAACCATCAAATAGATAAGCTAGCGATAAATATATCATGCAATACAAATTTAATAATAAAAATTTTGTTTTTTAGCTGGCGACTTTGTGAAATTTGGATTTCCAATGGCATTTTCTCTTACAACACTCGCGTGGGGTGGAATCCACTTTCGCGATGCTTATAAAGACGCAGGGGAATATCACCATATGGTTGAAGCTGTTAAATGGCCAACAGAATATTTCATCAAAGCGCATTTGTCCAAATATGAACTTGTGGCGCAGGTAATGGCTATATTTGTTATGTAATGTTACTCGTGTTTTATCTTTTAACGCATCACTCATACAACTTTAAGGTTGGGAACGGCAAACAAGATCATAGCAACTGGGGGAGGCCTGAAACCATGTCCTCCAATCGACCAACGTATAAAATAACGGCTGAAAAACCTGGTAGTGATCTAGCTGCAGAAACAGCGGCTGCACTGGCAGCCGCGTCCATCTTTCTTGACGAAACTCATCCGAAACTGGCAGCTAAAGCACTGGCACACGCTCAAGAATTGTTTGAATTTGCTGACACTTATAGGTAATATTGAATTTCATAATCTATTCACTGACAGATATAAAAATTTAAAAAAATTAAATCCCAAGCTTTATGGTTCGACAAATTTCTGATTGGGTCGAAAATTTGTCTCCCAACTGACGACAAACAGGCGGACAAATCTTTTTATCTAAACAGACAAGCCTCCTGCCAGTCTAGAAATCACGGCGCTTCCTTTCAACCGCTCAATATCGTTAACTGTCGGCCCAATTTTTTAATCGTCGAGTTCACAGAAACCTTTTAACTTTATCATAGTCAAAATTTTTTGGAAACCAACCTACTCAATGAATTGTTGGCTAAAAACTGGAAGCCTCAAAATACGTCGTGATAAGCCGGTTGTGCAAGTTGATTCATTACACGATTTTTTATTATGAACCTTACCTTCTAATTTTTTGGTGTTCCGCGAGGCGAGATAAAAAGCGTAGATGTTCGGTGGCAAAAAAGGAATGAGAAACGCTGTTCTAGATCAAAGATATCGAGTTTCAGTTACATTAGCATGTTGATCAACCCGGGGTGTTCGAGACGTTACATAGTTTAAAAAATTGTGATTTGTGCACATATATGAAACAAAATATTTTTAAAATTGTGTATATAATATATTTCAGAGGGTTATATCACAAGTCAGTCCCGGAGGTTGCTGAATTTTATAAATCGTTTTCTGGATACGAGGATGAATTAATATGGGGTGCTGCATGGTTATACAAAGCAACCAAAAATGAAAAATATTTAATAAACGCAACTGAAAATTACAACAACATGAAGGACGTTGTAGAGATACAATACCATTGGGACAGAAAACTATCCGGTGCACAGGTAGAAATAATCAGCACTAACGTTACCCTAATAATTTTTTAACTTATAAATGAAAAATTGTAATATGTTAAGCATATGATATTGAGCAAAAATGATGTCTCACTAATCTTGTATTTTTTTTTGGAATATTTTTCAAAATGAATATATATATATATATAAACTATTGTACAGCCACGTTATTAACAATTTCTGTTTAGGCTGAAACACTTCATGTAGTGTCTCGCCTCTATCTGCAATTTTTTTTTTATCTTGTTAAGCTTTCCGCAAAGTAAAATACGCAAAATAGGAGTTGTTTACTGCTAAAATTCAGTATTCGCAAAGGTAACTAATACAACTTAAACAAACAGCGAATAACCATACATTAGAACCAGCACCTGCCATGCCGCCGAGGTTCGGTAAATGCCCTTCTGCGCTCCTTGACATGTATCCTTGTGCATTTATATCACACAGGGCTAAATCTTTCATGGAATTAATGGCCATCGAACCATGAACACTGAATAGCAGGCTTCGCAATTTTATTAACACTTGGTTGGCACTTAGCAATACCCAATTTGAGACACTGTTAAAATGTGAGCCTGCTGTGTGGGGATTATTTACCTTATTTATAGAAATCGTGCAAATGTTTACTGTAAGCGGCATGTCAATCTCTTCATTAGCTGCCTTTTTTATCAAGTGATCTTACATATTTCATGTTCACAAATCTTTATTCAATTCTCAGGTATTGCTCGCTGATTTAACTGGAAACGCAATATTCCGGAAACCACTTATTGGTTATTTGAATATTATGTTAGATGGTGACACTACTCCACAAGGGTTGTATTATCACACAGAATGGGGACCGAATCGTCATACAGGTAAAATATTACATCATGCTTACGTTTCGAACACTAAGAAAAATGATTCGATAATAAGATTGAAGATTTGCATATTTGATTCATTTTCAAAGATTCGAACCATTATGTCGCCCGGTCATAATATAATTGCAAATTGACTTATTATTATAATAATAATACCAATCCGGACGTTACTTTAATATACTGTATATTTATATTTACTATACGTGATTCTTTTGTTTTAGCTGGTGCTGCCTTTATAGCAATGGTGGCAGCAACGCTGGAGCCGCCACTACCAAGGCGTGGTGAATATTTGAAATGGGCTCGAAAACAAGTTGGTTTATTATTGGGAAATGGGGGAAGAAGCTTTGTCGTTGGTTACGGGAAACGTTCGCCTACTTCGCCACATCACCGATCCAGGTACAAATAGAAATTAAGAACAGAGCGATATTTATTCATGATTTATAGAAAATAACATAGAACATAAATGTGCTAGTGATCAATACGTAGATTATTGATTAGAGCGCTTGGTTCATTGTGAGTTAAAGATCTGCACACTCCGATTGTAATAAATTAGATATGACATTCGGAACTCCAGTTCGGGCACGGTAGTACTCTCTCTATATACACGGTTATTTATTTAATTAGATGTAAATTGAAGTATCGCATAAAATGTAGGAGGATTGAACGTTCTATTTATTTTACATGATATAAAACTAAATTTAGCAAATATAATAATTTTTTTCCGTTCAAAGTACTTGTCCACCTTATCCTCAACGTTGTGATTGGTCGACATACAACTCTGCAGTAAAGAATCACTTCACTTTATATGGCGCCCTGGTAGGAGGACCCAACAAAAAAGGAATCTACCACGACAAACGAAATAATGTAAAGGAATCAGAGGTTGCCTGTGATTACAATGCTTGTTTCCAGAGCGCTATTGCAGGTATGCTCTCATTCCGTGACACTACTATATTAGTTATAGGGATTTTTGAGACTCACGTTCAGTAATTCTAGATATGTTTAGATGTATATTTGAATCGCATAATGAATGTTGTCTTTTATGTCGTACGGAAAATCAAAAAGCTTAAGGAAAATAAATATGGAATATTCAGTTTATACTTCCTTCAGTCCAGATAGCTTGATTCCACTTTCCTTCGTTTCCATACTTCAGCATATATATTCAAAAGATGGATTTGCTTTGACTAGATACGCTATAATAGTATTAAATTGGTCTCGGCCAAACAAGCGTACAACACATCTTAATTTGCTCAATAGAAAGAATTTTAATTTTGATTTTTATACAGATGCTTTTCATATCAACGATTCATAATGTGCTAAAATCATAGTAAAGTTCTTTGAAATTGTTAAATTGGATTTAGCTGTCTAATAATGACTCTCTTTTGCATTAGGGATGAAACATTTTGCTATCAAGGACAGATCAAAACCCACAACAACAACGAAACCACCAATTACTACAGCGACTTCACCAAAAACGACTACTATTACTCAACTAGAAGTTACTACGAAGAAAAAGAGACCGAAAGGCAGAATAGTAAAAAGAGTAAAATGTAAACCAAAAGACAGCCCTAGATGCAAAAAGGCGCGAGCTCGTGCACAAAAGCGAACTGTTGCTTAAATTTAATAAAATTGTGGGAAAATCTCAGTTTGATGAAAATGCAGCGACGAATTCACACAATTATTAATAAAATTTTGTTGAATGTAGAATGTAGGCTATTATGACGTTGGAAATCGTAGGTATACTTCTAATTCAATGCCTTTCAGTTCAGTACATTGTTTCGGTCCCTCGGACATCATTTATACCGGACAAAAAGTAAGGTACTATGGATCACGTTTGTTTGCGGGTCAGACTTGCGAATTTTGATTGAAACCACGTTGAAATTGCGACAATTTTCACCTTCTCATCAAATTTTGGATTCATATATTTGCCTATTGCTCTTTCTTCTTGTTGCATCCGAGAATGATGTAAAGTGCGTGTACTCACCCACATCTCGCCAGCTTTTCTGCAGAATCATATCAACGTTGAGTCAACTTCAAAATGCGCGCCCTGTCGATCGTTGGAAATTCATGGCCATGTATAATATGATGAGTCGATTTATTCATTGAGAGTTGAACAAAAGTAGGTACAGCTTAGCTATTTGACATCGAAGGCTTACCCAAGAAGATGTGAAAAGTTATATATCGAATTAACATTGTATTGATTTTGAAGACTATAAAACTCGAAAGAAAGGAGTATTCAAAGTAGGTCACAATAGAGATTAGTTACCACAGAAAATTAGTATTACATCTTGGGTAGACCCTCGAGATACAACTTTGTATACAGAAATTGAATATTAGAAGAATGTAAAACACATTAGCCGGTAGAATACGGCTTCGTTCAGCATTCGATTGTGAGCAGAATATAAATGAAATTTGAGCTAATTGCAAACGAAAACTAAGGTAATATACTTTAGGAATTGTCTTGTCATTTTTATATGCGAGCGTTATTACTACTAATGAATATGGTATTAATTCCACGCTCGTACAGAGTTGATATCTCATACATAGTGAAGTAAAAGATGTTATTATTTTATGTTAGAGAAGCCTTAGGTTGACTTCCGTCTTCTTGTAACACAAACGTAAATCAGCAAAGCAATGATGGCTATTAATAAAACTCCAGTCAAAACAAGCAAAATTATGATGATCATGACGTTGTTACTTGACACCAAGTCGTTGTTATTCGTGGATCCTGGAAAATGAGTTTAAACTTTGATTTATATTCTTATATTTATGTTTAAAGTCTTCGTTATCTTATTAGTTATAGCTTATCCTAAGAATTCTACAGGCTTCACAACAATTAGAATAAGACGAAGCACGTTACCGTCGCCAATATTGGGTGGCTCTCGAATTTTTTCATTTGATCTGATAATGAGAGAACTTCTCAATATTTGAACTTGTAAATTAGTCTCTCTCTTCTTCCGGCTTGAACAGGTCTAGTAGCAAGAAAGATATTTAAGTGTCTTACACAAATGAAAAGCAAAAAGCTTTCAAGTAACGCGCATTTTGTTGCTGGTGTATCATTTCGCCATAGATTAAACCAAAAACCTAAAGTGCATAAATCCACTCATTTAAAATAAAATTTATTTATTGTCTGTATCCTTTGGTTGAAAAAGATGTTTCAAAAAACCAACACGCTTTATCTAGGCAGTTTATTAATGTATAGTTAAAAGTCGTGAAAATTTAAAACATATCAGAAATAGCCTGGCCGAAAAAAAACGAAATTCGGACCTTGCAACTATCCCCTCAAATATTCTGCAAAGTTTCTAAATATATTATTTCAAATTTAAGAAAAGCTCTGTGTGAACAATTGCATTGTCACCAATGCTGTTTAACGAATATTGGATGGCTATATTAGTTTCTGATATTTCAACAAATATTTCTATACTGCGATTTTTGTGATCTACTTATGAATATGATGTTATCTTACCGGTGCGCAATCACTCCCTGTACAGAGCTGAACAGCACAATGAAGATAAACGACATTCGAAGGTAAAAATGCAAAAACAGAAAGTTGAAATTTCACATTACTAGAGACACCGTTGCTTGTCACCGCTGCTCCGATAACTCCACTTTTCAAGCACCTGAAAATATGACTGCCAGTCAGTATCGGGAACAAATGTATAAACTATAATGCTGGACCAAAGTCAAAATGACGAAGGTAATTACGTACATATCATTATGAAAAGTTATCAATCTGCCGAGAACTCCCCAGATAACAATCTTTTAAGCCGGCGACCTCAGACGAATTTTACCAGTCTGGCAGTAGGCTTACGTTGTTTTCTGAGTATATCCGTCTGAGAGTATCTTGAACCCTGATTATAAATTGGAAAACTCACACATTCAACGATCTAATAAATTACCAGAGACATAGAAATTTATAAATACCCAGCAAAGCCAACAAGACGACTCATTCAATTTATCTTAATGAATTAATTTTAATACGGTTCACCGATCTTTAGGATCGCAAATCAATAACTTTGACACGAAAACCTTGGGTTGGTCGACATATCACCACCTTTTAATGACTAAATTATTGTTCTAATGATAAATTATTGATGATTGATATTACTGCAAAATTTGAACGTGTTTTATATTTTTGGTCAACTCTTCTATGTAGGCTAGTTTCTTCTTATATAGTAATATAGGATTAATAGAATTGAAAATTGCAATTTAATCACCACGAAAAACAAATATTTCTAACAAAACCCGAATTTGTGCTTGTATTTGGAATGTGATATTTGTATACGCCAGAACAATTCTCTACACAAGGCAGTATTTGTCTTAGTACAGATTACAGAATGATGCAATAAGGTAATGTACATTCCGTCTAAAAATGATCTTAACGAATGATTCCTATTTTAAAGTCACATCAGTACTCCATGGTCTTATGGGCCATTTCAAATCCTAATATCGTTTTTATTCACATCATTACTTGATTTATTGAAATGTTACTGGTAAAGATTTGACTTGAAAATTTTCTTGAATTAAAAACTGTCAGATTTATCAAATAAATTCAAGTTCTACATCTGGATATTAAAACCAGTTCATCCATTCATAGTCAATGTTAGTGATTCAATCGGCAAATTACTGAATGTGTTTGCGAAACTTTCCGTTTATGGAAATATCGACACCATGTCGGGCGTACAGGGTGAGGCCGTCACAGTAGATTTTACATTAAAAGGTGTGGTAATATGTTGCTACGAAACATCAAAACATTGTACCAGTCGTAATTCCGATAATTCGACGGCGATGGTTTTGTAAATCTACCTCGACATTACATAAATCTATATCGTGAGGTCCAGTCATCCAAGAAATTTGAGTTTCTACACTTTTCAACGGTAATTATTTATTTAAATTTTTCTTTTTCCTTTATATACATATAACCAGACAATATGCAGAACGGTGGCGATATTAAAATCATTGAAAAAATAACAAAATATCATAAGTATGCATTTCAATAAGAGATAATCGTTGGTCAAAAGCGTGAATTTTGATTAATTATGGTCCCACGGATTGGATAATAATAAAAACGGCATATGTAGTTCTTTCTATTTTATTAATTACCCAGATATTGTTGGGCGAATTGTACATGTTTTGTCAATATGTTACATATAGTCGTTTATTAATATTCTCTAAAATTATGACAAGTAATACAAGACCTGCAATTATGCGAGTATTCTAACTTAACAGTACTAAATAATTGATAGAAATGTTGATGTTCTTGGTATAATGTAATTTATTTGCCATTGCCGTACTTTTGCTTTGTGTAATCTTCTAAATTATCTCCTATATGATCGATCACAAAGTATCGTAGTTACACACAAAAAAAATTTCTTGTTTATATATATTCCGCTCAGTAAAAAACAGTGCGAATTTTCATACCATCCAAATCTTAGTTAAGTTAGATATTAGGATAAAAATTAAATTTACCCTGGCTGTTCTATGATATCAAATCTCTCTGAAGATACACCAGCTGCGTCCGGAGTAGCCCAACACTCACGAGATATCATATAAAGATTTGAAAGAGCATTGCCGTCAAGTGCAATCTAGAAAAATAAAATATTTTCTTGTTGACTTTTCGTTCATCTTGTGAATTCCAATAGGCGGAATAGGAATGGTATCATTTGGTCCATAAATGGTAACAGTGAATTGTTTAATAAAACCTCAACTAATGATTAAATGATGGATCTGTTATATTAGTTGAGTAACTCGAGTGCGTACTTGTTACCACAAACAGCCAATTATAGCAATATATTTCTTCATTGTGTTTATCTTCTTTTCAACTTTAGAAGTTTTCCGTCTGTTTATCAATATTTTAAATAAGTTTTATATTGAGTAGTATTCGGGCCCAAAGTCATTTCAACATAAACAATAAGTTCTTGATTTTTATGGAAATAAAAGCCGGAGATCAAACAATTTAAAATCTTGTGGTAATTTACTTCAAAAATCAGTGTACGCCTATCACAGCATCATTTTGAATTTCTTTCTATTGCATTCTACCGCAAAATTAAATTTATTTCATCATTTTTATACTCTGTTAAAACAAAAATACAGTATATATATATATATATATATATATATATCGAAACTTCCCACATACACGAAAAGACTTGTTAATTCCTATATATAATTAAACAATCTGACATGGACTTTCCAAACATTATTTTCATATTTACTGTTTATACTCACCATGACATAAAGCATATCAGAAGTGCTGAGAACGGGGACACCATTGTAAGCTTCATTGTAGTCTGAATCTTTAAACAAATACATGGCTGCAGTAACATGTCCATTACCTTCTTGAATTGGAAAAACGATTGAATCTGATGTTACACTGTATATAATGTTGAAAATTACGTAAAAAAATCCATAAAATTGAGACAAGTTGTTGGCAAGATTTAAGGAATTAAGAGTCAATGAGTGTTTTTGAAAGTGTTTTTCAGGTAAACACGAATTGTTTAAACGGATATCACATCTTGTACATATCGATTCTGCGCCAGTAGTCGAGGTAGCAACATTCTTCATTTGTGTAGATGAAATATCATGCGTTGTCATGTTATCTTTAGTTGTTTCTATATGCATTTCTACTGTAATATGTTTATAAATACTCAGTTTCTATTGTACAAACAAAATCTAAATATAGTATGAAGATAAAAAGTCACTATAACATAGTTTATAGTACAAAAAACATGCGACCAAATATGCAATAAAATTTAGAAGGAAAAGTCGAACCAAAACGATTTTGGCCCATCGGTAATCTATAGTAGCTCGTTTTACATGAAGATGTACAATCCCATCATAACACTAAAAAATCCAATTTTCACACAATTTCAATATTTAAAAACACCATCCTAATTTATTAATCTATTTATTATTTTATTCAAAAATATTGACATACTTTGTATTAGCTTTTCCACAACTCGTTTTATTGTTGTTAGTTTTGGCTTATCGAACTGACTCACTAGTACCAGATTTAAATTACCCATACCTGTAAGTATGCCGTGATACTGCTAAATTTCTAAACTAGAAACTAAAACCGATCTCGATTTTTGTCAATCCTGTGCAAGATAGCTATTCTATAATAAATTCCAAATGACTAAAAAAATTATTTCACAAAGAAGAAAATACTTTTCATGTCTTTCAAAAACCGAAAATAGCGCTGAATACGTCACAATATCGCCATTAGTTTGGTCACACTTCAGTTGAAATATATCACAATCGTAAATTCTCTTTTCCGGGTGAAAGAATATTCAAGTATGATAGTTTACGCATGGCCTAATCAAAATTTTCGCTAATGGCCGCAATTAAATTCGGGCCATACAATATCTGTCCTAGATATATAGTGATTCATTTTCGTTAGCGTGAATAAGAGCTCCAGTTATTTTTTTACTTACTTTGAAATCAACGTCACGTATGAATAGTGGGGATTTGATTAATAAAAGAACTCGTGAAATACCTAACCCTATATATATATAGAGAGAGTATATATAATAATTCAGATTTAACAACACAAGAGATTTCTTTTAAAGATACCAAGACGTAATGCTCGGTACATATTTTGCTTGCCACGATATACGACAGGTATGAAAACAGTTTTCTGACGTGTTTTTGACCTCCTGATTTTTAAATAAAATCACTTGTAATATAAATTAGATTTATTGAAATAGTGGTCATTCGTTACTTTTCTATCAACAACATTTTTTTTCTGTAAGTTTTGATGATATGTCAAACTCAATAACCTCTTACGGCTAAGGTGCCACTTACATGATATCATTTTGTAGTGAATATGTAACATACTTCCCATTCCTATTTATAATATATTTATAAATGTTCACCACCAATCAAGTATGTTTTATTGAATCTATGCTTTATAATAGAACGGCAGTACTCACTCCTGAACAGTTAGAATGCCATCGGCATTCGAAAGTCCGAGTGCAAGAGAGGCACTGACCACACATTGAAAATCAATTTTTATAACTAATCCTGTTGCTATTGTTCCGCCATCACTTGTAACAGCATTTGAGTAGATTAAATTTGATGAAGTGTTCTGTTAAAATAAATCCAAATTTGACATAATATATGAATATAAACCATTATCGGGGTAATTCATCCGGTTGTAAAATAGCTTAGCTTACGAATCGTATATAAAATATATATGAAATCAGCCTCTTGGATTCGAAGTAATGACGCCGGTGAAAATAATAATGATTTTTCTAATTGATAAATTAAAAGTGAGATTGGTGATAAAAAATCCGAGTTAACATTTTTTAGGGACAATTTGAGAAAAATGGAATTCCAGAAAGACGAGATTCACCCAAAAGTTTAAACATTCCGTTGGCAAAAGTGAACAGAAGATCTGTGATCTGTAGAGAAGTGGTCCACAACCTAGTTTCACCACGGATTGTAACATTGTTTAAAATATATTCAGAAATGTATTGTAGTGATGGATGCATTATGGAAAGATCCGCCATTGTGATTATCTTATAATGAATCCTAATTCTATATTTTGCCCAATCAGCGCGTGCAAATAAAATATATTCGTCAAAAATGTAATTCAGTTTTTTTTACTCTGAAGTCAAGTGAAGACTGATGTTTTTTGTTTTGTCACTCACCAATCCTAATTTAGAAGTTGCTGTTAAAAAAATTTATCGAATTTTTTCTCTTTCCCGATCCATAATCGGGGCCAACCGGACAACTTGAGAATAATCCAATAAACGTTGCTAATTTTTGCACATTTACCCGAAATTAGACAACATCTCAAGTTCTTATGATAATAAATATAGTCAATTATTGTAAAAATATGTTTAGATAAAAAGAAAATATTTCCCGTTACTTACTGTTCTTATGCTTCCGCAATCGTCGTACGCAGGTGACCACAGCACGTAATAACCCGCATCCAGCGTGACGTTGTTACATGAAGCATTCATTAGTCGAAGACTACTTGTTGATATGTTATTATAGTCTATATATGACTGATTCAAAAACACACGGAAAGCGTATCCATCGTTAAGAGATGCCATGCTACAATCAAGTTTTGTAGCCAGTTCTAAAACCAAATTTATAACAGTTTAACTTTTTTAGGGAAGTAGGACAATAATTTTATGCATGATAAAACAAAGATTTTCCAAATGTTATGGATTAGTAGTAGTTTGAGCATCGTGATTCTGTTTCTTTGCTTAGAGCATTGTTTGGAGTGATGAAGTGAGAAAACCTAGGAACTAAAATGTTGAAAGACATAAAAAAGAAAACGATAAAAACTATATAAAAAGATAATATAAAAGACGACTCCATGCACAAATCGGTTGGCAAAAGCAGCGACGTTCAAAAAATCGTAAATAAACCGAGTGAAATATATGAATTTTTATTGTAGCACCATTACTTCGCCTAACTCAGTGGACCCGAAAATTAACAGAAGTGTATCAAACATAAATAAAATATGATTGGATGTTTTACGTATTGTGTTTTTTATGAATGTTTTATTGTTTTTTTATTCTAAATGCTGTGTATATGAATCAATGAATTCATTTTACTTTTCTGTTACTTAGTTTCTGCCTCCATTGTTGCGTAACAATAGAGATAGACACTACTCGTGCTTGCTGCAATTTGTGACCTGCAGATTATTATTCTGCTCGACCGAGTTTAGCCACCATGAGTGATATTTTTAGACTTTTCAAAGGAAAATCAGGTAGAGATGAGAAAGAAGAGTTGACATTCGCCTTTTTTTTTCTTAGGGCTACATGTTTACAAACTTTAGAAGGCGCAAAGACATAACGTTAACGATCACCAAATTGAGTTTTATTCAAAAGCAGCAATATTTTTTGAGTACGTGTGCCTTGGGATTGTTTTCCTTAATAATTTGACGACGCACGAACAATTTTCAGTATACAGAATATTCCATCAAGTGGATTAAATTTGGAGAGAGATAAACCCGGATGCAAACAAGGAAAATCCGATGTCGGAGGTGGGCTTCCTGAAATCATTGTTAGAGCATTCCACTCAATTATGTTTGCATTACTGGTTATTCGATTTCAGTCTTTTCAAAATATAGGAGTTCTTCACCTAGAAATGGCTTCTTAAAATGAAGCTTTTTTTGGTGTAAAAGGCTTATAAAAACGTTGCATAAACAAGTTGGAGCCGCCAGTCATGTACAAAACGAAATCTCGGTACGTGGGCTATAAGATGATTATCTAATAAAGCTAAACTTTATTTTAAAATGTGTTTGGACATTCGGAAATATTGACGGAAACAGTTTTTTTTAAATAACGGCATAATATTTTTTAGTTCACGAAAAATGTAAATTTTTTCATCAGATAACGGTACGTTGTTAAGCCTTGGTTCTCTTATTTCTCGTAGCATCACTTGTATATGATAAGTTACAACAGTATCACATTGAAATCGAAACGTAAAAATAACTTACGACAACTGATTCCATCTCCAGTAAAGTCAGCTTCGCATTCACAACATTCATGAGTAGAATTCAAATAGGTACGAGTCGCAAAATGATCACATGCAGTTGTATTGTCCACAGCTGTACCGTTGTCACAGGTTGGTATGATAAACACAGCAATTGCTTGAGACGATATAATTGGTACAAATGCGATTAACAACGATATCACAAGTAGAAATTTTGACTTTGTTGCAACCATCTTGAATTTTGCACAAATTCGTTTAGCTACTCAGAATCTGCTGTTTTTGTATGGCCGACAAGCGCAAAGTCAGGTTCGAATGTAACTGTTAATTTCCTGTCCAAATCGAGTTTTCTTCGCATTTTCCGCCGAATATCAAAATAGAGGGCGTTCGTTGTTTCGCTTGAAATATTTTCTAAACCATAACCGCTCTTTACGATTTTGATTTTTGCCCCAAAGAACCTTGTCTGGAATAGTCAAGCATAAATGATACATATATCGATTATAATTTGAAGGGTTATTCGAACATTCAATTGGACGCAAATAATACCTTTATGAATGAAGAACAAATCCACAAGCAATCAAAATCATGGCATAAAATTGCGTTCGACGTGGATCATTGTGTTTGTGTTCCGAAACACACCTTGGTAGGAAGTTAATGAACTTCATATTCAAATGAAGAACAAAGTATGCTTAAAAATATTTATATATTTCAACACCTATTCAATTCATTCATTGGAAGTGTTTAAAATGAGAACGACTAGGCATCCATATATGTCTCGTAGACAATGTAAAAATAAAATGTCTGAGAAATGAACTCTAATCTTTAGAATACAATAATTAACGCGATTAAATAGGTGTTTCGAGATAATTTGTTTGTATAGACATTAATCAAGACATTTTCTATATCAAGTCGTTTGCATCATATATATTTGATTATTTTTTCGATTGATATTATGCTATTTTGATAGGTCGTACAAACATAATTTTCCAATAAAAATTTAAATAAAAACTACGATTATAATGTAGCATGTTGTGAAAATATAATTGTGCAAGTGAACTACAAAAAATTAGAATGTAAATGTAGAATTACTTTTACTTTTTATTAAATTCAAATTTCGTTGGTATTTTTTTATTATGCAATATTCTACATTTTACATATCGTCACGCTAATAACCGAATTGCGTAAGTCATTTTTAGCAGTTTTGAGAAAAACGTAAAAAACTTCCTAATGATATTATTATGCCATTGAGAGTCAATGATTTGCCGTGGTTCAATTTTTTTAACGTAGCCGGATTTAAGTTAATTTGTATGTGCAGTTAAGTGACGTCATAATGGCGCACTGTGACTTAGGCAGAATGTGTCTATGACTTGTGGACATACGCAATTTTGCAACTTTCTTATATGCACCAGTTCTGAAAACTAAACATTCCAAAAAGAATGTAATTCTCAGTATCTACAATGTCTAATCCCCAAAATAGCTAATCAGTTTCAATTACATTATTTTTTATGTTTAAAAATATACATTTCACCAATATAACACTGCACACCCACCGGAAAAAGACTAAGATTAAATATAAGAATAAAACAGCAATGCACCCAATATAAAAACCAACCAAGATAAATTTACTCGGACAGTGAATATCATAAGTGCACGTCTTCCCATACTGTAGTATAAATTCAAATTAATACGCGATAAGCTACGAGATTAATACGAGATGCAAAAACTCGAAAACACTTCGCCGAGGTTATTTTGCCTTTGGGACGTCACAATAGTCCTGCGGTAACAATGATAATTCATTATGACGAAACAATTGCACAAATGTGCATGTCATACTAAATCTTTGTTTTTATGGGTTTCGGAATTCTTAAAATAAAATCTGAATTAACAGACAGGTTACATTACATAAATACCTATTTTATAAAAAAAATTAAATCGCCAATAATGACTTACGCACTTCGGTTATTAGCGTGACGATATATAAATAAGATATGTACGTTTACCTCGAGTTTAAAGTGTTAAAATGCACCCACAATAAACCAGTGATAGCCTCAGAGGCAAGGCTAATCAATTTCGTGCATATACTTTTATGCTATTTTCTATTTATTATTGTTATGATTACACTTGTTTATATTTGGCGTGGCCAATCACTATGGTAACCGACATGGCGTTCAAAAACATATTAAGATAATTAAATCAACGGGATACAATAGTGAAATGCTTGGTCACAATTCTAACCGTACCCGAGTCAAAATCCAACGTGTTCAAAAATGGACAAATTACAGTCTAAATAAACACGAATACCCAAAGGAGTGATAACTACAAACTTTATTATCTTATGCATTGTATGTATATATTGATTTATTATATTCTGTACTGTGTAAACGCAAAACATTTTTTGTAATATTCACTTAATTTTATTTATCTTGCTAAGCTAACTTCCAGTTCATAGATATATAAGGAATTTCGTTTGATTCCTTTACCGGTAAATTGCAGAATGATAATAAAATGTCATGCAACCTTCGGCCCAAATTTCCAGTCTCTAAATCTAGTTTTTTATTGTTCTATTGCCCATTGAAATTTACTCAATTTTGGCTACCTTTAATTTAAAAATAAATACTTTATGTATTGCGCCGAAGTGCTGCCTGAGCTTTTCTAAGATACCATGATCTATTTAAGTTAAGTTATCCATGACAGCGCTTTTCTTCAACCGAATTTTATAAACTATGAATAACTTGATCAAAATTAATTAACCTTTAAACTTGGATCCTATAAAATTGCCCAGAAGAATTGAAATATTAAATCAACTGAGAACATGTATCACATCGGTGTTTATTTTGCCATCCTATATACATAGTATAACATAACCTTTTTATTGAAAAGTAGAAGTTGAAAGGGTAACGAAATAACGAAGAAATCGCAATACGTAACAAGGTCGAAGACCACATATTGAAATTACAGGCAGTATCAAATGTGCTCTTGGTGCAATTACGAAACAAAATTTAAAAAAAATGGGGAATTGGATAATTTTGTATGTAGGTTACGCACAACCAAAACATTTTCACGTTTAATAGATATTGTTCATTGTTTTCTTCCGCTCAAAGCTTTTATTTTTTCCAAAATGCATTTCATACATGGTTCGATTATTTCTGCAACCGGTTTTTGACAAGAATTCCACAGGTTTTCGCTTGACCACGCACTTTTTTCTGTAATTGCAAACATGATTTTTTAGTTAGTGACACAAATGAATAATCTACATAAATGTAAGACACTAAAACATAGCTCTTCCCTCGTATTTGAAATATATGTGTGTTTGTGCATTTGCGATTTACAAACCAATAGCAGCTAATCGTCGTTCCAGCCTTGTGCTTTTCACGTAATTTCATATAAATCTTAGATGTGATTTTTAAGTCTGCTACACAAAATCAGTACTAACAATGACGTGCAAATTTAATTATCATTTTCATTGTACAAAAACGACTATCGATTGTTGAAATGATAAAAATCGAACTTTATTTTGACATACTTTCTTTGCACTCATTGATATAATCCATACAACGTTTGTCTGCTAAATTTTCTATTTTTTCTCTCATTTCATCATCTGGCAGACATTGCTTTTCCTCAAGGCATATTTTCCTAATACCTGTTAGTATTAAAAATTTCTTTAATTCAGTAGAAAAGCACAGATTTTCGGTATTATGGCAATTTGATGTTAAAAGAGAAAAAATGACAAAGATTAGGTTTGGTATTTTTTATCATAGAAATGTGCAATCTTAGAATTCAATTTTATATACAAAAAGATTAGAATACAATATCTTTCGCAAACAAGCGTCAATTAAGGAAAATCACCATAAGATAATATTTGGATGCGATATTTCGTTTTGCAATTCGAAATGGCGAAAAATCACGAGGGAAATAAAGCGCAAATTGCGCAAAAAACAAAGTCAGTGATGCCAATAATGGTTTTTTAGTTATGCTTGAATTGTAAAATTTTAATATATATTCAATCACTCATAATTTTGCAGATGGTAGTTATAAACTTCCAAGATAAATTATATAAAGTATTCGCGTATGATAAAAAATGTACTTACGGCCATATTGTCTCATTTCAGTTGGCGAGGCGCGGCAATATGAAAAGATAAGCGCAATGAAAAGTGCTGCAACAAATAATGTTTGTGCCATCTCAAATCGAGATCAAGTATCTGTATTTCTATTAAAAATTTTATATCGAACTGGTAGATCTAAGATTTAGAGTAAATATTAAAGGTAAAAATATGGGCATTGCCAACCTCAAGTATTGTAGAAAACACACACGGTATCAATAGATTAAAATACTCAACGAAGTTGGAAATCAATAAAGGGGTAACTATTTAAGTGTTGTATGAAAACCAAATCAAAATTTTGCCGGCATGAAATAAACTAAGTAGACTATTCAGAATCGAATGAATTCCAACGCAACAAAAATTGATGCAGTTACTTATCTAAAGTTTATCAACATTAATGCATTATACATAAAAAATCTTTAAAATGGTTTCTAAAGTGATTAAAATTTATCACGCTCTTTTTTAAATATGTGCAGATAGAATATGCTTGTACATTTACTGCTAGTTTAAAATTAACTCAGAGTATTTGTAGAAAACATTGAAACGTTGATATTGAGAAGTTAACTTAAGTATACCAATATATTCTGTTGGATATGTCAACCTCCTTCTTTGAGATTACATTTTCTAATTCTTTCTTTCTATCCTCCCGAATAAGATGAATGTTATTCACACGGCTTCATCAATTTATAGCTAAACTTGCCCCGAAAAAACGAATTAAGAGAAACCTGCAGTAATATAAATTAGGTCATTAGTAATTTGAATTTCAAAAGTATATAATACATTCAATCCAACGTAGTCCTCACAATCGTATCAATATGTAGAATTAAGTTCCCATTAATCGGATTCGACTTTCACAATCTGGGTCAAGAACCAGTACAGATGTTGTATTTTAATTCCGTGATTGTCTGCCGTTCGTAATCGCGTAAGTAATTACTTGGTATAATTGTGTCAGTCAACAAAAGTCATTCGTATTATTTTGTCACAAAGTACGTCATTAGCTTGTGAACGTGCTAGACATTCTAGGAAATTTTATATGGCTCATATCATATACTATAAAAATTGCATTAGGAGTTGATCGGTTCACTAAATTCTCTGACCACAAGGTCGCGCTGCGGAGAAAATTATATTCAATTTTTGCTGCGATTTCCTGTCAAATATTTTTGGTTTCACTTATTGAAAGCGATAGTAATGTCACCTGTGTATATCTTCTATATTAAAACCTTTGGAAAATTATTTTTCAATGCAAAGGAGATACAATGGATGACCAGCACACAACAATTTCTTGTACGTGACAAACCTCGAATGTAGCTGAGTACTTCATTCTCCCAATCACAGAATCATCTATTAGGACCTAATAGGAAAACCAAGTCAAATACAAATACCCGTGGCGCACGTAAAAGGTCCTACCTCAATATCGAAATCAGTTATTACGTTCAATTGCGCGACGCGAAAATTTTACTCGCCTGTGTAGTCAGCATATGGGCCATGCCAAACAGATTCAGTTTTCTAGCGCATAAGATCCATATTAGTAAGTTTATTTGGCTTGTTGAACTCGCTTATGTGCACGACAAGCACGCATCCTCAATTCAATAATATCAAGCAATGGTACAATTCAACGCGACGGATAAAAGAATTTCCGAAGATTGAAGTTGAATACAAAACTTGAATCATCAAGCGACTTTGATTAAAAATTAGTTATATATTTAGATGGCAAAATTTGCTAATTATAATGCAAGATGAATATTTAGGTTTGCTCATATCGAATGCTCTTGCTCAATATATATATTTATCAAAAGTTTTGTATGCCATATTGCGACATGAGACCTCGCCTATTTTCGTGGTTGAGGGTGAGCCTGTGGTAAGGAAAGTTTTCTGCCGCTGCGATCCGTTCGCAGACGGTTTACGCCTTGCGGCATATGCGGAACTACGGGTGACTTGTAGTGAGCCCGGTTACGCAAACGAGACCATTCCTGGTGTCATCACGGAGCAACACGATTCGGTGCAGGAAGCGATCTTGGATCACATATTTTTCAGCCGAGTTTTTCTAGGCGCGATGTCGACGTATAGTTGGTCGATAGCACACCACCAGAACAGCTGAGATGCTGCAGCTCGATTTATTTCTCGAAGAAATTGCGGCGAATTGGGTCGTAGTACTTCATGGGGTGTGTCTATTCGGCAACGGTGAGGCTGCCATAGATGAAGCGGTCCGTCGGAAGCACTCAAAGAATGAAGAGTTATGTCGCTTCATTGCTCATGCCTCTGGTGGCGGCGTTCCACGTATTTAGGCCAGAGTTTCCCAAACTTTTTGGGCCGCGTGGGCCCCTGTTTGTGAATCTTATTTTTGACGGACGCCGTTCCTATGAACCTCTTCCTGACCTTTGACCCCGAATTTTTTTTTCTATAATTTACCATTGCAGAACGTTCGGGGACTATTTTACGAGTGCTTTTGCGAGTTGGCGCCTGTAAAATGAAATATTTGTTTCAAACCACCACTATGATTCATCGCATACAACAATCTGTTTTTTAAAAGTATCGGTAAAGAATTTTAGCCTAGTCTATCACAGCTATTTCTACACTAATTTTTTATTACTGCAATTAAATTAAAACTCCTAGGAATACAGAGTGATAATTGAATTATCTGATTTATATTTTAAGTTTCCAAAACACATGGACATGGACCTAATTTAAATGTGTATATTACTACAGCCTCACACAATTAACTAAATTTCGATTCAGCAATGGTAACAGGCTCAAATGACCTTAGCAAAGTCGTACAAGTTATCGACTGGTGATAACTCAGTAACCCATACGATCAATTGCTACCGACGATGTAGCCCTGTGGCGGCGGTCTAACTCACAGACACTAAAAGCAAGAATCGTTCTACAACGTCTTTTTCACTCACATTGTTAAGGTTTCGTAACAATAACGATTTGCGATTGCGTGAATGACTTTACCTCGTTTACGAATGTCTATGTGACAGTGTATATACGGTAAAATGTATATGTTTCAGACTCTTCTCATATCGATGCGGACCCCCTGTGCAGTCATCACGGACCCCAGTTTGGGAAACCCTGCTCTAGGCAGTTGGGGACCAGACTGCCCTTCGTGCTTTGGGTGCGACCGGAGAGATTGCTACGGCGGTCTCCTGTAACAGCGACAAGAACTCCATCCGGGGTTCCCATCGCGTCTGGAGGGCCTGGTGCGCACTTCTCGACGATGTCGCTAATTTGAATTCACCCTCTTTCCCGACATTGCATTCTATATTTCTTTAATTTTTTTCTCCTTCCTTAGTGGGTGTTTGTGGTGTGTTCGTGAAATTGAGTGAATGTTTCATATTTAACCTGGTCTTCTGGTTGATTCCCACTAGTGGTTTCCTGAGGTCGTTGGAGCCATTTGCTCACTAAATAAGTCCACTGATCCTGTGGATCTAAATTTGTTTGTTGTATTTTATTCCCCTTCCCACTTCATTATCCCAAGCATACCGCTTGCTTCCATTATCCTAGTTTTTATATGCAGTTTTGGTCGTATGTCACCAAATAATAATTTTGACAAATTATTTTTCATTATTTTTTTGCGAATATTTCACACTATTTAACGCACTCCGGTCGATAGTAAAGGGCGAGCGGTACCTATTATTCGGTCATTTATATTTTCATCTTTAGAACTCATTGCCGAGTTGACCAGCTCTTCGCAGCAATTTGGGTGAAGTGGGTGAGGGGACTAGTTAGATGAGCCGCATTTTTTTAATATTGGCGTGTGTTACTTTTACTACATGCTCAATTCATTTCTTATTTAGGTTAACCTAATGACCCCTGGTGTTCCTGGGTCATTTTGACACCCCTCTATAATTTTTTTAATGTTTCACCAACCAAAAATGCCAAAGACATCATTAATGTGTCCCTAAAAAGCTTATTTTCGTTGCTTTCCACTAAAACGCGCCCACATTACGTAGCGTAAATGCGTCCGACCATATGCCAGTAAGAAGAAAGAAATTTCAAAAAATTTCGAGAAAAAGTTTCTCACTTTTAACGCTGTGGTCAACACGTGATTGATATGCGAGAGAAAGAGTTTTCCTTTGGACGAGTTTTACGTCAACTTCAAAATAAAACAAAAGTGGGATTTGTAAGTGAAGTGATATTCGTTTTATCGAAGAGCATTTGATCGCGTGCTGTCTGGTATCTTTGTTTGTTTATTATGAGCCGGAGAACGTTGCTCGCGCGTTCAAAATACTTCGTTTTCAACTAACAACAAATATTTGTTTATTTTTAAGCTTTGAAATACTCATACAAATAAATTTGACCTTGTTGCAAAATAAAAATTATACATAGAAAAAATATGATGACGTCACCGTAATTGAGAACACTCGGATCAAGCATGGATAATTTAAACTCAAACATTTTGAGTTTTGAAATTGGTTTAGTTCACATGCAGTCCACTATGAAATACTATTGACCCCCCAAAATAGATTTAATTTAGCCATAATCCCAAGTTATGACACAGATCTGCCATTTATGACCGGGCCGATCCTAGAGATTATCATTTGTTTGTATTTTCATGAATACTGCTTTAGCCCTTCTGCGTGGAAGAGGCCAGGGTTACTGGCGATGCACTGGAATAAAAGTATTTGAAGTCGAACATTTACCAATTTTACCGTTTTGCCTACACTATTTTTCAACTGCGCTAGTTGCATATAAATTGCCAAGCCGTACAAAACTTTCATATGAAAATTATTTCATAGTTTTTTTTTCTTCTCATTATTATCTCTTGGGCTTATATTTCCAAATATCATTCTGTCGGGGGGAGAGGGTTGTTGTAGCGAGTACAGAAGAATAGTTGCTTTGTATTTTAATGCTTTTCACCACTTATTTTTAATAGTGCTCTTTCCAGCGAAAGTGTTGTCCGTCTTTGTTTCATCGTTTTTTGTTGTTAGAAATATGATTTCATCACATATACTTCCATGGCGCTCTTATTTTTATTACGTTATCTGTTGTTTGGATTAATTCGATTGTGCAACTTTTATCACGATTTATTGTGTGTTTATTGACCTCTAATGAAGTCAGTTGGAACATACTCCGCTGAAATACGTTGAATAGTACTGGGTAAGAACGCGCAGATAGGGTCATCCATCCCTAAGCGCCTTCCTAAGTACCTACATATTCATATTTTTGAGATCGTTGAAGCATATTACTAGATGTAATGTGAATAATATAATAAAATTAAAAGTATACAACTTTAGTTAAACTGACTAAACTCCTTTGTTCATATTATTATTCAGATTTGCAGATTGCAGATCTAAATGTATTCAAGGTGAGTGGTGTCATTTAGTACAGTTAGTCATTTTAGTTAATTTACAAATATAAAAAATTAGATTGTTACCTAACATCACATCGGATTCCGCGATAAAGAATTGGCACCATATTTAATCGTGTTATGTGAAATTATAGTTTTTCAATGCAAATAATGTAATTATATCTTGTTTTTGTTGTTTACAGAAAAGCCTTTGAATTAACTGTTCGCGTGACCTTTTTTCAAAACTGGTGCACGAGGTGGAATTTTTAAACCCACTGGACTTTTCTCTTTTCTAATTTGAAGTGCGTACTTCCGTTTGTTTTGTTTTTTCTTTGGGGCTCCAGGGATTAGATTTTATCGCGTGCATTCATGTGTGCAATGTAACTTGATACTTTGTACCAGCAGCGGTTCTTGTCTGACCAGACATAAACCTAAATGCATTTTAAGCTATGGAATGATGAATAAATGATTTTCCGCGTGACATACAATGACCTTAAAACCTGTGGTCCAATTATCTATCACCATAGAAACGAAACAAATCAGGTGTGTAGAACAACAGCTCTCCCAGTAACACGGTATATTTAAGTATCTCCGGACATCCGTGATAAATATAACTAACTTTGACGCTGCATTTACTGTTTTATATCATAGAAGATATGCAATCATTCACGTCCAAGTATTTCATTAAATACAGAAACGACAATTTAAATAAAAATGATTTGTAAATATCTATGTTATTAGGGATAAAATATTGGCGTTCATTATACTGGGTGAAATTATAAATACCGGAAAATATAGTTTTGGTGACTACCCATTAAAACTGTTTGTAATATAATGAGTGTACTTAACTCATTCTAAGCATTGGTGAGGGTAAAAGTTGAATTATCAAAAATAGGAAAAAGCAAATGTTCAGACATGCTGTTGTATCCAGACGCATGTTTCAAATTCATTAATGTTTTGGAGTTTAAATGCTTTAAAATCTTATTTTCAATATGGTTTTGTATCATACCTGGACAAAAAATCATAAAAACACCATTTTTAGAAAGCAACAAAGCAATATAGCCTACCGATGCTCAACAATAGGTAATTTATGATAATTGGGTATTACTTTCATTTGCAGCAATTATAAAACACCCGGTTCCAGCTCGGGAATAAGATTTTAGTGCGTTCAGCCATGCCTGCAATATAACTTTACGGCATCGGTACTAGTTCACCAAGAAATTGTTTAAAAGAACAGAACTGAAAAATAACTTTCCGCGTGACATACACTGACCCCGAACTGTAAGCCAATTATTACCCAGTGTCATGGTAACGAAAAAAACAGGAGTAAACAAAAACAGCTCACTCGGTAATACGATGTTCTAAGTTTTTTATGGATACCTCCAAAATCACGAAAACAGCATCGATACGTGGCAGTTCATGAAGTCGTAAGAATTAGGTAAAATATAATGACATGTTATCGTACTTTTTTCGATGAGTAAGCAAAACTCTCATAATTTTCTGATGTACATGTTTAAAACAAATTGCTTATTTGAAAAGAAAAGGCTTGTAAAAAAAACTCATGTTCCAAACAAATGTATCACACCAATATTGATCGCAGTTTTTGAGCCTATATCCAATTTTGCATACTACTCTAAGCAGATTATTCATCAGCATATCGCCACTTTCTCTTTTAAATTATTCAAATTTTATTAAATAATTAGAAAATGGAAATAGGTTGTCAAACCATAAATAAACGTATATCATCAAAAATGTCCCATTTGAATCATAACTGAATTTTTTAAGAAAATAAATATATTATGAGCGTTAGGGCGACTTCAAATATTGTATTATTTCTATTTGGATTTTGCTCCAAGGAAGAGTAACACTTAATTTACTTTGATAAATTCTGCTATTAGGAAATCAGCAATAAAATTAAAATAACATTGGAGGAATGACACCGAAACTAGTTTTGAGTTGGTTGGCTTAAATTGGCCGAATCTAAGTACCCGTATCAAGTTAATGGTACCTTTCGTTTCGAGTTCGCAAATCTTCAGACACAACTTGTCACGAAAGTTATTTGTTGCACTGAACGTAATCTACCCAAAATATTTACACCCTTCGTTGTTTTGTGAAATTATGAACTGAGACCCCTGGACATTCGGATCAATATTCTTTAAATCCAGATGGTTTAAAAAAATTATATTATTTTCAAATTCGTGTCACGGTTTAATCATTCAAAATAATAAATATGCAAATAGAGTGGAATTGATCAACAGATCTTCTTTTATATATTCGTTTAAAGAAAAACTGTTAGTGGTCAAAATTATGGATTCGTTTATATACTCATTTTTAAAATGAAAAACTTTTTTTCTGAATTTTACCTAATTATCAAAACAAAACTTCCAATAAGAAACAAATTTGAATTTTCGATTTCAACTCATTATTATAATGAAGAGTAATCTTGTTAGAATGACGTATTCATTTTTTTTATTCCATGAGCACAATATACTCTCTGAGTTAGCTTTTGAATGACGAAATGAATGCATATAGTAGTTTCGTTGGAAAACGTTTTGCTACGTATTCTATCTTTCTCTGTGCTTCTCACAAATTCAACATTTCTTTATTTTTACCTAATAAAGATTTTTTTCAACAATCTAGGTTTTATATAACGTTGCAAGCTCGAAGTTTGTCTCAATGACAAAATGAATTTTTGTCATAAGATTTTCTATAGACTGCCTTTAAAATGGACACACGTAATTGTATTTCGTTTGTTATTTTTTATTCGTTGAAACTGACAAAAAACAGAGCAGCACTCAAACTTCACAAAATAGGCTACATATATGCTTTAAGATGCAAATTGTGAATGTTACATTACGGAAGATATTTTGATGAAATTACTCTAAAAACGGTCTAAAATACTGAAGAATGAATTGCTAGATTTCAATACTGGTGAATTTGAAGTTTATTAATCTTCTTAAATGAATATTTAATTACTTTAACAGGTGTTTATAGGAAATTAGTAGAACAAAAATAGAAAACTTCAAACATATTAACAAATTCATCATTTATTCGTAATTTTTTTAGTAAGCTTGCAAATACTGATAATATGGCATGTAGTGGATGTAGAAATGGCACTGCAAGGTCGGTAAATTTTCTCTCAAATCAAGAAAAGGGAATTGAAACTGCCGGTGAATTCAATTCATTCTTCACTTGCTGCCCCGCCAATGCAAGTTTTGCAAGTTGTGAAAGTGGAAATCAAATCTGGAGTGCATCCACTTGTTTCAAGATCGCAAGACGCCATTCCACCTGAATAAATACTTATGTTAAATTGAGCAATGTTTGTCTACACGCATTCAAAACATCAATCGCACTAGGATGAATATTTGCGACTGAGTTACTGGTTATTTTGCGTCCATGTATAGTTTCGTCGTCTACATTTATCAAAAAGTATCTGATTGGCTTAAAATGTTAACTTTCTTTATTTTCCTTTCAATAATTTTCCATTGAATAAGCAAAAAATTATTTATTGGATATTGTATGTGGAATTATAGTAATAGCCAAAATGGAAAAGCAATTTTACAATTAGGAAACCTACTTAATCAATTTACAAAATTCAGCTTTGGAGTCGAGTATAAATAATACATATAGGCTATGAATATCACAAAGTATACCAGAATTATACATACCTCGTTTGCATGATCTGATCGCATTTTTACAATCTCGTGACTGGCTTCGGAATAATGCTTTCTTGGCTTCTCGATCTGGGCACAGTCCCTTGCTGACGCATCCAGCCTTAGCTGCTTCTAAATAAATAAAGTAATTGCTTCGTCATTGTTCTAACAAATATTTGTAGGTTTCGGTCATTGAAAAAAACAGTAGAAATTATACACAATTAGTTGAAACAATTGATTAACTTAATATCACACCCAAACTCTGACTTAATTCATAAAGTTTTTAGGTGGTTTAGTTAGCAAATGATTGATGAGTTTAGTTGTTGAGGTGGTTAACTATATCCTAATCGGGTACTACAGTTTTGAGTCAAAGGATTACGCTTTAATATTTTTTTTTAATAAATTTTATTACTAAAAATTTTACCACAATCTTGGAACGAATCGTTTGCTTTAGTAACCACAAGCATAACCATAAAATAAATATTTAAATAAATTTGATTGCGGGATTTAAATCAGCATTTCTTTTAGATTCAAAATGAAAAAACGAAATTCACTCGATTGTAATTCGATCATTTTAGCCTTCTATAAATGAAATATTAACTTACGTCTTTCGGGATCTTTAGAACCAGATTTTTCCCGTTTTTTTCCTCTGTGGCCCAATCCCAGTCCTACCAACACCAATACTAACACGAGAACAGTTAAAGTGCGCATGATGGTTTTTCTGTCGCTGCAGTTTTTATTCCACAATATTGTATCTTTTAAAGTTGGGATCTAGTAAAACACTGAAAACACATAAATAACTACAAGATAAGTAATATTTTTATTGTTTAAATAAAATTCTTAGGTAAAACCTTGTCACAAATAGATTCCTCTTCCAGTAGAAATATTGTATAACGTTTTGCTTGCAGTCAATTCTAATCTGCTAGGATCGCGTGCGAGATAACGTTTATATAGCATGTACATCGAGTTTGGGCTTGTTTGTCGCTGCTGCAAAAAATGCAGAAAAAAGAATGTACGCAGCTTAGGCAAATCGTTAAAAACAATGATTTTCCAAAAAGGAAATTTTTTTAGAAGAATCAAAACAATTCTATCAGTGGTAAAAATTACTAAATACCTTGTTTTGAAAACGCGTTCTGTATCTGTTTAATCTACAGTATTATTACATTGAATATGGCGTGATCTTAGGCTGGTTCATACCTGAGTGAACCCGTTCCGTTTCATCAGCGGATCAAAAGGTTATTCCTCGACATATCCAAGTAAATTTATACACCTGTAACAGCGATTACCTTCATATATATTTGATTTATTACTTTTATTATTTCCTTATATTAATATTTGTTGATATTTCAACGCTTTTGAGGACAGAACACCAACACCTGAGGTTACTGATTTATCCATACGGCTGAATTTTGATATCATCAAATCAGCTATGTATACAAAATAAAATCGCTTCCATATGCACCTGCAAAAAATGAGAGTATCGTGACGAGTTAAACTACAATAAATTTAAAATATACAAGTGGTACAGTCCTAATATTCATCGAACTTCAAACTTATTTTCACTGTACACCATTGAAAGGTTAAACCTCCGTGCTTGCGTAGTTGAAACGGCTCATTATGTCAAACAGCCGAACTGTAAATGAGTTTATTTGACACTGTGCTTCGACTAAGCTATAAAAATAAAAGCATGTTATAAAATTGAATTTTACATTATAATTGTTTTTAATATACGTAACTTCGTATTATTAACACTTGAGGTATATGTCTAAATATTCTTAATTAGAGTTCTCTAAATTTGCTATTTCTCACTCTTGGAAAGAAGGCAAAATTAATAAATTTACCTGATCTGATAAAGAAGCAATATTTAAAGATAAAAACAATTAATCCATGCCTGCACAAGCAACCTTTTTTTAATTTGTCGTGGATGTACGTCAAAAGCATACATAAAAATCCGTTCATTCGCGCTTAAAGTACTGAATTGTCAAAAACAAGATGCTATTAGACCAATTCAAGTCTGACCCATTAGTAGACGTAGTATGTAGACGAGGGCTTGCTACCCGACTGATTTCACCTTATTTCGAGACTGTTGTCGAATTTGTTAGGAGTGAATCTCAAATTGCAAGGAAAAAATTACAAAATTCTCATCGAAACAAAAAGTTCCAAGTTGTTCACGACCATTTTATTCCCGTTGCAACAGTGGGGATTTGCGCAATCATTTTTTAGATCCTGAATTTTTTGTTGAATAATGTAAGAGAATTTTGGAGCCTACCGGATGCTCTGCTGAATATTGCAATAATTATGTGGGTGTACAATTGTCAAGTAGCCTACTCAGCTTAATGGTTCTGTAAAAAATATGAAATTATCTTATTTACATCCTCAAATATCTGTACTCTAATCACTCACACACATTTATATGAACAACCAAGCCCGAAATGCAAAACCGTTTTTAAACAGTTTTTCCTACCTGCAAGTTTACTTCTTGATGATTATAGCCTATAGCCCAGATAAAACCAACTTTGTAGTATAAATCGAACTTTTGTTAACATCTTTTATGTTTTCTTCTTGCAATGTCTTATATATTTTTTCATAGAAGTTGATATAGCAAACAATATAAATCAAGAGAAAATGGATATTAAACTACTAGCAAAAGCTAAATAATCCCAAAACATAAAGTAATTCATAATCAACCCACTACAATTAATATGCTATATACATATAGTCTATACCAGGGTCGTCCAACCCGTGTCCCGCGGGCCATGCGGGTATGATCCGGGTGCGGGTATAATCCGTACGGATTGCAATGTATTTTTAACAATCCAAAAACGTTTTTGAAAACCCAAATGACGTTGCGTTCTCATTGCAAACTGTAATTTGACCATCGAATCCGGCTAAAATTCAATCGTAACGGATTGAAAAACGTATTTGAATCTGGTTCTAACCTTTTCTAGTCTGAAGAGAAGGTGCGGGAGTGATGTTCCTTTTTACATAGTTAGCATATCCTTTACATACACAACAAAGCCATATTCATTGTCCTCGGACTACGACACAAACCCAGCCAACCCAGCTAATAGGTTGAATATGAATTCTAATGACCAACTCGTTCTATCCTAAATCAGAAAATCTAATTTGAACCCAATCCACAATCTATAATATATATTATTTTTGCCAGAGTTACCGAAATTTGATCAACTTGATATGGATGTGCCTACACCCCTATTACAGTTACGTCTGTTTAACCTCAGGTTCTGTGTTATGGTCTTTTCAAAAATCAAAAATATCAAATGCAAAAAGTCTCCCGCAGATTGAAGAGAATTGTGCTTAATTCAATTAGTGTTAAGCCGCCGCATGCAAAAGTGCACAGAAAGTCGCTTTCAACTTGTAGTCTGGAGAGTAACATTCACAAATGCGTACCAGATTCAGATAATTTCCTGACAGAATATGTAAAAAATAAAGGTTTCATTCATCGAGGTTACAAAAGAATGTGAGTTGAATGCGACGTGAAGTTCTTCCTGTTGTCAAATATTTTTCACTAATCTTGACTATGATCATCTTAGATAACATTTTGATTTTCTTTCTCTGTGTTAAACAATATCATCATTACACAATACATTCTCGACTAAAGAGGTTGAGATTAGCTCAATGACGTCAAAGTTAGCTGATGAACTCTGTAACCTTCAAAATGGAATTGAAAGTGTGAAACATTATTCGACACTTTCATCTTCATAAGCTAGTTAGACTTCTATTGGCCCAAAGGATTTAGCTCAGCTCCCTCTGCATGGCGAAAACGGGCAGCGTATTAGTATTGTGTATCGGTCGTCGCTACCAATGTACAATCTTATCATTTCTTCTATGGCAATTAGAGAAATCCCCAGTTTAGGCTCAGTGCTTCGAAGTCTTGTTAGTATTACGAGCGGTATGGGAGTCTAGCACGCAACTGCGCCTAGAACTTTACCTTTTCCAAACAGGGTTTATTTTTTCGCATGAGGCGCTGTAAAAGACTTTCACAGTGCGATATAAATTTAATATAAATTCTCAAAATGTAATTCTACGTATGTGATAGAAAAAGTGGCCGAAGACTTGTAGTTGATACAGGTGCGACAGGTTCCTTCCTTGGTTACCTCACATTGAAAACCGGCTTTCCTTCCATTTTGTTCCATTTTCCAAACCCGGCTCCTCTTAGCACAACAGTTGAGTTCTGATAACACACTAATATAACGTAATTCTAAACGCGCCAATTCAAAATTATATCCCTTCATAGACGAATAACATGACGAACATATACACAAACGACATACGAAGTATATCTGTGTGTTACCGCTAGATGGCTCTCTCAATTATTTAAGTATCCACAGACATTTGAGAGAAGAGGAAAAAAATCTGCCAAGACTTCATCACTCGAGTGACGAATTTCACAATATATACTGCAATTGCATTTTACTGTTTTTTCTTTCTCCATAGAAGATACACAATTACTCATGTTCACGTATTTTATCAAGTATACAGAAGAGGCAGTATTCAATTTAAAAAAAAATAATGTTTTAGAAATATCTATGTTATTAGAAAATTGCTGTTCGGTAAAATAAAAATATAAATAACAGAAAATATAGTTTTGGTGACTACGTATTAAAAACTGTTTGTAGTATTGTGCCTGAACCTAACTCATTCCAAGCATTGAGGAGGTTAAAAGTTGGATCGTTGAAAATTGGAAAAAGCAAATGTGCAGACATGCTGAAGTATCCAAATGCATGTTACAAATGCATAAATATTTTCGAGTTTACATGCTTTGAACTTCACTACTCTAATCTTGAATCTTGAAAATATCACGAGAACATCATTTTGAAAAGTAACAAAGCAATAAACCGATGATTAACACCATAGGTCATTTGTGACAATTGGGTATTACCCTGATTTGCCCATCTGAAAGTACAGTCGTACTTCCTATATTTTACAGGCGTCAAAATAGACTTTATCAAGCAGACAGTTCCAACCCGGGAATAAGATTCAATCGAGTGCAGTCATACCTGTAATGTACCATGTCAGAGCCAGTACTAGTTTGTCAGGAAACTATTTAAAAGCAAAGAACTGATTAAATGGGAATTAAAAATATGCCATAGCATAAACGAATATCATCAAAAAAATTCTATAAAAATTATTATTGCATTGTTAGGAATTTTAACTAATATACACCCTAATGAGCATTAGGGCATTTTTGTTCCGAGAAAGACTAAAATTAAAGATTATATCTTTTACTATTAGAAAATCAGGAAATGAAGTTTAAATGACCCAAAATATTGAACCCTCTCTTGTTTTGCAAAATTATGAACTGAGGTGAATTGCAAACGCGTACCGTTTCAAGAAGTTGCGTAGTTCTATTTTGTATCAGAGACACAAACATTTTAGGTGTTGATCAATTGCGCAAAGTAAGCGCTGTCAGAAAAATCATGATAATATTTAAAAAAACATCTCTTTTGCAATGCCCGAAACCATTTTTTAGTATGTGCTAATTAGAATTTTATCTGAATTCGAATAATATTTATTTTGCTAACATTTTATTACTTTCAAGTCTGATGATAGCAAAATATCTTATTTTGAATATAAAAAAGTTGTTTATTATTTATTTTGCAAATAACTTACCTTGTCATGTTTAAGTATCCTCTTCTAAGGATTTTGAAGTGAAAAAAGCATTCTGAGCGCCATACAATAGATAATTAATTTACGGTTGCTGTCTAGTATCTTGAAAAATGAACTTTCATTGAAGCTTGTTACAAAAACAAATTATCCATTTTTGAAATGAAAATTTTCATTTTCTGGATTATACCTAACTATCAAAACAAGCCTTCCAATAAGAAACAAATTTTAATTTGCTATTTCAACTTCTTATTATAATGGAGATGGTTTTGGTTAGAGTGATTTTATCAAAATTGCATATTTGTTTTCTATTTCTTAAGCACATCATATTCTCGGACTTAGCTTTCAAATGACGAAATGAATGCATATAATATTTTTGTAGGAACGTTTTGTGGGAAGTTTTGCTACGTGATCTATCTTTCTTTGTGCTTCTCACAAATTCAGCATTTCTTCATTTTTACCTAATAAAGATTTGTTTTCAACAATATAAGTGTTATAAAACGCCGCATGCTCGCGGTTAGTCTCAATGACAAAATAGACAAAATTAATTTTTGTCATAGGATTTTTTATAGACTGAATTTAAAATGAACACACGTAATTATATTTCCTTTGTTATTTTTATTCGTTGAAACTGAAAAAACAGAGCAGCACTCAAATTTCACAAAATAGGCTACACATAAGGTTTAAGATGCGATACTGTGATTTATGAATGTTACATTTCGAATGCTATTTTGATGAAATTACTTTAAAAAAGGTCAAAAATACTGAAGAATTAATTGCTAGATTTCAATATTGGTGAATTTAAAGTTTATTTAAGACAATCGTGAAACAAAAATGAAAAACTTCGAACATATTTACAAAAACATCGTTTATTTGTGATTTTTTTTATTAATCTTGCAAAAAAAAAAAAAAAACATGACATTTAGTAGATGAAGAAAGTCACTGGACGGTCGGTATATTTTCTCCCAAATCAAGTAAAGGGAACTGAAACTGTCGACAAAGATTCAACTCATTCTTCACTTGCTGGCTTGCTAATGCACTCCTTGCAAGTTTTGAAAGTGGAAATCAACTCTGCAGTGCATCCACTTGTTTGGAGATCGCAAGACGCCATTCCATCTAAATAAAAATACTTATGTTAAATTGAGCAGTGTTTAATTTGTCTACACGCATTCAAAACATCAATCGCACTAGGATAAATATTTGCGACTGAGTTACTGGTAATTTTGCGTCCAATCATAGTTTCGTCGTCTACTTTTATCAGAAAGTATATCTGATTGGCCTAAAATGTCAACTTTCTTTATTTTTCTTCCAATAATTTTCCATTGGAAAAAAAACAAAAATTCATTTATTGGATATACCATGTGGAATTATAGTTATAGCCACAATGGAAAAGCAATATTACAATTGGTAAACCCACTTGATCATTTTACAAAATTTTGAATCGAGTACAATTAATACATATAGGCTATGAATATCACAAAGTATACCAGAATTACACATACCTCGTTTGCATGATCTGATCGCATCTTTACAATCTCTTGTCTGGCTTCTGACTAATGCTTTCTTGGCGTCTCGGTCTGGGCACAGTCCTTTGGCGATGCATCCAGCTCTAGATGCTCCTAAATATATGAAGTAATTGCCTCATCATTGTTGTAACAAATATTTGTGGTTTTCGAAGATTATTCATTGATTAAAGCAGATTTTTTTCGAAATGTTCAAATTATACCGTCTTTATAGAATAAAACACTTGTTTCAACTAAAATCACACTCAAACTCTGACTTAGTTCATCATTTTTTTAAGGGGTTCAGTTTGAAAATTGTTTGATTAGTGTAATGGAGGTGGTAAATTATATTCTAATCAAATACTACAGTTTTGAGTCAAATGATTATGCACTGATAATTTTTTTAATAAATTTTATTACTAAAAATTTTACCCCAATCTTGGAACGACTGATTTGCTGTAGTAACCAAAAGCATAAGCAGAAAATAAATATTACAATAAATTTGATTGCGTACTTTCAATTTACATTAGTATTTCTTTCAGATTCGAAATGGAAAAAATTCACTCGAATGTAATTTCTTCATTTTAGTTTTTCTATAAACGAAATATTAACTTACGTTTCGCCGCGGGCCTTTTTTTGCTTTTGAGGCCCAATCCCAATACCACCAACACCAATACTAACACGAGAACAGTTAAAGTGCGCATAATGATTTTTGTTGATGCAGTTTTTATTTCACAATATTGTACTATTATAATGTTGGGATCTAGTAAAACGTTAAACAAACATAAATTACTACAAGTTACAAAAATCAGTTATTACGTTTTGGAGGTTTTTAATATTTCAATAAAATTGTTAGGTAAAACCTTGTCACAAATGAATTCCTGTTTAGTAGAAATACAGCATAACGTTTTGCTTGCAGGCAACTCTAATCTGCTAGGATCGCGTGAAAGTCAACGTTTATATAGCATGTACATCGATCGAGTTTGGACTTGTTTGCCGCCGCTGCAAAAAATGTAGAAAAAAGTTTGCACGCAGCTCAGGCAAATCGCTGAAAACAATAATTTTCCAAAAAAGGGCAGTTTTTAAAGCATCGAAACAATTTTATCCGTGTTAAAATTTACTAAAAACTTTGAGACCGCGCTCTCTTTCTGTTTAATCTACAGTGATATTTTGGTGAATATAACGTGATCGTTCACTGGATCATACTTGATTGCTCATCTAGTGCTCATCCAGTGGTGGGAATCCGCCGGTTCGCACCGGTTCTATAGAACCGTCCCACGAAATTTCATGATATCATACTTGATTGCTCATCCAGTGGTGGGATTCCGCCGGTTCGCACCGGTTCTATAGAACCGTCCCACGGAATTTTACGAGGGCAGCGAACCGGTTAGCATTACTGGTTACTGTCAATCAATTTTTGCACCTTATCTGAAACACTTATTTTTGAGATCAAGTAGCTGACGTGTTTCTTTCAAAATGTGAAATGACCAAGTTCGCACGTAACAGTTATACATTGTGTTAATTTTGTCTAGTCCTAGTCTTGAAAAGGTGTTCTGTCTCTGTTCAATCTACAATAATATCATAGTTACTATAGCGTGAGCTTTTACTGGTTCATACTTGAGTGAACCTGTTACGTTTCAACAGTGGATCACAATGTTCTTTCTCGAAATATTCAAACCAACCAAAATAAAGCAACGATATTTTATTCTCAGCACCTAGATACTCCTTTATCGGCATTTACCGTTTATCAGCACTTACCGGTATATTTGATCTATTTCTCAATATTATTGTTTGTTAATATTTCAACGTTTTTGGGGACAGGACACTTCTCAATAACCGAGCTTACTAATTTATCCATACGGCGGATTTTTTGACGAGTTAAACTGCAATAAATTTATAATACAAGTGGTACAGTCTTAATAATCTGTGAACTTCAAACTTATTTTCACTGTACACCTATGAACGGTTAAATTTTCGTGCTTCCGCGGTTGACACGGCTCATTATGTCGAACAGTCGACCTGTATCTTATTATGCGATTGAGTTAATTTGACACTGTGGTTCAACTGATCTTCCAATAAAAGTATGTTATAAAATTATTATTAATTTTATTATACGTAACTTCATATTATTACCACTTGACGTATATGTCTAAATATTCCAGCCATACTTACCCTAAATCTATATGTATGTAAAATTCTCCTTTTTTAATTTTTATTCATTATTTTTCCTAATTTATGTTTCTTTTAAAGCTTCCTAAATTTGCTGTTTCTTACGTCTGGAAAAAGGGCAGAGGTAATCAATTTTTCTGATCTGATAAAAGTGCAATATTGGCAGATAAAAACAATTATTCCATGCCTACACACGCAAACTTTTCCCAATTTGTAATGGATGTACGTCAAACACATACATAAAAGTCCGTATTCGATTTCAACCTTTTGGCGGACAGGACACTTCCCAATACCCGAGCTTACTAATTTATCCATACTGCGGATTTTTTACCTTATTAAATCAACTTTCAACATGGAAAATAAAAACTAATTTCATATTAATCACATAATATTCACATTACATTTAATAACATGCTTCAACTATCTCGAGAAAAATGAAGATATATGCATGTAAGTAGGAGGGCGCTTTGATGGCCCTATCTGCGCGACATTACCTCAGTACTAATTTAACGTACTTTAGCGCAGTATACCCCAACTGACTTCTTCAAAGGTCAATAACCAAATATTCGTATATATATTGTAAAGTTGCACAATCGAATTAATCCAAATAACAGATAACGAAAAAAAAAGCGCAATGAAAATATATGTGATGAAATCAAAATTCTAACTAACAAAGAACGATGAAACAAAGACGATCAGCACTCTCGCTAGACTGATTACGCTATCAACGTTTTCGCATAAAACGTTGTACAAAAAAGTGAAAAATATCATAAAGGAAAGGAATTGGGGCAACGACTCCGTTTCAGACAAATGAAGGTTTTGTACGGCTGGGCAATGTATATATGCAACTGTCGCAGTTGGAAAATAGTGTAAGCAAAACGGTAAAATTGGTAAATGTTTGACTTCAAATAATTTTATTGCAGTACATTGCCAGTAACCCTGGCCTCCCCCACGCAGAAGGGCTAAAGCAGTACTCATGAAAATAAAAACAAATGATAATTAATCTTAAGAAATGAATTGAGCATGTAATAAAAGTAAAACACGTCAATATAAAAAAGCTCATCTAACTAGGCCACTTCGCCTTTTTGAATCAAAGCCAGTCTCGGCCAACTCGCCGAGCAAGAAGCACAGAAAAAAACAGACGAAAATAAACTAAACTAAAATTGCTGAGCTGGTCAACTCGGCAATGGGTTCTAGAGATGAAAATGTAAATGACGGAATAATAGTTACCGCTCGACTTTTACTATCGACGAGAGTGCGTTGAAATGTGTAAAAGATTTGTATGAAACGCAAAGATAATTTATCAAAATTATAATCCGGTGACATTGGCAAAAACTGCAAATTCAAATTGGTATAACGGAGGCGAGCGGTATAAACTAATATATATATATGTCTAAATGGAATATATGGTGGTTGCCGAGCGTGGATTTGTGAGGCAAGTGGTAGGAAGGGGAATAAAATACAACTAAACAAAATTTAGAGCCACGGGATCAGTGGACTTATTTAGTGAGCAAAGGAGTCTAACGACCTCGAAAAACCACTAGTGGGAATCAACCGGGTGGGTGACCAGTTAAGTTATGAAACATTCCCTCAATTGCACAAACACACACTAATCAATCAATCGTTTATTTGTCATCACAAAAACAAGTGCAAATAAAAATCATGCAATGAATAACTAACTATACAGTCCTAATTATGATATTTGTGTGACCGGGGTCGCAAGGCACCTGAGATGGTCTTCAAGCAGAGACACCTACAGCGCTGTTACAGGTTAGCATAAAAAGTAACATAAATGAAAGATAAATTATATAAATCCCATGAATGAGTCAACAACTGATGCAAACACAGTTGCGATATTACAAATATTTGAGATTATGACACAGGGTAAAACTAGGAATATGTAACTATCTCGGAATAAATACTAATAAGAATGTGAAGAAAGCAGAATAAAAATACAAAAAAATTATAGAAAAAGCAAATTTGGCGAAATATACAACCAAAAACCAGGCAATGCAAGCACAAACACAAAAATATTTATAACAGATGCAATTTGGAGACTCATACAACAAATGCAAAAATTGATAGTCTGATGAAGGTTACAAACAAACTAATATATCTATATAATGTCCGCAATAAAGAGATAAGACGGTCAAATCATTTGAAAAATAGCAAACGTAGATTGAGAGCAATAAACTAAGGAAGGAGAAGAAAATTGAAGAAAAAGTAGAATGCAGTGTCGGGAAAGAGTGTGAGTTCAAATTAACGACACTGTCAGGAAGTCCACACCAGGCCCTCCAGACGTGATTGGAACCCCGGATGAAGTTCCTGACTCTGATACAGTAGACCGCCGTAGCGACCTCTCCGGTCACACCCAAAACACGAGGAGAAGTCTGGTTCCCAACTGCCTAACTGCTCAGATAATCAACCAAAAATGCGTGGAACACCACCACCAGAGGCATGAGCAATGGTGCGACATAACTCTCCATTCTTTGAGACCTTCCGACGGGCCGCGTCATCTATGGCAGCCTCGCCGTTGTCGAATAGGCACACCACATGGAGTACTACGACCCAATTCGCCGCGATTTCTCCAAGAACCAGAAGAAGGGCCGTGGTTCGCCAATATGACGGTTTAACAAATTTCTTCTTCTTTTGAATAAATATAACCTATCCCAATTGTGTTGCTATATCGTGAAAAGACATGGATTGATCCAGTAATGACCAACGATGATATGGATTCGAGTTGACATCTGTATGTAATCTCGTGGGATTCTGTGTGTTAAATATCATGAGATCATATTTATCAAATATATTTACAAGGCGGTTACTTAGAGTATTATTGATTCTACTTCCCAGTGAATGGTGGTAGCAATTAAAATCTCCTAATATTAAAAGAAGAATGGAATGATGCACGGAATTTCAGATTGGTGTTCAAAGTTTATTTGCGAGTATGTTTGCTGCTGTATTGCAGGCAATGATTTGCTATATGTGACATACGGTGACAGACCATTCGAACCCACGTACATTTGCACCCATACATTTGCACCCGTAAACTGCACCCAGGACATTTGCATCTCCATACTTTTGCACCCACGGACATTTACAACCATACATTTCCATCCATAGATTTCAGCATCCGCATATAGCCTGAAACCGCGGACATTTGAACCCATTGACGTTTGCACCCATGAACATTTGCACCCACGTACATTTGCATCCATGAACATTTGCACCCACAAACACTCGCACCTTTGACATTTGCACCCGCGGACATTTCCATCCACAGAAATTTGCACCCCCGTACATTTTCATTAATGGACATTTGCAAAGGAGATAAGAGAAAAACATAGAGCGAGCGACTCTGCAAAAGCATGATTTGCAGTGAGTTTGTCTTCATTCCTATTCATAACATTATGATTTTGCTATTTCGACGCAAATGGCAATAGGACCTATTTTCCTTCAAAGAGTGGTATCCATGAGTGTATATATTTACGGTTGCAAAATTCTATGGGTGCAAGTGCTCATAGATGGGAATATCCGTTGGTGCAAATGTTCATGGGTGCAAATGTTCGCGGGTGCAATTGTACGTGGGTGTAAATGTACGCGGGTGCAAAAGTACGTGGGTGCAAATGTACGTCGGTGCAGAAGTACGTGGGGGCAAATGTTCGCGGGTGCAATTGTACGTGGGTGTAAATGTACGCGGGTGCAAAAGTACGTGGGTGCAAATGTACGTCGGTGCAGAAGTACGTGGGTGCAAATGTACGTCGGTGCAGAAGTACGTGGGTGCAAATGTTCGCGGGTGCAATTGTACGTGGGTGTAAATGTACGCGGGTGCAAAAGTACGTGGGTGCAAATGTACGTCGGTGCAGAAGTACGTGAGTGCAAATGTACGCGGGTGCAAATGTATGCGGGTTTAAATGAGCGCGGGTACAAATGTCCACGGGTGCAAATGTCCGCGGGTGCAAATGTACCGGTGCCGGTTGTAAATGTCCGTGGGTGCAAACGTTTATGGTTGAAAATGTTTATGGGTGCAATTTGTATGTGGGTGCAAAAATTTGCGGATGCAAATGTATGGGTACAATTGTCCATGGGTCCAAATGCATGTGAGTGCAAAAGTATGGAGGTTCAATTGTCCTGGGTGCAAATGTACGAGTGTTCAAAGATAATGGAACCGTGACATACATGCATCATTTTTTCGTGGTTGAGATAAAGGCTGCTGACGAGGAATGAGACTTGTTCACAACATTTTAAGAGAAATGTTCATTCTTTGTACTATGGGCATATGGGGATATGACGACATTTCTTGCTTCAGAATACAGACTAATTTTTGTTGTGCCATAATCGACTGGTTTTTTGTTTTCATTTTTTTAAGCCCCATACCCTGCAATTTTAACTGCAATTCGGTCATTTATTGACACAAGGGGCGGATTAAGCCACTTTGGTGCCCTAAGCACTGAAGACTTTGATGTCCCCTCATGTTTAATTTAATTATAAAAACAATAAACCACATAAGTGTATTATCCATTAGAAATAATCACAAGCAACAATAAATAAAATAACTTTTACGAACATTTTTAGGTTTTTTAACTGGTCTATATAGCCGATATATATATCGCCATTTACTGCCGATATGAAATATCGGCAAATAAGCAATATCGGGCCGATATATCGGTTAAGCTCTAATTCTGAGGGAGTGTGACAATAAAGAAGCATGCTTCCAGTCTCAACGTGAATCGAAATACCAAAGAATACAAGTCACAACTATAGTTTCAAAATTTTACGGTAACTTTTGAGGAGGTCTCGCGGGTCGCAAGTCGGAGAAAACCCAAAAGTGATCGAATTATCGCGAGTTTACTTACTTTAAATTTAATAAACAACGAGAATTTACCGTTCTAACCAGACTATTATTATGTTGCATGGGTGGCGTTCTTTTAAAGAAGATATATAAAGCCTTCAGTTATTTTAAAGGTAATTCCCGAGAATTGCTGTTGTATTTTGCGCATCTCGCGTTTAATGTCGCTTCAAATTATATTCTTTCGTGACAAATATTACTTGAAATCAAACCAGACACTTTGTGATGGGCAGGGAAATACGTTTTCGCCGTGTTTTTCCTTAAGTCACCTTTCTTGCGATACTCATTTTATTACGAATTGTTATATTGAGTAATTTAAAAACTTGCAGCGTGAGCAAGCTTAGTGCCATCGTCAAATACCAACCAAGTCTGTCTAAGTTGGTATTTCGGGACCTAGCTAAAAAAAACTGGATTTCGCGGCGTTAAGTCGGCTCTGCGTTTTGTCACTACTATCACATGGCCGACGCCTAAAAACAGAGGAGTGTTTTTACTAAAATAAAGGCACAAAGCGTTAGAAAAAGGGTTTGAATCTCGGGACCCTAATCCCAGTTGGAATAGATAAAAAAAAACTTAAATACGTTCCTCCATTAGATACAAATATACGCCAAAATTGTTCGGTGCGCCTCACGGAATGTATCAGCATGACAGGGTTTGGACCATCCTGGTCTACCCGTAAATATATACTACTACGGTCTACCTTATCAAAAAAACTCCCGATTTCGCTGACCACTAGATCGTTGAAATGCGATCGTGGAACTGCCACATAGTGTAAATAATTCATTGGTCCAATTGTTGAAGAGAAATGAAATTTTTTTAAAACAAAAATACAGCAACAAGGCGAATACTAGAAAGAAAAAAAAATTTAAGAGAACGACTCACAGGCCCATTTCGTGTATAAAAAAAAAGTTTCAGTGTTTATTTTCAATAATATGGGTTAATATGATACTAGAAGACGAAAAATAAGCGAACATTTTGAAGTTTAAGTCGTCTGGTGAACTCGTAATATTTTAATAAACACCGATAAACTATATATAATTCTGCTCTAAAATTTCTGTGGTGCCCCTCTTTGCTTGGTGCCCTAAGCACGTGCTTATATTGTTTTGGTTAATCCGACGCTTTAGCACTATAGCATACTTCATATTTGTAATATCCTCTATATCGTGCACTTGGAGAAAACAGTTTTGCGGCAATGCAGATTTGCAAAAAAAAGTCGTGCAAATAAAATATTTGCGATTTTGCGAGAATTTAGTGGTCGTTGGGTGGTTCACGTAACCGCTGGTCGGTTACGGCTTCCTCCACCACCAAGTCCATGCTTCCGAAAACAAACAATACAGTAAAACTAATCCCATACCCGACTTGGAATGGTAACCGGACGAGAGGCCGTGGTTCGCCATATGGATAAGCCGTCTTATCGGCTTTCCTCTCCCCCGGGATAAATATGTAAATCCTATCCTATCCTAGTTTGGCTCGGCGTTGTGGCGCATCGAATAAGTTGCCTCAGCACTTCTAATTAGCCTGCGTGGATTCGCTGGTTTGAATTCCGTGGGGAATAATTATGTGCGAGAGGGTTGCTGGATTCTTTGCCACAGGTAGGTTACGGCTTGTTCCACAATCAAATCCATGCATCTGAAAACGAAATGACTGGCTACCTGTAACCAATCCCGTACCCGACATGGAGTGGTAACCGTACGATAGGCCGTGGTTCCCCATATGCTTAAGCCGTCATAACGCCTTTCCTTTCCCTCGGGCTAAATATGTAAATCTTATCATGAGCGTAAATGAAAAGGTTTTTGCGAGAACGAATTTAATGCAATGGAGTTTTGCAAGAATAGACTTCTTGCAGAATTTTTTTTTTGAAGAATGGGGTTATTACTTTAATCAAAATGCAGTAATTCTAATTTTCTTTAATCCGGTAATTATAAATGTTGTCGTATGTTTTTACAATTTTATTCATGAAAAATCTGATACTTTCAGTTCAATTTCAAATAAAAGTCTGTTCTCATTCTCGCCAAACAACTCACTAACATCAATCGCAAAAAAATTGTTCTCGCAAACATAAAATATCGAAAAGACTTGTTGGGGTTGTTCAGTCTGCAAATGCAAAAGCGCCCTGTACGCTGACACATGACACAGTTTCCCCAAACATGGCGACGTCGGATGGGGTTGTGGAAGAGAAATCGACTAAGTGGGCAGAAGGTGAGCTCAATCGGAAAATACTGATTATTTATCTTAACTTGGTACTTTCGGTCACCAAATCCAAAATCGCCTCAGCTGTATTTCATCTTTTCTCTCAGTTTGGTCTGACGGTGATCAGGTACCGTAGTCTAATTGTCATCTTTCAGTTTTTGCATGTAGTTCAGATAAGGGAAGGAGAAACCAGCAATACTGGCACTTTCATTGTGTTAAGACTGTAAGATGATATAAAAAGTAGGCCTAGGTATAGGCTATACCGTACCGTTGTATGATTTGTATCACAGTATCATCAAATCATGCTAAATCCTGAAATCTGTGAATGCAACCTTCAAACATTGCTGAAGCTGCAGACGGCCTTCCTTCGTAATCATTCTCTCATTGCAATCAACGGCGCATGTTCACCAAACGCCGTAAGTAGACTACTTCTAGTTGGCGTGGCACAAACATTTTTGCATATGTCATTCCCAACCCCCACCTGGCTACGCCATTCAAAAATTATGTTACTCTGACATCACAATCACATCATATAGCTTGCCAACGAAAAGCTACGATCGCCCAAAAAGGCATCTCCGCCGACGATAACGAACTCGCTAATGCAGTACTGCTCACTGTATAGATCGGGTGACATTGTCTCGTTTCAGAGAAACCTATTTTACTGATGATCAGATACCCCTCTTTTGGGAGACGTCTGGACATTGATGTCCCTCAATATCGGTAATAATACAGTATAATGAAGTTGCGCAAAATACTACAAAAAAACGCACTATAATAACGTCATCATTGAATTCCTTGCGAAAAAATAATCCGATTCACCGAAGGAAAAAAATTTTTATTGTGGCATGCGAGAGTTTTTAGCAAAAAACGGCAAGTTTGGTCATGTGACAGCCGCGATTAATTCAGATTATTATTGAGACAAGCATGGCGCGATATGAAGCATCTGGTGTGGTGCCAGACGCCCCTCGTTTGTGAGACACATAGAGTGTTTGTTTTATTGAGCCGAATGGAGGGAAATTCTTGGAATTTGGATAGTGTGCCGTACTGTAATGCAGTAATGCCAGCGATCTTACATACAAATATGTAACTCCTATCTCCCTCATATCGGGATCGTTACGACGAGAGAAATAGCTTGCTTGATTTCTAGGGTCCATCTGCACGTTTTGGACGATAATCTGTATACTTCGTCACTGTGACATTGTAGTGATGTAATTTTTGAATGGCATGATTACGTGGATGTTAGAAATGACATATGCGAAAATGGTCATGCCACGCCGACTAGAACTACTTGGCGGCGTTTTGTGAACTATCCCCCCTACTGCCCTACATCAATGCAAGCTAATTCTCTGCAACATGCTTTTTGACAAGGTAATCATGAGTATTTCGGAAAACATTAAGAGACAAAATATCACTTGAGCACTTCTGCACTTAGAATATTGGCAATTGGGATTCTTACTGTCTTATTTATTTTATTTTTACTACTTTCATTCTGGACATCTCGCGTGTTTGCGTCTTTGGATGAACCTTTTCTGTTAAAACTTAAAATGGTTGAAAAAATCGAAGATGGACTTGTGTGGTTAGCACAGTGGCTTCACCATATATGCGTTAAAAGTTATTGAATCAAAAACATAAATACATTCTAATTTTGAGTAACCAGTAACTTGTTGGAACAAATGGATACTTGAATATTTTTTGAACCATGTGACGAAATTGGTAATTTATGTGCAAGAATAGATATCCCATCAAATTATTATTTAAATAATAATTTATAATCATTTTTGTATTAGAAAAGCTGCACGAAAATTTGTCATGTCTGACTAGTGCTTTGTTTTCTTCGAATTACAAAACTAATATATAGTGTATAGTATTACCAAATTTTCAAATAATCCAATTTTATTTGACAGTCGTAATGCAGACTTCAGAAGTCCAAAATGACAGTTTCACTGATTATGAGAATGTAGAGATTTTCATGGACATAAAGGAACCTGAATGGCTGGTAAATTTACTGAAGTTTATGCTTTTACTATTTCTGAAATACCTTCTATATTGATTTTTATGCAATGATGTGAAGATCTAATCAAAGGTGAAAGACTTGAAAGAATGAAAAAAAAATGTTATTCTGTACAGCATATTTCTCTGATTTCTAGGATAACCCCTCTATTTATTAATGACATCAATCTAAAAATATCTAAAAGCGCAATCCAAAAATATCCCCATTGGACTATTTGGAAAAATGATACCGATTCTGATTTATCAGACGAAGACATTTTTACAAGACATTGAACAGACATTCAAAAATTTTCAACAAAATGCAGTCGGCGGGAATGAATTTTAGTCTAGTGATGCTATTTGCAAAACATGGCGAACACTCTCGTTTCCAAACGAATAAAGTGTTTATTTTATTGATCCAAATATTGGGACATCTTGGGATTGGAGACTGTGCCCTGCTTTTTTTTTTATAATCCCAAATCATGTTTATTAAATTCAGACTTCATCAGATGAAGATGAAAATGCGGTTGCAAAACAACGGATGTCCAAGACTCTTGATGTCACCCCAAGAAAGGATAATAATTCCGTTGTAAGAATTGATTTGTAAATAATGTTTCTCCTTGTCCCAGTGCAACTAAATTTTGCTCATGCCACATTTCTAGATTAGAAAAATATTGCAGATTTGTAATTTTCAAATCTTTACAACCAAACCTAAAAATGGACATATAGCACTATTCAAAATGAAAACAGGTATAAGCTAGCTCTAAATACCAGACCAAAAGAGGACCTGCTTCGGCCGCAATCGACTAAAATCTTCAAAATAGCTCGAGATCTACTAATCGGTAGGTAATAAGGTCATACACAAAAATGAATGAGTACTGTATATGCAGATAACTGCACACACGCATACAAAAAGTTCCGCCCCCGCCAATAGGCTCAGCTTTCTGAACTGTAGGCGTATTCCTAAAAAAAACTTTGTATTTTTATGTTCCATTTAATGTGTTAATGAACTTGGTTTTGCATAAGACAGAAGTTAGAGTAGGATCGTTTCTTAGTTAATACACATGATATTTGGCTTGCTCATTTTTAACAGCCAAACTTTCATTTGTTACAAAATAATATGCTCAGGCTTACCTAGACTTAAATACTGTATCTATCTATCGTATTTTGCGCATCTACAGTACTGTGTTCGCTCTGTTTTAGAGCATAACAGGCGCTGCATGATACTATGTCAGAGCAATTTTTTGTGGTGTTCTATTAAATTCACCTAATTAACATCAGACGCGATCGACTTCTCGAGACGGCAGGATACTAGAAAAAGAAACTCAATACAGGAGAAAACTATTTCTCGAATCATATCACATAAATAAAGAGAAGAATTCGATGAATGACAGAGAAACCACACTTTTCCCGCCTGTGTATAAATCATTGTTTAAATAGTCCTCTTTTTCGTTTGAACTTGCGCTAGTTTGTTTATTTATACATGTTATCTTATCATTCTTTTAGATTAGAGTTGACGCCATGATAATTTTTTTCATATTTTCCCTTTTTCTTTTTCTTGCTCTGTATATATCCACCCGTGTCCTTTCCATATCATGCCCTGATGAAGTTTTTCTGTATAGAAATTTGAAACGACGGCAAATTACAGCGTTTTGCTAACACCGGTTGTGCTTCATTTATTATCAACATGAGTTTACCTGGTGGCAATCGCGCACTTCTCGAGACGTGGTGATCGACCGGTCGATCGCGATCGAGTTAATGCATGCTGTTGCAGGTTATTAAAAAGACCTAGCGATCTACAGCCAAAATCTCATGGTACAAATTTTATGCCAATGTACTTTCATATTTGCGCATTTCAAAGATGAGGAAAATATTAAGATGTTTGTACACGATTGAAATTCTTATCGCTCCTTTTATTTCCAGGCATCGTCTCCTCAGTTCCGCACTCCACATCCAAGTGAATTAATTTTACCGTTTTCCTCATGTAATGAATCACCTATTGGTGTCTGTAAGTAAATTCTTTGTTTTAGAATTCAAAACTATTGTCTTGAAAAACAATGGGACTATGATAGTAAGTGAGATAGCGCACTAACTACCATTCACAGTGGTACCAGTGCCATATATATCAAAACAAAGAATTGTATACCAGTGGTTCCCAACCTTTTCTGGCTCGTGGCCCCATTCCTGATGCTTTTAGCAATCGAAATTACAATACCAGAAGTTGCTCGGCAGTTGGCTCATCATGCCACGCAGAATTGAATTCCGTGGGGGAATATTATGAGCGAGAGGATTGCTGTGCTCATTGCCGCTAATAATCTAATACCTGATCTTTTGCTCTAGGCTTTGTATATGCATCCACTGGTATCTTGCAATATATGAAGAATAAATACAACCTAGGTCAAGTGGTGGGCGCTCCACTACTCGTTGGGGGGCCACAGGCCCCTGGTTGGGAACCGCTGACATAGGCCATAGGCCCATAGCCCATAACAATAAAAAATTCCACAATATTACTACACCATTGATTCAAATGAGTTAGGTTCAAATTAATTAATAAAATTAATATTCTAATTATATCAAAGGGCCGATTAATTTGTTTCCATTATTGCAAATGTTTTAGGTTTAATAGCTGCATCAACACCATTCCAAGGGCAAAGAAATCCATCCACATCATCCATAAATGAGTTGGTTATAAAGAATCGTGCTCAAGGTAAATTTTTCACTTTTCCATTCTTTTATATTTTAGGACTTGCATACATCATGCATGGATCAATTTATTTCAATATGTTATTAATAATTAGGGTTAGGTTCATTTTGTCAATCTTTATTGTGATCAAATATCAGCTTGACAGTGAAGTGATAAGAATGTTTTAGTTATTTTATATCATTTTAAATAGTATTGAAATAATGTTATGGGAGTTGCACATATTGTTCAGCAATTGGAATTACATTTTTAAATTTTGTGTTTGAAGTTGAATTCTTTAAATATAAATATACCCCCTGCCGATATGTTTCAGTCCGTTTATACAACTTAAGGTAAAGTAGGCGAACAAAATTAGTTTCCTCTATATTGGTACATACACTTCTGGGGCGCTTTTTGACCAATAGTATTAAATTATCTAGATTCAACTCTTTCACACAGATCTTTCTGATAGCAGACATTGAAATGAAGTCCCAATTAGAGCATTTGATTTAACCTCTATTCAACTTTTTTTAGGCAATGCTACTTTTAATATGGATAAAGGAAAAGGCAGTAGTACTTTTGTGCTCGGTGCCAATGAGAGTCGGACAGGTGACGGCACTTTCGTAAAAGAAAATAATAATCAGACTTTTTGCAAGGAAGAAAATCTAACTTTTGATGTAAAATCCTCTGAAAAAGGTAAGTTTCTGAGGTAATTGTCTGCCCAAACCCAAGCAGATATTTAAATGCAAAAAAATAGCTTAAAGCTTTTACACCACGCCTCGAATTTTTAAAATTAAAACGTGAGCTTTGATATTAACACACGTTTCTTCAGATTTTTCCTCACTTCACATATAACCCTAGTGTGCGAAAATTTCTGTTTTCTTGTATAAATGCCCAGTCCCTGTTAAGAAGAAATATAAATATTGTCTCTCATACATCTTTGCGATCAAGAATTTCTTATCTTCGGTACTACTGCAAGAACAGTAATCAAAAACATGACGAGAACTTCACTTAAATTTTTTAATCGATGAAAAGGTATATGAATCATAATATATTGCCTCGATTTACCATTTAATATTTAAAACTTGCAATTGCTCTGAATGTATACCGGTAAGTAATGGAGGGAGCTTATTTCATTAATGACTATTGCGTAACCAATTCCCAAACCTTTAATATTGTAGAACGGTGTAGTAGAATTTCTACCCCATGGAATACTATCTGTGAAATTCGATATGACACCTTTAGCCTTAAGAAAGGATTGTACTTAACAGATTAAATTAATATAAAAGTAGATTTTTAAATCCAGTCATTGTTAGCTAAATTATGGTATTCTCTTACATCTTTCTGTTAAATAACATCATACAAAATTGTTTTCACATAATTGGATTATCTTTTTCATCCCGAGATGAAATAAAACATTATTATTAAGAAAACATACGATTTTGTTCGAAATACCAAATCTTTCATAGTTCACACTCGAATGATCAAACTATTTTCATTAGCTTTGCTCTCCATCCAAAGTCGCATTCAATTCGAATACAATACAAATGAAATTGATAGTTTCATGATTAAGATTATATTATTACCGGTCTGTGTTACTCTTCAATAATACACATTAGAGGTAATAAATGCTTATACTGGCTTTCAGTCACTTATCTATAATCACCATGATTGAATCACCACAGACATGGGATAGATAACAAAACTACATCTTCAAATAGAATGACAATAAACAGAACCAGTTAACGATTGTGATTGCATGTATAGGCCTACACACATATCATCTGCAATGTTGCAAATTATCTGTAATTGTATATATTGCATATTAAATCTGTGAATTTTCCTGCATACTTCAACGATAAAATTACCTAAAAAATAATGAAAAAAGTTAAGGCACCCAATATTTGTGAATGCACTAAGAGAATGACTTATTTTCATTTATATACCGTATATGCAATATCTAGATCAGTGTTTCTCAAACATTTCAGTCAAAGAATTAAACAAATCAGTCGCTCAACTTTGAATTATTTTTTGTCATATCATCGTGAATAGCACTTCGCAAAGGCCTTAGCTCATGGCCCCCAGCCCCCCACCATATGCTTGAGAAGCCCTAATCTAGATGCTGTCGAACTTTTTTTCTTCGTCATCAGTACTAGTTTGAGTAGTTTTGATAGGCCTATCAATTTCTTTAGATTCTGGATCAGATATTATGGATTCTTGCACACATCTTGAATCAAGCGCAGAGTCTGCAGACGACAAAGGACAAAGAAAGCCATTGCGATCATTACCTCAGGTGACTTAACATAATGTCTATAACAAGTACCTGTTTGACTTGATTTATCTATGGCCAATACACGATTAAAAGTTTATCCTTCATATTCGCCCATGGGATATTATCTTGGATATTGATTTTAACTTCATAATTGGATCGAAACTACGAGGGATTTTATTGAATTGGTAGCTTGACTATGTATTATAAACTCAGCTGCTTATCGCAGGATCGTTTTCAATATAGTTTGGTTGAAAGGACTAGAAACCTCTAATTATTTTTAATTACAGCAGGGGACAGATCAGTTCCCTAAATTAGTCATGTTAATAGTAATAGCAGTGATTTTAACAGGTACACATAATATGGAATGTTTATATTCTACTATTCCTAAATTCATTATTTGTGATTTAGCGAAATTCTGAAACTTTAAACAAACTGAAGTAATTGAATTCCATACCAGACTCAAATTATTCTGATGTAGCCTAATTTAATAAATTTATTTAACATATACACTGACTGGAAAGCCTTTAAATTTTCAAGTACCTATTCTATTTAAGGTATGTTAGTAAATACCCTAAAGCACCATACACACGTACACTCGACAATATTATGTTATTCATTGAATACTTCAATACTTATACTATAATACTAGCAAGCTCGGTAACAATGTATTTTTTTGCTCTGGGTTGGTTATAATAATACCTCTGTACTTATTGTAGAAAGAGTAAAATGAGTCCAATCTCTCAGGTTTTATCGAACGAATGTGAGCGTGGTAATTCAGTATCTGTTTTGTTCTTCATCTTCCATAAGTCATTGATAAGTTGCGCTTTTTTGTATGATTTACTATGTCTCATGCTTGCTAATTCTTGAAGAGTTTTTTTCCACCATGCCACCTTCATTCATTATTCAGGTCTGTCTATTTGATGGCATTTCAGCCTGATTCAGAATATAACTGCTGTTTTACTGCGTTGCCGTTGCGTATAATGTAGAAAAATCTTTGTAAAATATAAGTTGTGACTGGCTAGTTTGAAATATAACAAAGTGCAAAATTAGAGATTAAAACAGGATTTATATCATAACAGCTTAGGGTTGAATATTATTATTAACTGTATTAAAATGATGAAAGGCATGTCCGGGGATGCTCAGCAATTCTAGTTAAATTCAAATTTTTTTAACAGTGATAAGAGCTGGTTACTTATTTACAATTACTGGATTTCTACTTGTAATTAGGCAATATTTGACTCTTATCGTAGATAATTGTCTTCAATATTGTGTATCTAAGGTTAGGGTAAGTTAGAAGGTGTAACAACAACCTATCCTAAGGTAAACCGAAACCCATAACCGAACAGTACCTAGGCATCTACCTATCAGCAAGTTTTCTCTCTCTCCCTTGTTTTTATATCATTCTCAATTAGCAATCAATATTTTGATCCAAGCAATATTGAAGAAAATAAAAATAAAATTGACCATTTCAATTAATTTATCAGTGTTGTGTTGTGTATGTTTATTTTTGGAGTTAAATGAAGTTTGTCAAATTATTCCTGCTGAATATTTCTTGACTAATCTTTAAAGATTGAAAATGACAGTTGGTGCATCGGTAAGTTACCTAAATAGTTAGACAATTATTTGCATGTGTAAAAATATAGCTGTTACAAAAGTCTGTAAATTTTACACTGTAAATTTTTTTTTATATTGCAATACAATTCAAACCATGAATAATAATTGTAATTTGAATGTTCAATGAAGTACTGAAAAACACTTTGCACGATGAATCGATGATAACAATTTTGTATCGAGAACTATCTTATTAGTATATTACTAGAGTTGAGGATTTGAAGTTCACAGTAACACTCTACCACAATGGTAACCAACCTTTTTTGGAATATTTCATCCTTTGTCTATTATTATTGGATTCTTTTTTAGGATTTTGGATCTTCCTGATTTTCAGTGACATTGTTTAATTTGTTTCTCAACATTTAAAAACTGGAAAATATAATCCAGCCTAGCTTTCAATGATTACATTTTCTCGAACCTCATATCATTGCTTTCAACTATAACGCCACACAATTAGAAGGTGGCCGGCGTTGGTAAATTATGTTAACATGATAGCGCGCTTAATGAAGTATTTTCTGGCTGCGAAAGTTCGAGATGTTACTATTTGTTCTAAACAAAAGGTAGGGCTTTCAAAGTAGATAAATTTTAATTGAAGTATTACGCTGGATGTGCCCCTGCTAACCAGGTCTACTCAGATTTTTTATATCTATTTGTCTCATTTTTATTTCAATAATATTATCATCTGGATGATATGTGATGAATTCAATGTCAAATTATTCTTCAATTATCTCTTGCAGCCGAAAGCAACTCATAACACGAATGCTTCCAACAGAAATGCGACTAAAAAAGGTTCTCGTCTTGCTGCTCCAAGAATGAACACTGCTGCAATTTCTAGAATACAGGTACATTACAGTTCACATCGTACTATTTTATCAATATGTAAATTTATATTTCCAAAAAAATAATAGCTTCAGAACTATAGTGTGGCTGATGTTTTTGAATTATTAGAATTGTAAATATGCAAATTTAACTTGAAACTTGATGAATTAATATCGAATTTTATAAGCTCAAAGGGATGGGTTTTGAATGTGGAATAATAATTAGACAGTCAGAGGCTGGAGCTACTAAGATTTCCTTGGTTCCAACAAAATGTCACAGCTTCTTGGCTTCTAACTCCAGCTCTGCAGCCCTTTCTTGAGGTAAAGGCATATATTTTCTTTGCCTCCGGCTGCTATTGATATACTCTTCCATCAGGATGTATTCTCATTGATAGTATTGTTTTGGCACAAGACCAGTATTGTAGCATTGGACCTAGTGGTTGAAGCGTTTCAAATCCAATGCCCACCATCTCAAACATGGCATAATATTATAAGTAGGCAGTTCCGAACCGGAAAGTCTATATTTTTTTATAAATTTCATTTCTGATGTTATTTTGAAAGTCTCAAAATTGCGTATTTCGCCATTACCATTTGTAACTGGACAATGTTATGTGTATTTTAGGCAAGATCACCAGGATCAGTTGCATCATCGACTGATAGCAGTAAAACTATAAAGAAACCCAACAACATTGGAAATGCAACGAAAGCAAGAAAATCACTTTTACCTCCTTCTATAACAAGATCATCTGCAGTAAACAATAGAAATAGAAAATGTTCCACTGTTGCTGAAGAACCAACAACCAGCAATGTACCAACAAAAACTACTAGAAATGTTACATCTGGAAGTACTCCAACGAAGAGGAAAGCACAGGAGAGTCCAAAACGTATAGGTAGGAAGAATTTCATTGTTGCTATTCTTCGTACAAGGTTCTGTACAAGCCAGGTATGGGGCTAATATAGTTCGAATGGGCTGGAACTATTTCGGTTTAATATTACCTACCCAATTAATTACACCCGGGATAAGTTGGTGGCCATTGTTTCTGGCCCTGAGATTTCAACGTGCAATGCTATCATGGTTTAGTCTATGACTTTCTCACTGGCCCGCTGCCCTCTTCGTTTTAATGTCTCCATATCTCTGCTGATGTTACAAATTATATTCATGATTAACAAAAAATTTCAGTTTTTTGATCAAACAATTATCATTTATTAGAAAATAACCAACATTACACTAGCTTGGATTCTCAATTGACATGGTAAATTTTGTCAGTAAGAATTCCACAAATCTCTACTACACGAATAGACTATCGACTTTATAAAATGTTTTGATGTGACCATTGAAGCACATATCACATTGTAATAATTGTTGAAATTGCAAACGTCCCCTTTTGCATAATGTGCAATGCACTGCAGAGGAGACTTTGTTTGTTGGATATGAGAATGTTGTTATGTCATTGCTGCATACTTAACACAATCAATCTAAGGTGTTGTTTACATCCCCATTCTACATTGAAAATTCTTGCAAAGCTCAATCCTCCACAATCCACATGATGAGTCATAATGTGTATTTATGAAAATGAGAATATTGGTGGTGAATGAACTAATGAAAATTCGAGGGGTAAATGGGGGATTAATGGTTGAGAACCCCTGCACAAGTGTGAGTGTCGAAGACCAGGTATTTTTTATCTGGTTGGTGCTAATGATGAATCTATATTGAGCATAGATGCTTAGAAATATACTGTTTCAACCTTTCAGAGGCTCTGGGAAGAGCAAATTTATTCATCTTTCATTGCTTGAATAGGCCTACTAAATAATATGAATTTATATAGAAGCAAACTTAATACAGTACTTGCAAAACAAATTGATCTTCAAAAAATAATAACTTTAATAATAGTTGCAAACCAAATAGGTACATGGTTATATTCAAACGATATATCGTACATATATTAATTAATAATAGAAACTCTCGGATTCAAAAGTGCAGGACCCCTGGACTATACTGACCAAACCCTAAGGTACAGCAATTGAAAACCGCTGGTCTACATGCTTGCTATCATTCTACACTTATATAATGCCAGCAGATTATTATAAGATTATATAAGTTGTGCGTTTATTTTATAAAATTTTTAAAAATTCAATACATCATTAAAATATAAAAGCATTTATTTTTGTGTTTTGTTAGTCTTATTTTAAATTTAAGTTGGTTCAAAAACAACTATACAGATGTGAATTGAGGTCTCTTCGTGATACAGTCATCAGTTAGTGAATTCCCAATGGTGATCGTTAACCGGTTTAAATTAGTCAATAACATATTCCTGAAACGTCATGTACTTAAATTGGCAATGAGATTGCCAATTCACATTGCCAAGACCAGGTAGAACAAAATTTAAACAATGGCCATCTATGAAAAGTACACTTACGATATGATATATTCACACCCCTAACATGGTAAATAAAACTAAATTTGTCAGTGAGAGGATTAGTAATAGAAGCTGTATTAGTGAATTACTCAGGACTAATTAGTTGCTTATCCTTCATGATCAGGACTTAGAGGTACTTATAGAGTTACAAACTTACATTTGCAATCAATGAAGTCAACTTATTATTTGTAAACAGTATTTGTAGATATTCTATGAAAAGTTTGCGATATTTGATTTCTTTCACAACTTTTCATCACTGTTAGGTAAAATTTGAAAATATCCAGTCAATAAGTTATATTGAGTCAATAAACAAGGAATATGGATATGTATAGTACATCAAGACAATGTTTTAATTACTAACCTGATTTAAGTTAAACTGCAATTTATTTGGTATGTATTTACAAGAATAAGTTGCTATTCTAAATCATATTACAATACAATTAGATATTTGCTAGAAAGTCAGATGAGCAGGTCTCTACAGATTACCAACCTGAGTGTCAGCAAATTCAATGTCAACAAAGCATATCGTGTTTAATCTAACTTACCGTAAGCCTAACTGTTGGAAAATATATTAATACAACTGAAATATTGATTTGATGGGTTTATTAAGTTTTTAGAAATTACATGAAGGCTTTTACGGCCCTGTAAAACTTCACTTTCTCAAAATGATAATTTTTTAGCACAACAGTCTTAAAATATTCTTCAATTAATTAAGTCTTGAAAATATTGAATATAAGTAATTCAGAGTCAATATTTAATATTCGTTCTGAACACCGCTGGCGCCGGTACTAAAAACATATTTGATATTTCTTTTAAATTAAAGGGGTCAGATATTCTCAACACCAACACAAAAGGAATCCGGGATTACACTTGTTACGGCACAATATAGATACCGATCGAATGATCGAGTATTGTGCAAACAATATACGACACGCACTTCTATTTGTTCTAATTTCTTGAGTATCAAAACAATTGTTACAGGTGCCCATGATAATACGCGGAGAAACATATAGTATGCTCCGATCGTGATGGGTGGACAGTAGTTAGCGTTGTTAAACAGTCGCTATTTGCTTTGCTATTATTTCTATCATTTAGGCGTGGTCAGAACTTAGCCGAGATAAAAAGTATTCCTGTAGCACAGCACCTGTCTGAATTCAGGAGTTCCAATGTCATTCGGTTCAGCTTTGATTGAGTTGTTGAATTCATTGAGATATTGTCAAATATTTTATATATGAATTCTTCCTGTTATTATCAAGGATTGAATACAACAATAGTTGACTCATTGATTGTTTAACTTATTGTATTGACATGTGAAATAATCGGTAGACGGTATCAAAGTTGTTCTTATAAGAAGCAGTAGTAAGTTCAATGGTTGTTGGTCAGAGTTTTATAAGGAATAAGCTACAAATGATAAATGGCACAAATAAGCAAGTAATTGGTAATGAAAGTGATAGTCTTCAGTTATTATTTGCAATAAAATATTACTATCAGTATATATAGTCTGCTTATTAGTATATCTCACATCAAATGTATATTCAGTGGTTATTTTCATTTATGGAATAGAGAAAAAATTTAGTCACCAATAATACTCTTTAGTATTTTGAAAAAGAGTTGAAGGTTGAAAGTTCACCATTAGAAAGAAATTCATTTTATTAAGATTACCATGTGTGACAATTTCAGTATTCTCAATTAAAATTTTCAAGTACAGAAAGCTAAATGAGGGATTTTGATAAATATTTAAGCGTTAAGAAAACATTAAAATTTTTGGTTATATTTTTGTCACATTCTAGCCAACAAAATAACATATTTTTAAAATCAAAGATTCAGAATATGGATACCAAAGTATCAAAACTAATTCTAATATTTGATGCCCCTGGGAATTATCATTTGGGTAATTTTTTATTTTTCATTTATTATTATTTTCTTATTACTTCATCATTACTACTATTATGAATAACCTATTCATATTACTCTAGTATTTCAAAATAGGTTTATTTCATTTCTAAAAAATGAACATTACAAAAAAGTATTGGCAAAATCTTTCTGCACTCCTGTATAACTGTGTAATATTCATGTTCTCATGAGCGTCTTTAGTTTGAGATGATCATGTTGATGAAATTTATGAACAAACAATATGATTTTTCTCCATCATATCAGTGTAATAATTTTGTAAAAGATATTTTTCACACTAGTGAGTTATCACAATGGCGCCATGGGATTAACATATATATTACTTTATTAACCCAAATATTTAACATTCATTTTCATAAATGACTTTTCTTTTAATTTTAAACTAATCATTTCAACTGTATGCAGGATTGTTATAGTACAATATAAATGTATATCTTTGTTTCTATAGGAAGATGAATAAATGGAATTTTTATTATTTGTTTAGGTCGGTCACCAAAAATCCCTGGTGGTAGAAGTGTTGTTCCTCCGCGAGTCACAACAACCGCATCAACACGAAGTAATAGTGCTCCAACGTCCAAGTTAACATCGACTACAGCAAGAAGTTCTCGGCCTCACAGACCGTCCGGTTTGAAAGGTATGTTATTGCGGTATATTTGTAGTTTGTAATTCACTTGAAGTCATGACTTTTCTCGAACAATATTTTACAAAAATATATTTGTGTTAGTGTGAAGCAGGACTCTTGAATTACATAATATAGCCTAGTCATGTTTATCTCTGCTACATCATCCTTGGTTAGATTTGCGTAACCTAATCATATTTGTAATTATTGTGAAGATCATGTTTTGTTGCACTGCGTTACTGTGTCTTTATGTTTTATTTTCGATATCAACACATTTCAATGCTCAAGTTGTTTTTTTTTAATCGGAAAATTTTCATTACTTCTATCACTATCTGTTTAGGTCCATATGCATTCTCACGATCGACTTCTAACATTGGCACCAGCAAATTAGTTGGAAGTTCAGGGTCTGTACTCACATCAACAAAATCTATCTCAAGACCATTAAGTAACAATAATAACAAAGTAGTTTCTCAAAGTGAAGCTACCTCCAGTGCACTGACTGATAGCGGGAATTTGAGAAGTAAGTATGGTGGACAAACAATGATGATTTTGCAAGTAGAATTTCCCCACTCAACTATAATTTTTCCATTTTATAATAAGCTATTTGAGTCTTGTTGTTACTTGTTAGTAATTGAATTCTTGTTAAAAGGTGATCCCGTTAGTCTTACCATCTCTGTGAAATAAGATTTTCTTCGATCTTTATCTGAAATCCTTAGATGACACATTTTTTTCGAAACCATCAAATGTGCCAAAATAATGTACCATCAGAATTTGGGTGAAAATTACAAAAAAGAGAAGTGCAGGACATTTTCAGCTTTATAACTGAAATTCTGACTGCTGTTGATCTAGATCTGAATACAGAAGCAGGCATTTATTGTTATCTCAACAATCCCAAAAAATTTTCTAAGTGTCTAAAATTTACCCTCAGTTCCATTTACTTTTGAAGATTTTAAAATTGTATTATTATTTTAAATTTCAATATCATTTATAAAATTATGTTAACAGAACCAAAGCTGACTGAACAAACCAAATCATCTACAAAGTCGACACCAAAAAATACAGAATGTGTTACAGCATTATCTATACTCCTTGACTATGTTGTCAATAAGGTAAGTTAATTATTTTAATACAATTTTTTTGTTTTAAACGGCTAAATCACTTCACCTAACCTAATGGCATGAGTTATGCCATAATTCTTTGGTCTAGCAGCAGGTGATGTCAAATTGCACGGGGTGTTGAATGAATTCAAACAATAGGAATTTAGTTGAAAGAGTTGACTAGGAAAGATTAAATATATTTGTTAGTCGGTGTATCGGGTTATGCTCGAATTCTGTGGGGAACAATAGTGTGCAAGAGTATTGCTGAACTTCTTGCCACTGTAGAGTGGTTCACAACTTCACGTCGAATCCATGCATTTGAAACAAATAACTTGTTAACTATTTACATACTCGACATAACTGGTAACCAGGTGAAAGGTTGTGGTTGGCTATATGAATAATTCGTATTACCGAATTCCCGCTCTCTGAGACGACTATGAATATCCTATACTATTGTATTCTAGTAATGTAACGTCATGTCATGCTTGTGTAAGGTAAGCTCAATTACAATAATGAAATTAATGGTGCTTCGAAGCGCAGGTAACTGAAGGGTGAATCCCAGAAACGACAAAAAGGAATGATATGTTAGCATTTTTCACTCCTGTGTAGTAGTGACTTAATATTGTATTTATAAAAGAAAATGGACCTGTAACTGACATTTAGAATCTTATGTCATTAATTTTGATGGGAGTTGAAGAATGTCAGTCATTGACCATGTGCTTATTAATTCTTATTTTATTCCATGTCTGAAAATATGATTCACTTAATATTTGAGAATATATATTCCTCAAATACATGACTTGCTGTTTTTTTGTTCCATTGGTATTGTGGATATTACTGATTAAATGCCCGAATATATGTTTGTTTTTGCCTCAATCAATATAGAATTCATATCTCTTTTCATATAAAAATTAACCGATCTGCAGTTTCAATCTTAGGCTTATTGCTAGATGACTGGGGATAACGCCTGTATATTAATTACCACCTATTATCTGAATCATCCTGTGGTATTGAGCAATCATCTGTGCTGAAATTTTTGTCCTTTGCACAAATTGCAAGATATAATTACCACCTATTATCTGAATCATCCTGTGGTATTGAGCAATCATCTGTGCTGAAATTTTTGTCCTTTGCACAAATTGCAAGATATGGGCATGGGTGCGATGATTTAGTGCTAAAGCATTAGACATAACTATGTTGGCATCGCAGGTTACACATTTCTTGCTCACTACCTGACACAGGGTGTAATATAGTTCTGCAAGACTCACTCAGAGTTGCAGTGTCAAGTTATTAAGGGATGGGCCGGGATTCGCATCCGGACTCGGATTAAGTCGAATCCAGGCATTTTTTGGACTCTGATTCGATTTCGAGTCCCTGCCATTTTTACTGAGCCTATATTCAATTCTGTTTTTACTAATTTACGCCTATGTTTGTACTTTTACCTCTATAAATCTCACTACATACCTTAACTATAGTTGAAATTTGAAGTTAGATATGTAACAATATCCCTGTGTGTATTATAAACACTCCTAATAAAAACGACGACAGATATCCAGATAATATAACGCAAGTTAAAAACTATTGATAGCTTATAACAATGATGCGCAAGTCGCCTTCAAACTATCTATCCTTTTTGGTATACATGTGGCGCACAATAAAATATATGTTAGCGCAATATTTTGAGTTTTCGATTTGCGTAAATAAATGTGGAACATGCTCAGGATCAACCCAAGAGGGAATCTCATCAATACCTCTTTTAAATCGAGTTTATTATGTGCAAATAGGGGGCAATGGAAAGCATGGAGCGATTTAAAACGTTTACATGAACCACTAAATTACAAGCATTGTATTGACGATCATTGGCATCTCTCTACCATTTGCGCACGCGATATAGTAAATTTAGGGCTAGAAGTATCTGGAATTATGCGGATTATTTTATTCCGCGGGCCGTATGTTGCCGACCGCTGATCTAAGTGATCATTCTAAAACATTCAATTTGAAAAAAATAACTAAACTTGAAAAGTGTTCTTGACATTAATTCATTTCCTATGTTGTTATAAATGTTGGTAATTTCATAAAAAATCTTTGTCATTATCAATGTCTTCTCAAGGCTAAATATCAATAATAGTAATAGTTAAAGCTTGATCGAGCAAATTGGCTTTTCAAAAGTGTGCATCCAACTGGTAGCCCTTAGCTTAATTGTTACACGGGAAGTAGACCTCGGCTTCATAAAGGTTGGTGACCCCTGGTTTGGATTAAGGTCGCAATAAAACAAGGAATATAATATGCTGCATATTTGTAACGCGTAATCCAATGCACCAGACATTTGAGGTACATTTGTACCTCATTTATTATCGCCGTATCTCTCAACATTCTTCAAATGATAAGTTGATGTCATGCAACTATTTCCAACGTTACACAAAATAATACCTGTTTTGTTTGAATATCCATTCACCGTAGACATCATTCGATAGATAGCTTAAGTAGTGCTCTTTGTGTTACTGTAAAGGAACCGTTGGAATTGCATTAGAGAAGTGTCGGTACTTCACACATACTTAAACATTATCAACTCTTTTTATTTTCATTTTATAATAATAGCAGCCCAAGCTTGCACGGCATTTCAAATACTCAAATCAAACACCATCTTTGCTTGACGCTGTGTTATACAATACTCACATTAGCAAATGTTTACTTCGCTTTTTCCAGATAGACGGCCCCACCCCTTATATATATACCATAGACTAGTGCTATGTCGTCGCCCAGACTTTCGTGAATAGAAATAGACAGGCGTGATGTCGATCTTTCGACAAAGTTAGTTTTTTTACAGAATATTAGTTATATGTGAGAGTTGTAGATTTGAGATTAAGTATTCTTTGGGAAATGGATTTGCTTTACCATTTAGTTGAATTAGAGTTAAAATTGAATGTCGCAGTATGTTATATGTTTTTAAATTTTTGACGAATCTAACGCGCTGTTAGATGGTGCGAAACCGGTTATCAGGGCCGCTATATGGAAGAAATCCAGTGATCCACTGGTGTCGCGATGATAACATAACCTTTGGAATCGTCGTTTTTCAAGAATTTACCTATGCTCCAGATGTTTACCTATTTGCGTGTGGTCAATGTCAGACAAAAACGTAACAATGTGTTGCATTTAACCGTAAAAATGCACGTTTTTGTTGCTGCGGCGGCATTATGTATTCACCAATTGTCCATACTCATATCGGTAAATTCGCGCTGCTTTAAAGTCTAAAATTTTCAATAAATCCATTCAAAAGGCATGCAAAAGCTCATAGTAAACACTGCGTATCTCATCTTGACCATATCTTATAACATATCCAAGCTTTTGTGTAACTGAAAGTTTGGTGTCTATTTAACGGTTATTTTTAAGTTCTTTTCCGTATCCACGTGACGCATAAACCCTTTAATTAAAGCTTAGTATAAGTATATCCGAGAGACGATGTCATTAATTACTACCTACAATCACTATAGCCTATGGTTATATACATACTGTATTTTGGAAGTGTTAGCGAAAGAGGTGCTCTCTTTCTGTTTATATTCCAGCAGGTCAAAGTATGTCATAAATGTATGGGTACTCCCGTGGTATATGTACCACGTTAGGGTTAGGTCATAATTTTATTATGATTTTCCTTATTTTAGTTCTATTACGAGCTCTGGGACTGTCTGTATTAGCCAAGTGAATATACCACCTGCCCATAGGTTTCAGTCCTTTTTATACAACTTGATGTAAAGTAGGCGAACAAAGTTACTGGTAGTTATCTCCATTTGTACACACACTTCTGAAGCGTCGATGTATGAATACGACCTTTATATAGTGACGCGAAACTGGTTGGTAACATCTATTAGCTTGCGTATGCTCCGTATATAACATTATGGATTTGTTGATCGGAAGTTATGTACGAAGATATCTCACTTGTGTATAATTAGAGAAATACATTAACCATTTAGCACATCGTCAATTAGCACCTCACTAAAGAATCTCTAAATTAAAAACTAATATTCATTAAGTGTTCCGATCTTCGTCAGCTGTGAAGTGCAGTTAGTAGTGAAGTATCAGATTCCGAAGGCTACCGGTATATATTTTTTGTCTAGTTTCGAAGCTTGTAATGCAGGTGGTGGTTACCAGAATCAGAAAATCTTTGTCAGCTTGTGGAATTTCCGTCCAGTTTAAACGCAGACTTTTGGGTTGCTTAGTTTCTAGTCGAAAAAAATCTGACTTTGGTCAAAGGAAACATTGCAGAAACACATTTGTGTTGGTGTGCAGCAAGAATCTTTGCATAATTTCAAATTCCACCGTTTCACTGATATGTTGATGTGGCCTTATCTTTTATTGCAGTCGAATTGAAATGAACACCATTTTCAAATTGAAAGTACATTTTTAATACCCTTAATAAATCCATCCGGCAAGTTTTAAATACTTGTTGACATAAAGCAAATCATCAGATATACTGTTTGACGAAGCCATTATTACATTTGACGCCGAGACATTTTGCAGGATATATATTTTTTATTTCCGAGGTCTTCCGTTTACGAGGATTAATTTTACGCGGATTATTTTTACGCCTACAACACTGAGAGCTGTGAATAGAGCTATAGGAAGAATCCCGTACTATTCGGGTTTTGTTTCTGAAGTCACCCTGTTGATGCAATATTGTACCGAATATTTTTCATGTGAATTTCTTTCTACGTTCTTACGGTTGTCCTTAGTGTTTACCACACACCTAAACTATATTGATATTTCGATTTTGATTGATTGATTTAGCTATTATTGATTACGATTGCTCGCTGGTGTGAAATAGAATTGGACAAAAGTATTACGGGTTAAATAAAGTGAGTCCAAATGGGTTCATCGTTCTCGAAATGTCGATTTCCAAATTGCCGTAAAAGAAGAAAGAAATCGTCAAATACAGATGATAATGAGGTAAGCCTGATAACATGCGAAGTATTTTTAAATGTAGGAGGAAGAGTAATGTAACATTAATTAATATTGTTATGTGACGATAATTATTTTTGTTCAAATTTTTAAAATTTTAGCAACGAAAACGATTTTTTTGTGGACTAGAAACGTATCGACTTGCAAATTTCATATCATGATACGGTCCGCGTATTTGTTCCGTTGGACGGGCTTATCACATTGTAGCGTATCTTAAATATTTTCGCCTTAGCAAATTAAAATCTTCTTATGCAGTGAAGTAGTGGGCATGAGGTTAAACCCGAAATTTTAACCTACGGTACCATCATATAGTTTGGATTTACGCTTTAACCGCGCGGCGTATAGATCTAGTATCCGTTATGGGATTGAAAGGTAGCCACTATCGCGCGATGCAAATAACAATAGATGAATATCAGTCACTGTTTGTGACAATAAACTAATCTTCTATTTTATGTGACTATTATGTTCACATAATTCTCTCGTCACGATTACTCATGCCCGATCGTCTGTTAAGCAATGACCCTATACGCTACCTTATCACGAATCGATTTGAATTGTTGTTTTTGTGAATTCTACAGGAGCCGTAAACGCCGAGTTGCGTAAAAGTTGGAAAGTATTTCACCGTACTTCAGAGGACTAGTGGTTCGATAAGTTTCGATAAACTCGTTTTATTTAACCAAAGGGTTAAGGAATTGTGTATCGAACTGCAGATCTCATTGTCTACTTCAGGTCTATATGTGGACGTTGCCACAATGATAAATGTCGAGTGATAAATAATAATAATAATAACATCATCCCTTTACACGAAATAGCAGTTATAGTTGTTACGTTTTGTTAGATCACGAATTATGTATTGTTAAAACATTGTTTTAAATAAAATGAATTGGTTATGTACGAGAATAGGGTTTGTGGAACGCGGGGAAAGTTGGTACATAAATTACCGATAATAATCTTGGTCATTGAACCGATAAAAAGCGGTACATTTTCTTTATAGAATTATATAATTTTAGCAGCATGCTATACGGCATTTTGAGGTTCTTTTAATGTACATTATGTATTTTTCTATCCTAGGAAACCACAATTGGTATATTTTGTTTTTGTTTTATGAAAATTGCTTAAAATTATTAGAAACGACTTTATAAGAGATGCCCGAAGCGCAACAATGATTCTGAAATTATTTCTAATTATTATCGCCGCCCCACTAATAGCAACTGGGAATATATATTCGAAGATGGAAACAGATAAAATATTTCATTCTTTGCTAATGAGAAATTCTTTATAAATTCCATCAGGAGAGAATAAACGTTTCAAATTCATCCTATTAATAATTGTTATTGTAGCTCAATTGTCGGTATATTTAAAATTATTTTTTATTTCGATAAACTACTATAAAACCGTTTATTAAGCGGGTTTCCACATAACAAAAAGATCGTGTTAAAAACTAAACATGGACTCAAAACGCCCACTTTGATCACAATTATACTGAGTAACTTCGGGGCGATTTTAATAGCATCCATTTTTTTTTTAATTTCTGATTTTCAATTATTGATAGGATGGGCATTCATCGCCGCTCACGATATTTCGATACAGAGCATGTGAACTTTTCAGTTTCAAGTGTGATAATAAAACGCTCCGAAAAGTTCAATATCTGTTAATGTAAATTTACCTTTTCTGTTTGTGTGAGATTAACAGGCGTTGCTGCCTTTTGAGCGCAAGTCACGTTGCTTTAATAGGTATGCAAAGAGGAACATTATTGTCCAGATACCTACTTTGTACTGAGTTATAAGGGATAGCGGCGTCGGTTAAAAGCTCGATTTGTTTTTGAAAGACGATTTTGGGGGACTATGGTTTAAGAAAACTAAAGCCTTGCAGACATGGGCTACAGCCGCCTACAGGGCTTTCAAAATTTTGCAATTTTTGTTGCAGATATTATAGTGGGGGTTAAATTTTTAATGAAGCTAAAATGACTACAATCGCCAATGAGATGGAAGTCTTAGCACTAAGTATTTGTGATTTCAGTGATTTTCTTGACTTGATATCTGTGAAACATGAGGTTAGAGCAGTGGTTATCAAACGGTGGGGCTCACCCCACAAGGGGGCTTATTTTGGCTAGGTATTTTTCAGGTGGGTGCGAGACTTGACAAATTCTAAAAACGACTAAGAAAGTTTAGGAACCACTGTGTTGTAACACAAATTAGAACAATGGTTTTTCCCAGTAAAATATCAAAACCTCTGTAAAATAGTTTAATTGTCTGTATTTTATAAACTATGAATATGTATAAAAGCAAACCTAATCTGAACAAAGAATGATGTTTGAAAGTGTAGCAAGTTTACTAATAGTGGCAATTCTACATTTGATTACGTTTAAACAACATACTAATGTCAACTCTCAGATTGAATGTTATCTTACCCTGGTTGCAAACCACTATATCGAGAAAATATGTTTGTACTGGAATTGTTAGCAAAAGGTACTGGCATAAAATTTGGTATGGTGTTTACGTAGTATGTCTGTCACTAGCGCATACTATCATATCATCCACCTATTACAGTGAATGCATTACACACTCTTGAGTAATACCAGTAGTATGTTGCAACACATCTGCGTATTTCTTCAATTATCATATCCAGCGATAGTCGACCCATTATCGTGATGAATGGATCTATATTGATTGAAACAAGTTTGATTGAGGATAGCAAGATTATGTATTTTTCGTCATATGAAAATCTTGATCCTGATGTTTTAGTGATTGTGTTCATGACATTCCTATGTTGGGTATGTTATCAATGTACTTAATGGCATACCTTCTAAGCTAACAAAGCCCTATTATATGATATATTTTCTCACCAGTTTAGATTTTGTCAATATTGACAATGACAATAAACATTTTTGAAGTAGGAGGACAATATAAGTGACAATATATCAAATCAAATATGATTACCTAAATTTGAAAATAAGATGACTTAATTGTATAGAATTTGAAATAATTGTAGATAAAATATTACTTGTTCCTGATATGTGATATGAGTGACCAATTCGTTTTTCCTGCATGAATTTCTATAAAATGTCTTACACAGATAAATATGGTCTCATACCAAGTAGTCACTGAGGATTAGTGCGCTACTTGCGAATTGGTACTTTCTTGTTGGTGTGACTTGTGGGAAAATATAGTAGAAAGTGAAGTTTTGTAACTTTGAAAAAATAAGGGCCAGCAAGCTATCTACCACACTTGCCTATTTTATAGTATTGGAGTGGTTTACACCTGCATATTTTTTCGTATCATCATGAATGTAGACATTACTTATCCAAACCTACATTTACCTGTACAAATATGTATTTTATCATAATCAGTAAGTGCTCATCGATTTTGTTCCCTTTTTCAACTTAACTGATTCCAAAGTTTAAACAGGCATGAACCAGATAAGGTTATTCAATATTAATACAATTGCCTTTCAGCTTGATGGATTGTCTGCTCCAAGGTTATCGGAAGAAAAACAACAATTACAGAAATTGGTTGCTGATAAAATTGAAGTAAATGGTATGATAAGCAGTTATTTTATATTCTCATAAAACATATATTTGCCCAGATCAAAAACTTTCAAGTTAATGTTTTATTAAAATAGGAGAACTTAATATGAAGGGTTACATGATAAGAACAACTTACTGTCATATTTGTTATTAATGTATATAATACTATACACTCACTACATTAACATGACATGCTCTACAGCAGGGGTCGGCAACCTGCGGGCCAGATCCGGCTCGCGGAGTAATATAATCCGGTCCGCGGAGCTTCACTGAGTTATAGTAACAAAACAGCTGTTTTGACGATTATATTCTTTACGTAACAGAACTTATTGTGAGACACGTGTAGACTAAACTATATTATAATCTAACAGGTATAAAATTCACAATTACTCGTTTAATGAGCCTATAGTTTAATTATATTAGACAAATGACAACAAAACGCAGAAAAGTTGATGCTAAGTGCGAAGGGTCCAATGGCGCAATGCAATGCAATGAGGAAATAAATCTATATTTTATTCGGGAGATTTCAATTTTTTTTAAATATGTGCAGCCTGCCAAGGACTTGCAACCTTTAATTTTGGCCCGCGAGCGTCAAAAGTTTGCAGACCCCTGCTCTACAGTCTACACTAATCTACTACATAATTTTCGAAACATCAAATATAACGTTAGTCAGCTCTGTTCAGCGTCTAACTTCTAAGGCGAAAAATAAGAACTCCTGATCGCACCACTGACTATAACTATATTTATTAATGCCTTCATGTTTAGATAATCTTTCATCGAGACTGTCAGACCTAGAATCAAGATTCAAATTGGCAACTGCTGAGTACGAACAAAATTGTAGAGAACAGATCGAACGTAATGAACAACAATTATTGGATGAAAAAAGCGCAAGAGAACAAATCGTGACTCAATTATCTTCTGAGCTTGATAAAGAACGACAGAGCTGCAGGGAACAAATAACAGTATTAAGAATCGAACAAGAAGAATTGAAACATAATTATGAAACAGAACTTAGTAATATTCAAGACGAATGGTCTTCGAAATACCAAAAACTTCAGGATGATATGGAAAATACAATAAAAGAAGAATTGAAGGTAGGTTTTTCCCTAATCAATTTAATTCAAGAGTCTTTCTGCACACCAACACAAATGTATTTCTGGAATGTTTCGTCTAACCAAGGTCAGACTTCCTCAGACAAAGACAAGCTTGTTATAGTCATCTTTACTCTTGAACAGCATCCTTACGTTATTTGCATACAGATCCACTTGCGCATACCTCGGTTAGACGAAACGTTAGAGAAATACATTTGTGTTAGTGTGCAGCGAGACTCTTGGATTAAATTGAATAGTCATCTTTACTCTTGCTGCAGCATCCTTGCATCATACGCTTATGGATCCACTTACGCAAAGAACAAGGAACGGTAGTTTCATGTAACCCCAATTGATAGTTTTTCCCTAATACTGTTGTTTTAATACTTAGATGATGGTGACAATCCCAAGAAATTGAAATCACCTTATCAAATGGTTCTATAATATATTTTTATTTTATAAATTACATATTATAATTATAACTTATTATGGCAAAGTGAATGCATCTACCATTGTTACTATTCTTGTATTGTGATATATATACAGGGTGAACCTCAAAAAAGAACCCATAAATTTCCTAATTTCGTCTATGAAAATGAAGGAAATTTATTTACCACTTGAACTTCCATTTGTGTATGATCATACCCCAAAGTTTCAGTAATCTAGGACATTTTGCACAAAAGTTATGTTTTCTCTAGATTGTGTTCCAAATCACTTGATTTTGTTTCCTTTTCGGTCACCCCGTATAGCAAATGTGTCTTAGATTTGTGACAGGCTACAGTGTTTGCTTAGCCATTTAATAATCACAGCTTAGAAATACTAGTATCAGAAATTTGAATTGAATTTTTTTACTGTTTACCAGGAAAGAATCAAACCTTACATAAATGCAAAATCAGAAGTTGACAGCTTGACTACTGTTTTGGAAATGAAGAATCATACAATACATCAGTTGGAAGCAGAGGTAGTAAAAACCTAGAATATATTGTTCACTATATACAGGACCAAGAAGGTTTGGCCTCTTTTTCTTCTTTAGTTGTGTTTGATATAGGAAATTCATCCATAACATTCAAAATTGATTTCATTTATTATTCTGATTTCAAGTGAATACTTTACAAAATTGTCTTGTGATTTTGAAATGTATTAGAAACAGTTAATGTGTTTTTGGTCATTTCTGATATTTACCTCCAATACAAAATATCCTCAATTATTCGGAAAAGAGACTGCTATTTTTGTTCATCCCTCAAATACTATCTTCTTCATTCAAAATGTTATTGTAACATCCATCTTGATACAGAATATTATACTGGTGCTTTTACATTTCAGCTTTAGCATCAGACAATATCCTGATATTTGATTTTTATTCTACTGATATTGATGAAAACAAAGAAAATTATTTTTCTGTATTGTCTCTTGGCATTTACACACCTAAAATTGTTTCAGAATAAAAAAGAATCTCATATTTTATTTTTGTCTTTCATATTTTGCAAAGATTATTCAAATTTAATAAATGTTTTGCTTTTACTACAGTGCTCTAAATATTCAACTCAAACTGATCAAGTCAATTCACTAAATTATAAGATTGACCAACTTCGACAAAAGAACGAAGACTTGTCTATGCAACTACATGAAAAAATGGATGAAACTAGGTACATTGTTTGGGGTAAAATTAGGGGGAACATTGTAATGATTAAAGTCAGGTTTATGACACCTACATTTCTTTTTTTTATATATAATAGCTCTGTTGTGTTGTCTACTGCTATTCTTGTATTCAAAAGGTAAAATTCTGGAGTTTGACTCTCAGATTTCATTTCTATTTGGCCTTGTATTTCCAAAGGATGTTGATGAGCTATACCTGACATTGGCAAACTGTGGGCCAAATCCGGCCTATTAGGTAATTCAATCTGACCCGCCTGATGCTGCCACAACCAAACTAAAACCAAATTTCGATGTTTTAGATAAAATATCGCTCGAGGAATTTGAGATTGCGATTAAATTTAGTTTTGGCACATTGAGGCTCATTGTTTCCACCTTTGGCTTTTGTGACACTGTAAATGTTGTTCATAAAATGTAACTTATTATGTCACACTTACATGGCCCGCCAGTCTTAAGTGGACCAAATCTTTGGTTCTTTGTCCAAAAACCTTGCACACACCCCCGAGCTATACGCTAGAAATTCCTCCGAAATGGCTTTTATATGCCAGACTCCCACAGTCTTGACATGAATGCTCCTGACATAGATATATGAACTTTCATTTTATAGAAATATGTCCGTGGAAAAGCAAAAATTACAACAATCCATGAGTGAGGAGCAAACTCGTTTAACAAGACTTCGACAGCATAATGAGGAATTGCAATATCGACTTGATTCACTCAGCCCTTCGCCGTCACCATCCTTTAATCCAGTCTTTACAACATCCCCTACAGTTGTCGATCCTCCTAATGCATTTGGGTCTACACCACGTAATCCTGGTTTAAAAAGAGCTGCAAATGGTAACGGCAATTCGTTATCTTATGATGATAAGCTGTGTCGATCCTTATCTTACAACTATGCGGATGAAGGAAATGCTGTGAATAACTCACTGTGAATGTGAGACGAATTTAGCCCGTTTGCCTGAGCATCACGAACCAATGTGCACACTGCGATATAAGAAGCTGATTGGATTGAAGAAATGGATGCGGTTGTACTACATTCTGATTTATGCAATATATAGGCAATATAATTGTACTTGTATATTTAAACATAAGTCATGTGGGAATGTCAAAAATATGGTACATAAATGTGTATGCGCACCCAGCACTTTATTAATCGTCATTTTGTGTTTGTGCTGCTTATTTTGACAATCACTGGACTAAAATCAATTTCTACGTCTACGGTAAACGTGGGGAATAGGGTTTGCACTGGCATCATTGGATTTGCTAACGTCAACACTGTAAAAATAATATTTATCCGTACTTAGAAGCATGGTGCTGTTATCTGCAATATTTGAAAATTGTCAATCGTGTCATGCGGTTCATGGTATTTAATGTTTCATTTATTTTCAAATTTATATGCCTTTATGCATTGGAGTTATTTCCAAAATTTGTTTTCATATGGCTGTTTAACTTATCTAAATTACAGAATAGACTCTTCTATAAACTGCTGTTAGATTTGTTATGTAACAACTCGCTTGTACGAATGGTCTAGTATTTTGCATGTTTTGTGCAATAAATATAGCTGTAAATACTTTGCGTTATAAGCTTTTCATCCTATCAAATAAGCAAAGGGATGGATATATTTAGGTACTTAGAGTCAGCTTCGAATTGGTGTTTTAATCTTGCAAAACATCGGAAGGTTGATGCCGAGTACTATCCATATTACAATTCAATAGAACCACACGTTTAGTTTACAATTAGTCTGTTGCCGTAAACATGGAAATGTCTTTATGAGACAAAACCTTCAATTTTCTTCCGAGTACGATGACAAACCATAAAGACAATTTTGACCGCTGAACTCTGCCTAGGTAAGCAGTGGTAGTATATTTCAAAAACACTAAATCAGAAAAAAACATTTGGCCGTTCTGTAAATTTCGAAACATTGGAAATCAGGGTTTTTAGAAAGAGATTTTATTTTGACTATATTAAATGACATCATTGTCGATTTTGTCATTATTGGACACGTTTAGTGGCCATAACGATCGTTTCAAAATTTTGTTGTTATTGTTATTTTCTTTCGTCATTATCATTAAAAAATCGCTTTTCTCTTCGAATACTGGACCAATTGCTTTGGAATTTTCCGTGGTTCAATATTGATTTTTTTGCCAGAAGGCTATTACTTTCATTTATTCCTGAATTTTCTATGAATCTTATGAGATCTAATATTTCATCCAAAATTGCATTAATTTTTAATTATGGGAACACGGTTTTTAATCCGCCAAGCGTGACGGCTGACTGTGAAAATTCTTGCGACTGAAAACCCGGAACTTTTTGAGGGTACGGTACCGGTACCGGTAACGTCAAAGGTAAACCCTGCTTCGCTCTAGTCCACGTGTCCATATATTTGAGCGTTGCTCTCTTGTTTTAATGGGCAATGCAACACTAAGGATTCCCGACCGAATACGCCCGCACAGGATTGGGCAAAGAGTCTGTTCGGAGTTTTTATTTAACACCGAAATGATCCAAGCGGGAGAATTTCAACGATCGCTTTCACAAATATTCACATCCCGGAATCTGTACTGACTCGTGACACACTATGTTCGTTTGAGTATGGGAGGGTTAATTTATAAACTGTGAGATTAATTTATCAACGATGAGACGTGGGATAAATTGATTTCATTTGCGGAAAGCCTATAAGACAACCACGGCTTCTCGCTAGTTACCAGTTCATATCGGGTGAAGGATTAGTCCGCCAGTTATTTGTTTTAACTGCATTGACCTTGCGTGGAAGAAGCCGTAACCGACCAGCGATTACGTTGACAAATGGACTACTTAGTCTGGTGAATGTGCAGAAATTCATACCCTATTGACTGAATACGGTTTCATTTCCAATAAGCTTGCACAAAATCAGCTTTCCCTTTATAGTTGCCCCCTGGTTGTAACTGCTATTAACGGCGGGGTAGAGGCGTAGCCAGCATATTTTGCGCCCGGGGCAAACTATAAAATTGGCGCCCCGACCTCCACGTTTAATCAGATTTTCTATTACATTTACCTGCAAATGTAAAAACAAATTATTTATCTAAATTTATATGTATATGTGTATTCAAATTTCAATGGAACATTATATTTAAAAAAGAAGCAATGATATACAAAATATAGCATCCCACTCAGGTACTGTCAAAGATGATTTACATACTCTACAATAAATTTTATTTGATTTCACTGTCGCAAATTGGTTAACACGTCATCAAAATCTGTTTTTTTTTTCCACTGTTTCTCTTTTAACACTTAGAAGTGCAAAATCACTGAGACGATCCTGTCCCATTGATGTACGCGAAAACGACAAAATAAGTTTCAATTTGCTGAAATACCGTTCACAATCGAAACTGGTATTGTTAACAAAATTTGTAGAGAAATTCGCAGATTGGGTAAAACGTCGTCTCCAAATAACACAATAAAACCAAGAAGAGCCAAAAGGGTTTCTGGTTGACCTTCAGTTCTGTTACTGAGCAGCATTCTGCAATCTCCAATTTCGGGGGAAAGTTCGTGGCCATTGATGTCCGTGTCGTAAAGATTTGCAAAATCTGTGCAATCTCGACGAATTGTCAAAAACGGCATCAGGGTCTTTTAGCACAGTATAATATTCTTTATGTAACTCTGCCGCAAAGTACGGTACTTTGACAACCACGAAATACAAAACCACGTATTACTCAAAACATGTATTAAGATCATTCAACCAAATTCCGTTGCCCTTTGTCTCCAGCACAGAACTAATATCAACTTACATCGGAGTGCGCGGGCAAGAACTTACCGATACAGAACCCCGTGCATTTTGTTACCTAATGTTAGCAAATCAAATTTTGCTTTGTTTCGCGGCCAGATTTTTGGCCATGTCGTCGGCAGTCGACGTAAGTGGTCTGACCAGGTGTGCAGTTTGCCATGTACTAAGACTAGATTCTGCGCCGGTGCGATCTTGCTTGTGACCATTTTTTTTACCCTTTTTGTGAAATTTTTGCAAGCCCTATTTTGGCGCCCCTGCACCTTGGCGCCCAGGGGCATATGTACCCCATTGTCCCCCTCCTAAGCTACGCCTCTGCGGCGGGGTTCAACAAAAGCGCGTAAATTAGGGGTCTCTTGTGTATATATATGAACTTTCCAGCCTTCGAATAGACTTTCGACTTCTACGTATTGTTTGCTATTTTAGAATGTAATCGGAATATCGAACTATTCTGTTCTCGCTATGCTCTATAACCAGGGTTGCCATCGACCAAGTGCCAAAGGTGTCTAAAGTTTATTTTGGGGGGTACTTAACAACGGCAGAAGGGCAGATTGAAAATGAGAAAGGAATTATACACAAGTCTCTTCCGCACTCAACCTTTTTTTATTAGAAGTCGCTTAGAACAAGGTTGCATGCAGCCCCGAAATCGCGCAAGGCCACGGAAAACCAATAAATAACGGCCACACGCAACCTCTAAAATGTAAGAAGCTACAGAAAAGTAGGCAAGTACACACAATAAACAACCAGCATTCAACATCTTGCACAGGAAACAACAACCCAAAGGGCGTCTGCGCATATTCAATGAGATGCGCAGCCATCTAACCCAAAATGTGGGTAACAAATTAACTATTGAATAACATAAACACATAATTTTAAATTAAACGCGTTGCGTATAATAAAAATACATCGTCCCTCGTTTCTACGGAAGCTTTGTACGCAAAACATAAACAAGTCATCCATGTTTCTAAGACAAAATAAGCACGTAACTCAAAAATAAGCACTTTTCTTAGAAATAAGCACATCGTTACTTTATAAGACACACGCTAGAAAATAAGCACAAATCTTAGAAACAAGCACGGCAAGTATGGCAACCCTGTCTATAACCATTCCAAACTTTAGTGTTTGGCGAGCTGGATAAACGGTACAGTTCTAGAGAAACAACCACATTGATGACTCAATAGTTTGTCAGATAAAGAGACACGAAGATTTTTATATTTTTTCCCGGGAAAGGAAAGCCGACAAGACGGATTAATTACGTTGCAAAGTAGTCCTGTCAGGCCGATAAAAACGAACATCATTTGTAACAATATTAGCGGCGTAAGAATAAAAGCACCCACTGTTAGGAACTTTTCATTAATCCAATCTAAAGAATTTAAATGTCTCAAATCATTATTATTGTGCATGTTGATATGGGTATTGAATCCTATTTTCTATATTAAACCAAACTTACATCTATATATATTATTAATCCAATTTAAATGTCCTCAAATCATTATTATCGTGTATGTTGATATGAATTGCTGTATCCTATTTTCTGTTAAACCAAACTTGCATCTATATTATTAATCCAATCTAAAGGATTTAAATGACTAAAGTAATTATTGTGTATGTTGATATAAATTGCTTCAACCTATTTTCTATGTTAAACCAAACTTGCATCTATATTATTAATCCAATCTAAAGGATTTAAATGTCTCAAATCATTATTATCGTGTATGTTGGTATAAATTGCTTCAACCTATTTTCTGTGGTAAACCAAACTTGCAATCGGTATTATTGGACACGTAGTGGACATAACGATCGTTTCAATATTATGTTGTTGTTGTTCTTGTTCTTGTTATCCTTGTTGTTGTTGTTCTTTGACACGTTTTTAAAAAGTCGCTTTTCTCTTCGAATACTGGACCAATTGCTTTGAAATTTTCAGTGGTTGAAGATAAAATTTTTCTCCAGAAGGCTATTACTTTTTTTTTCGCTATGACGTCATCAAAATTATTGCCATTGGGTGGCGCTACGTGTCCATATATTTGAGCATAGCTCTCTTGTTGTATATGTTGATATAAAATGCTGCATTATATCTCTTTGTTGGGTCCACACTAAACCGAGATATTTTCCCCTATTATAATTGTTTACATTTTTTACATGTCATTTACTTGTCTTCTATCTCACTTTGACATGCCACTGCAAACAAAAAATTTGCATTATGCCATGTTTTTGTCAATTTGATGACTGATTGTTTTCCTTCAATGTGCACCACCTATGACATGGAATGAAACATTCTACTAATTAATCACATATGTGGTATCAATTAATTGAATTGGTCCAGTGTAATAATTATCTGTGAAATCCCTGTCTGAATGTGTAAACCATTTCGAATCTCTTTAAATTTTGAAACCCCACTCCATATACACAAATAAAAAATGATTTACTCTAGGATTCCCCTCCCCAATTTTATTCTTTCATTTCGTGAATATTAGTTTAAACACTGGAATGCTGTACCATAATATTTAGTCATCTGAAAATAGCGTGAAGGGGGGAGTCGACTTTGATGACCGTCTGGTCGTATCACTCCCTCTAATTTTTTTTATTATTATGATGACTGTTATTTTATTTTGGTTGATGAAAAAATAAATCTCTCTCGCTCTCTCTTTCAAAGCATACCGATATATCAATTTAGTAAAATTATTGAGTTTTGCCCACTCCTGGTATAAACCAAGTCAATACCATGTTTTAGTGTTCATCTAATTTAATGTAGAAACGGTATTTTAGGTTGGAAATAAAGTGAAAATGTGTATTCTGATTCAGTGCATCAAATAGCCCATACTAAATATGAAACACAAGTAACTATCGCTCAATATGTAGGTAGGAGACGGTCTATTCATTGCCTACAAAATGGAGCCATTTTATATCAGTTCTGCAGCTTGTCATGTAGGCAAAGATAAAGCCCACAGCTTTTCGATATAAAATGTGACGAGGTTGTGTTGATAATTCAAAACAATCATTGATTCAAGAATCAAGATATGGCCTACACAGAATAGCAAAAGTTTCGATATGATTAACAGCATATCAGTGATGTCGGAACTATACATATACGGATATAGGTATGCAAGAAACCTTGTTATGTAACTTTTAACATACTTTAAAAAATGAGTGGATTTACCTCTGGAACAAATTGCACCAGTTTACTTGTCAGATACCTCTGCCCACTGGAATAAGATACTTTAAAACATCAAAAAGCTGTGACTTTTCCAATGCTTTGTCAATGAATTTACATACTGCAAAGGTTACATGCAAAACAATTGGTAGATGGTTTGTATTCATGATTGAGTAAGGCATGCCGGTAGTCAACCCCTTCGCTGAGCAGCAGATTTAGGGTTATACCAAGCAATATCAGGTAGCGAAACATGGTCCATGATGATTGGTGGAAAAACAATAGTGCAAATTTAGACACATTCAAATTTAGAGAATATAAAGCAATATTTTACTGAAGCATTCAACTTTTCATTTTTGACTGGCTATAACCAACCCAGTGCAACTTTAACTGCACAACAAAATACAGTGGCTGATAGCTCATTTTCCCTGCAAATCCCATCTCCAAATTGTAGCATCATCACATACACAGATAAGAATGTTTCCTTCTTTTGAGAAAGCAGTTTGACGAATTGAATTTGTGCATCTAACGTTGACCAGAGGCAAGCACTTTGGTTTAGAAGTATCCATTTTCTCAAGATCCCAAACAAAGGTTTTCCCGTATTGATTTCCAAGAGCAAGAAATCGCTGTCGCATATCCATTGCAAACCGCATATACCATATTTCGCAATGTTGATATTGAAGTCGACTTAGAATAGTAACATTAGTCTTTTCCATTAACTTTAAGGTGTCTATATCAGACTCGACAAACCCTGGTTTCCAGCATACAAGATGATTTTCACATGATTTTGAAAGTAAAAAGTCACCATACCATTTAACACAATCAACATAATTCCTGTGAATGTCCCTCGTGGTGAAATATGGATAATGGATATGAATGGTTGGAAAAGGTTTGTTATATTTTGAGCCATCATATTTTTCCGAAGCTTCCATAGCAAGCTCTATGATTGATTGATCTAATCGCCAAATTTTCAATGAATGATCCATCCCACATGAAACAATTTTAGTTCCAGTGATATCAAAATCGCAACTCAAAACCTCATCTCTGTGACCTTCCACCCCTCCAAAAACGCAAACCAACGTGTCAGTTTTTATATTCCACATACGCAAAGAATGGTCTTTTGAAGCACTCAACAGCAAATTTAGCTTTGTTGGATGAAATTTCAATTCATTCACTGCATTACCGTGACCATGGTAATGCTTCGCACACTGCTTTGTGATGATGTTGAATACTCTTATCACTCCTCTTGACCCAGCAAATGAAAGAATGGGGTGACCAGTTGTTGTATCAAGACTCCAAGCACAGGTATAAAATGTTTCATCATGGTCGGGATCTTCATAGGCTTGTAGGAGTTTTATGTATCCGTTCTCGCAACATTCATAAATAGTTGCACGATTGCTTCCAACAGTAGCAAACATTTGGGGTTCATTTTCACCCATGAATTGATTGAAACTAACGCCAAACAAGGGTTTTCCATGGTCCTCCTGATTGAAAAAAATGGTGTAATACAATCACTATGATTATTTGATACACTTACAAAAGAATGGGATTTACATATTTATCCCAGGGGAGAAGTAAGTCGATTGGGATAAGCCAGTTTATTTATTTCAGATGCATGGACTTGATGGTGGAGGAAGCCGTAACCGATCAGCCAGCAGCTTAGTGAACTACTATACGGCAGTGAGGAGTCCAGCAATCCTCTTGCACATACTTATTCCCCATAAGATTTGAACCTACAAACCCACGCAGAATAATCAGAGGTGCGATGGCGATCGTATTCTCAACATTTAGCACGATGCACCATATAGCATGATCATGGTTTAATTCGAAAAATTGCGACAAATATTAATATATACAGATATTATATAAACAGTGCAACAGTCAGACAGTAATACCGTATCATATGAACTGCAGTTCTACTAATCATACTCCTGTACTCAGCACCTAGGGACATTATGGGGGTCTCGTGTAGTTTAGAACCAAACGTACTTCTAGAGGGCGTAGCATAACAATTTTTTAATATGTAAATCCTAACCCCCATCTGACTATGCCATGCAAAAATTATGTCACTACGACATAACAATCACGTCATAGAGCTTGCCAAATACTGAAACATACGTAAGATCGCCTAAAATGGCATTGGCGCCGGCGATAAAAAACTGACTAACGTCATCGATCTCTCTCATAGTGGGATCGTTGCGACAAGAAAACGAGAGAGATAGCTTGCTCGATTTCGGGTGCTCGTCTGCGCGCCTTGGATGACAGTTTGTATAGTTTGAAGGGCTCTATTACGTCACTGTGACGCCATAGTGACGTAATTTTTATATGGCGTAGTCAGGTGAGGGTTAGGATTGACACATGAAAAAATTGTTATGCTATGCCCACTAGGATTTACATATTCATCCCGGGGAGAGGAAAGCCGATAAGACGACTTATCCATATGGCGAACCACGGCCTCTCTTCCGGTTACCATTCAAAGTCGGGTATGGGATTAGTTATATATTGTTTTTTTTTTCGGAAGCATGGACTTGGTGGTGGAGGAAGCCGTAACCGACCAGCGGATACGTGAACCACCCAACGACGGCGGGGGGTCCAGCAATCCTCTCGCACATAACCATTCCTGCAGGGGATTCGAACCTGCGAACCCATGCAGAGTAATTAGAGGTGCGGTGGCGAGCGTATTCCTACCGCTTAGCCCGTTGAGCCACACCGCCGCGCCTAGACTGCTAGAAGTATGTTAGGTACGAAACTACATGAGACCCCATTATGGCCAGGTACAGTTATAGAAATACAAATTTCAGTTATCGAATTTTTTCAATTGGCTCACTTTGTATTTTTTTTATTGCTGTATTAGAGAGGCCAACATTCAGACACTGCACCCTAATTCAGTACCGGTAATTGGGAATGCTGTAATGGTGATGTTATTGCAGTATTGAATTAACAAAATACTGACCTTCAACGAATTGACACATTTGAAAAGAGATTTTAGAATTTGCTTTTTATGAAATTTCCCTCGGCCTTTGAATCTTCTTTTTGTGGTACCGGCACCGCTTCCGTGACTAACGCCGGAACTTAATTCGGAATCATTATCATCAGAGTTATTGTCCATGTCGTTACTTGCAACTGATGCGTCTTCTGTGTTATCATCATCTACTTCCATTTCGCTCTTCCTTTTAACTTTTTCCATTTTGATTTTCATCGATGTTTCAGTCAGCAATTCCGTAACATTACGAGCACACAAACGCTCTGCTATAGTTAACGTTTTATAAAACGCGCGAACCGGCTTTGCGCAGAAAGAATCCGTGCTCTGCCAGTAGTAGTGTATCAAGAGTCTAATCTGGTTATATTCCATGAGATAAATTTTAAATTTTAGGAATGATTTCGAATGTTTCATCTAAAAATTTGTGTTTTTTTATTATTAAATTTAGGGACACACAAATATAGATTACATACAAAAAATTGCATATTCTATTTTTTACGGTACCAGTTACAGTGTAGTACTTGGCTTCATTCTGTATATACAATGCGCATTTTTATTATATATGGCGAAAAAACAAACCAGTGATTACCCAGGAATGTATTTTTAGAGTAGTAACTTATCTATTCAATTTGGTCCATTCCTGTATTTGTGTATGTAGTGATTTAGGTAAAAAAATTACCATTATCTTTTGCCATCTGGTGTTTCAATAAAATTAGTCGCATCAGCTGAATATTAATATCATTATGTAGCCTACTGTTAATTGTTGTTCTTAATACCTTTTATTTAATTGAAAATATAAGATAAAATAGAGAAATTTGACATTACCAGCTAGATACCGGTATGTGCGTATTCCGTATTTTACTTGTGTTAGGATCCAGGGCCATTATAAAACGTAATCAAAGTGTGACGACCCTTGTTTTATATTTTAAATAATGTCATGTGATGTTGTTTCTATATTTTGTATTTAAGCATTGAAGACACTGGGGGGCGCTGTGACACTGTTCTTTTGGGGTGTCCTGTTGGCGTGTGCTGTGGTTGGCAGCGGTACAGTGTGGTTGTTTTCGGTTGGATTATTGGTATTTTGTGTCTGAAGGAGTGCCTCTGGTCTCCGGTGGGTTATCGGGGATGTTTGTTTATGGTTTTGTCACTGTTGGATCGGGATTTGTTGGATGTTTTTGTGTTGGACAGTGAGCTGATGTTGTTGTTTGAGTGCAGTGCCATTGGGATAGTTACTGTGTATTTTAATATTTTCACCACGTATTGTTAATAGTGCATGCTATTCATGTAACAAGGTCGTTGCTCTATGATTTATTTCCCACGCTCAGTGTTGCTTGTCTTTAACGTTCTTTATTAGTTAGAAATTTGGTTTAATCACATATACTTGCGTTAAGGTTTTAAGTGAATTTCGATTGTGCAACTTTACAATATACGAACATTTAACATTCAATACTTTGTGTGCTTTATTGACCTCTGTCGGAGTTCTACTCTGTTAACGTGTGTTCAATAACACGGGAGCGTGGACACGCAGATAGGGCAATAGCCCCCTATATTTTGGTGTTAACGTGTGTTCAATAACACGGGAGCGTGGACACGCAGATAGGGTAGTAGTCCCCTATATACCATTGCAGTTAATTTGGGTGTTGTAATTTTCAGTTGCCATGAAATTAGCTATCATCAGTGTTGATGATGGCTAATAATGCCTTGTCGAGTAACGTCCCTAATAATTGATTGTGCCATCTGTTTAGTGCTAGCGTGTCGCAGTTGCGTCACTCGCTAGTATGTTCTGTTGCTGTAAGCATCTTATGTTGTGTGTTATGCTGGTGTAATAAAGAAGTGTAAGCGTATTCAGTTGAACAATTATTCTCTAATAGCTTGGGTGTAGAACCTAACATATAACCAAGACATTATTAACAATCAGTACTGTTTAAATGTTGTGCACATATAGAATTGTTTATGGTCTTTTAAAATACCTGTCATAATTTATTTTCAGCATGTTTTGCAAATAGTAGTAGCTAGTTTATTGTACCGGATTCTAGGGGTCAATTTGCTTTTATTGAAAGTTGTCTTCAATTTTAGGGTCCTTTAGTGTTTTTATTGTGTATATGGTTTTTCTTGCATTGTGCTGCCTGGTGTTTGTTGTTTTTATTGTATGCTTTCCGTTTTGTTGGAGTATTTGGTTGTATTGAGATTGATAATTAATAAATAGAACAAAATAGTATAAATTGAAGTGAATATTGAGAGGAAACTTGACGTCAGATCATAATGGAATGGATAATTATTACATAGATTGCCGGTACGCTACAAAAGTATAAGTATAGTTAGTCAAGGTTTGCATACGTCCTTATTTTTGAGATTTTTCCTTCAATCATAACATGAATATCAAGCAAAGAGCACAGATGGCAATGAATGTCAAAGTCCTATATTCCTAACAGGTTCAATTCCAAAAGTAGCAATTTTGGTTCGGTTTGTGGCATATGCCTCCTAATATAGGGTTGCCATACCGTCCGGAAAATTCCGGACATGTCCGGAATTTAGGGTTAAATTTTGCGTCCGGGAGGAATTTTAAAAAATGCTCAAATGTCCGGAATTTTACTGCATCTGCAATCGTAATGTGCACTCTGCTAATACAGAACATTGTTATTTCGTACCGTGCGCATATTTTTTACTACGAGGTTGTATGGAATTTTAATATAACAGAGCGTTTTCCTTATCAATGTTGTTAAAGTTGCAAACGTCTATGAGAGATGCTTGGGAGTACCTGTGCAAATGGATGAAACCAATGGAAGAGTTTACTTGTTTCAAATGGTTAACCTTGAACGAGATACCAAGTTGGAAGGATGTAAAGCAGGGGTTGGCAACCTACGGCCCGCGGGCCGGATCCGGTCCGCGGAGCAATATAATCCGGCCCGCGACGCTTCACTGGATTATAGTAACAAAACAGCTGTTTTAACGATTATAATCTTTACGTAACAGAATTAATTTTGCGACACGCGTAGGCTAAATTAAGCTATAACCTAACAAGTATATAATTCACAATTGCGCGTTTAATGACCCTATAATTTAATTATAATTACACAAATGGCAACAAAACGCAGAAAAGTTGATGCTTAGCGCAAATGGTTTAATAATGGTGCAGAAAATATTCAAATGGTCAGTCTTCGTGCGCTGCTCTGAATTTAACTTCTGATATGTGTGAAAAAATATGATTCATCGGCTATCCGTTCGGTTTTCAACATTCTAAAAATATGAGGCCCGCCAATGACTTGCAACCTTTGGTTTTGGCCCGCGAGCGACAAAAGGTTGCCGACCCCTGATGTAAAGCCTTGCCTGGAACATCTGATTAGTAAACGGGTTGATGTGGACGATGATAAATGCTTTGACCAATTCTGTAACTTGAAGCAGTTTGTGGAAAGTTACCTACAAGACGGAGAATTTATTAAACTGCCAACGCATAAGAAATGGTGCAAATATTTCGATCAGTCTACGAACATCACATGCCACTCCGAAATTTTAAGGATTGAACTGTTTTTCTTTGCTGTTACATCCCACAATGCCAATGTAGAGAGAGTCTTTTCACTGATGCTAAGTCAGTGGACTAAAGAGAGAAACAAGTTGCGACTATAAAAGGCATGTTGACTCTCCAATATAATTTCAAAGATATGCACTGTAGTGAATTGTTTTCATTTTTGAAATCAGACAAGAAGAGAATTAGATCTTCAGAAAAATATGCATGGCCAGAAGAGTAAATTTGTAGTGATTGTCTTTAATTTGTTTTAAGCATGTAATTGCTGTTCTTCCGTTTCGGCACAATCTAATTCTCATTCTTATTTTTCACTCTGAAGTTGAGATTTTTCCAGTCGACGGCCCGTAGCTATATTTAGAGTGTGCTTACCTGCCTGGTGTGAGATTCTGCTTGTGACTGAAGACAATACTTTTCATTTCGGTAGTTGGCGCTTTAGCATGAGTATCGTACAACGTTTGCAGCCTTAGCATTTCGGTAGCGCATATATATGGTCTCATGAAAATAGGGACCTCCAGAAAGAAGTATGCGCACCAAGATGGCGCACAACCTGAACATAGTTTCTGTGTACCGGTTAGGACTAAGGTTGTGCGACATAGTCATGCACTGTCCGGAATTTTGCTTTTTCAAATATGGTAACCCTATCCTAATATTTCCGTCAAATGTATTTGCGTGTTGTGCATTTTTTTCCCTGCCAAACCGATTTCCTGAGATTTTTCTAGTCACCTTGGTTGTTTATTTGACCCTACCCATCACGGCCACTCTTTCACCTAATATTTCCGTCAAATGTATTTGCGTGTTGTGCATTTTTTTCCCTGCCAAACCGATTTTCTGCGCTTTTCCTAGTCACCTTGGTTTGGAAAAACAAAATAGAGAAACTCGAAGCAAGGAACATAAGCGAGATGTTGAACAAAAAATATTTGAGAATTTGACCCTCTTTAGATGGGCCCTTTCAACAGATCACAGTAGAAAACGAAACAAACTACAGGAAAAAACGATTTGAATAGAAGAATCTAATGAAACAAGGTTTACAAATTATTTACAATAGAATTAGCTGCTTTTCAATTTTATTGTGTACGGGAAAGTCTCTGAATGGAGTCTCTGCCTCCACGCATGCGCGACAATAAACTGATTTAGCGCTTTCCTTATTCTCGTTATTGGATGAACAATATATTTACCATTTAATATTCCGCAAACCGCGAGAAATTTACTGCAAAACAAGAATAGACTGAAAAAGTCAGCATGCAATCGATAACTATTGCGCGTTGTCAGACTCGGGCTAAGATAATCAACCAATCATTTATTTTTGCTCCTCTGATTAAAACATGATGAAACTTGAAAAACCATAAAAAATTCAGACATGGCAACAAGGTGCAGAATAAACAAGGAGGTTGAGCATAGCCTAAAATAAAATTAAAAAAGTACGTAAATACGCACCCATCCACCTGATAGAAAAAGCCCTTAAAAGGAGTAAAACATATAAGCACGGATGCTTATTTTAATCAACATGCGGGCGGTCTTTGCACATCGTAAGTGCCGACTGTCACGTCTTTGGATATCCCGGAATCGGATCTCCCGAAGTATGCGAACCAAGATGGCGGACATCGGAATGTAATATGTGTACTAGGTTAAGGTTAGGCCATAATTTTAGGTATAAATACTACGGAAGGCTCTTGGCTAGTCTTCGAACTGATAATAGGACTAAAAATAAGGAAAATTGGAAAAAATTATCGCCTAACCCTAACCTGTTACCCATGTTATGTTCCGATGTCCGCCATCTTGGTTCGC